TGTACCTATAAGTAAAAATAAATCATACCTATCATCCGAACCAAATCTGACGTATAAACTGCTTTCCTGACCGACTAACATGTCATCCTTCCCTTGAAAAGCAAATATGTTGTGTGCGTGTATCTGGCCCACCAGAACATAAGATAAACATACAGTTTTTAGGCTCCATATGACGTGTACTCGAAGGAACGTTCCTCAAAGCGCACATCAGGCTTTTAACCCGCGCACCGACGGGGGTCTGCGCCAACTTCGCACCGACGGGGGGGGGGGCGGATGACCGCCCCCCCCCCTGAGGTCTCGAGAACGAAGCAAGATAGCGACAAGCGGTAAACGGCATCGGATACGCACGGTCAAGATCTACAATTTTTACTAAGGTCATTTTCAGGTCAGGTCAAAGATGACGTCACAGGGGTCGAAAAAGTCAAAATGGCTGCGCTGGATATGGAGAGTTTTTCTCGAATAACTTTCGAATTAGTCAAGATAGGAAGTAGGAACAAACTAAGGGCAGCATCGTGATCCTCTCGTCAATCCGCATCGAATGATATATATGTTGACCTCGAAAGGTCAAGGTCAAAGGTTGACCTCAGGTCACGTGACCTCGAGGTCATCATGTATATCATTCGATGCGTCTTGACGAGCTGAACACAATGAGACCATCCACGCGTCTGTATCTTGTTCCTGTACGGAGTTATTGGCAAAACACCTTTGGTGACCTTTGATGACGTCACATGACCTCACAGCTGCCCAACATCAAAACAGACCTCAAGGTAGTGAAGGTTGATCGTATATGAAGTCATGTATGGTATATGGGGCCATTCCAACCCGTTTTAGTGGTAAAAACAGGGAGTTGATTTTCCCCCATTGACTTATAATGGGGAGGTCGCGAAATTGACCTGACCTTAGGTCACCGATATCAAAATTCCGAGATATACAAATTGTAGCTACTAATGACCTAATAACATCCTGCGACTTTCAAAGGCCTCCGACATCTACTGTAGCTCTGGCACGGTGACAAAGTTGCAAAAAAAGTGACTTGAGGTTGGGTCATTCAAAGTGACCTGGTGACCTGACCTTGAAAGGTAGGAGGTTCAAACTTGCACACCATATGTAAAATTGATGAAGGAATAGTCATACCAAATTTCGCGGCGCTACGCGCCGCGGTTTTCCCGCTATTCGCGAAAAACCTCAGGGGGGGGGGCGGATATCCGCCCCCCCCCGTCGGTGCGCGGGTTAACGTATGACAAACATAGCCATCCAGACGCTCCACATATGTGGAGATAATTCACCAGCGTACAGCCCGTACAGCCAGCAAACAGAAAAAAGTCTGTGCGTCTAGCTGTCTTATTCTTGCGTTGTTTCATTCGTGAGAGTAATAAACATTATTGAAGCGGATCTCCGACAATCGCATTGGAAATATGGATGCCCACGTCAGACAAAAGCGACTCATTACGCTTCTACGTCAATAGACAATGGCTTTCAATCGATGTTTTACGCTGATGGGCGCGCACCAGAAAATGTCCTCCCACTAACAGCACTTTGCTTTTCTCGCCGAGTAGGTATCTCGTCAGACACGGCTGCTCTCCCGCGACATTCCCTGCGCATTTCCGCGACACTGGCGGCGCACTGGGCGGCTTCAGGAAGCGTCGTTCCCAGCGTCGCGCCGCGCCTGTCAGAGCGCCACTATCGTCGAACACGACGGAACGCCGGCCACGCGGCTCGCGCGCATACCGTGGCGCGCCCGGCCGCTGTCAAATTGTCAAAGAGTAATTAGTAAGGAGATCTGCACGGACGGAGCCTGGGAACGGCGGTCCCTCCGACTCAGTGGGGGGGGGGGGGGGGTGACGTCACCCAGTCGACGGAGCTTCCCCCCAGCCGCGCAGAAGCCGCCGAGGGCGATGCGACGCGGCTTCAGGGGACGGGGGACGGGGGAGTATGCTGGGGATGGTTTCTGTGTCGGTCGCGGTGATAGGTGTGGAATGTAGCCGCATCTGCTCTGCTGAAATCGGGACCTTGGGCGCTTTTTGTGGGTGTCGAGTACTGCGAGCTAATTGGTGTGAATTCTGAGACGATTTCGGTCATGTTGGATTGATAAGAACGGCAAGAAATGGATAAACGGCGGGAGAATACATGCACTTCCGCATGCCTATTGCCTGCCTTCTTTTTAGTGCAAGCACTTTGTGGTAACAACTAACATGTATCCCTACGTTCCTACAATTACCTACCTAACCGATAAGAAAGTTTTTGCGACGACCATTCATTCAAATATTCATCAGATCATTCATTCGTTTAGCATTAGATAGTTAATTAAATCATCAATTCATTTATTCATTCATTCTGATTCATTCACTGACTTACTCCACAAATTAATTCAAAGTGATGTAACTAACGAGCGGATCGGCGCTTGACTATTTCCGATGCGTAGTCCTGCAGGCCCAGCTAACTACCCGCTCATGACTGGGGTTTATATAATCATCTCATGCCTCGGTTTGGGGTAGGCTCTACGTACAAACCCCTCCCATCCGTCCGAGCTCGCTGCCTGGTGCGATTTTCAAAATAGGTATAGTCAAACGACGTTTGATGGCTAACGCCGCATGAAAACAGTCGAGTGGTTGAAACTTAATTTTGTTGAGTTCAGTGCTGCCGATCAGATGTCGTTACTGATCAAGCCAAATAAAAAGTTATCAGCTTTTAAGCATTTTTGCATTCCGGGCTCTTGCTCCGCGGACGAAGAGCGGTCCAAACTCACCGACGATTTTTTACGATTCTTTGATTAAAGGGACCCTCCCACCTTCAAAAAAGTTAATGAATTGGCACGAAAGTGATGTCGCTCGGTTCAGAAAGAGCGAAAACGAATATCTACCAAATTTCATCGAAAAATATTCACCGGTTTTCAAGATATTAGACTTTTACTTTTGTTTACTTTTTGGGATCTCCGCTGTTCCTAGCGACTTTATTTGAAAGTGCGGCATTTGTTGCGCGCAAAGCAGCATATACCACCGCGTGCTACCAAACGTTTTAGTAAAAGATTTAAAAATCGTTAGATCTCCGCTGACGTCACAAATTCTAAGGGGGCATACCAATGCACTAGCCCCTTAGAATCCGAAAACTGCAAGTTTGAAATTCCATATCTCCGAATTAAAGCATTTGTCGATGTTGTGAGTGCCCAAACCGGTATTTGCAGGCCATGGCCACCAATTTGGCTATCTCAACTCAAAACTAATGTTAAGGTGGGAGTGTCCCTTTAAAGCTAGGCCTTGTGACACCAACCACGTTTCCAGCTGAGGCATGGTTCGGGTCAGGCCAAACGCTTATCTCTATGGAAACGCTTGCTTCTTTGCATTTGGAATGAACTCAGACTATCTCACGCACATGAAATCGTAATTTTATACACCCCTGTAAGGTACGATGCTTGACTTTTGGTTTATCGGAGCTTTCAATCTATAACGCCCGATCAACTTGAGGTGCGAGTCGACAAATACACCAACTGACGCAGAAAGATCATCCGAATCGAATCAATAGCATAACTTCTTTCGACCTGCTTCATAAATTGAGCGACTTTGACCTGACTATGACCTGAAAATGTAGGTACCTGTCTTTTGACGCGCCTGAGCATGTTAAACACGCTGCTTCCAAAATCGCTGTTTGTAACAGTTTTGAGCAAATTTATTCATCAAAAACTAACCTGGGCATTTGACCTGACTTCAGAGGCGGCCGGTTGACTTTGGACCAATTGAGTACCAGTCGCTTCGTATCGCACCGGCGCACAAGCTCGTTTTTTGCAAACTTCTCCTTGGGTGAAACGTTGAGAGAAGTCCATCTCCCCCTTCTTGGCTTTGTCCGTAGAACAAAGTTCCGGCGAGAGTCACATCGAGAGTAGTTATACTGCAGAGCTCATTTTTAAGTTGCCTTTAAATGCCTGCTCCTAAATCGATGGTAAAGGTAGGCATATGGCGGGTATGTACGGGGACCCGCAGTTGCTACTAGCCGTTTTCACGACGGCCATCTGGTACACATTTGGTGCACATCTGGTATACAGATTAGGTGCAGATTTGGTCAAATCAGGTTCAGTGTGTCTCTTAGCAGCAATCAGCTAGGGTTGCACTAATTGCTTATATGCCTGCTTAGTCATATTATCAGAGAGCATCATCAATTAAAACACTAAAATAAATTCATAAAATGAAGATATTTGCTGTAAAAGAAATTAGGTGCAGATTTGGTCAAATCAGGTGCAGATTTGGTCAAATCAGGTGCATTCGCCGCCCGGATAGCCCGTCGTGAAAACGTAGGTAGGCAGGTACTGTAGAATGCCAACTCTATAGCCATCTGTCCTGACCCCTGCCCAGTAACAAGCGATAACATTGATATCGACTGTCGGTCCCTGTACAAGAGCAACTTAGGTTTTCTTTGCGTGCCCTCTGACAGCTTATCATTTTTCCCTGTGAAGGTGCTGGGACAATTTACTCAGGATCGCTGTATAGTAGCAACTGCGCTGCGGGTCCCCGTACAAGGTCTGTGCTTAGTTTTTATGTTTGACGATAAATGCTAGGTCACGGTAAGCCACATGGCAAAAGGTCACAAAAGCTGGAAAAGTGCGCACACAAGGGGTGCACAAAGTTCCATACGCCATCCACCATTCGAATTGGAGCCTATTGGCTATTTGAGGCGGCCGGCCCGGGCCCCTAATCTTCAGACTGCCTAAAAATGAACTGAAATAACGATTGAATAGACCGAATCCACCTCATCTCCCCGGCTCATTGCTGTTCACACAGCTGCTCTCTTCTCGGCCATGACTGTTCTGCTCTATTCACTATGGCACTGTCGAAGTGTTTAGTGTCGAGCGCTGTTGACACTTGGGCTGCGCTGCTGCGGCGAGTCCCCTGCGGACCAGCTCCGACTTCAGCGTCATCTGGTGAGCAGATTGTGCTGCCACCTATGATAGCGCTGCCTGCAAAATATGGAAGCATTTCTGGCTTACATTTACGGCGCATTCATGTTTATTGTGGCGCAATACTTGCGTTGCCGGAAGTTATATATTATATCAATTTCTAATATTATTAGGTGCATTTTTCAGGACCTAAGGTCAGTAAAAATGCTTTAATTCTTTGAAGTGTTGTCAGTGATACTTTTCAAGTAGGAGTGGGAAAACTTAATGGTAAAGGGCTATTCTGTTGAAATCAAACGCAACACAGTTCAATTTCAGGCATTCCAATCTCAATCTCAGCCATACATTGCAAGTATTTTTTGTTTTAATTTGGAATTGACAAGCTGTTTGTTTACCTGCCTTACCCTGCAGCCTGTCCCGCAGGATAGCGTTGATAGAGCATTGGATTATCGGTCCCAATACCTAGTGAGCCCGGGTATGAGTCGCTCCAGTGCTTAACATTTGAGACTCCTGACGGGGATTGTCTGGTTGGTGGGAGCAGCTGTAGCCAGTTGAAGTCAGTTGAGTGGGATAGGCTGTATCCAGCTTTGAAGGGCATGTTAAACTTTGGCATCTTAATTCTCCCATTACCCAGCAATCAGAGGGGTGTTCACGGGCACCGCACACTGCTGCGTGCGGTGTGTGCGGTGCGTCCAGCAGGCGTGGGGGTAGGGGATGGGTAGGCGGTTCTGACGTCACGGCTGCGTGCGGTGGACGGTCCGCTGTGGCCAGTCCCGACCGGCCACAGCGATCGCTGTGTGCGGTGACGGAAGGCTGACGTAGGGACGCAGTGGGCGGAGCTTCGAGGCTGTGTGCGGTCCGACCGCACACAGGGCCCGTGAACAGCCCTCTGCATTGCACGATCAGACGGTAGCAGTCTCAGTCTATGCAACAAGCTCTGCTTGGCGTACCTAGGCTCTGGCTCTGTCAATCCGTTCATTCAAACATTCAAGCCTAATTTATGAAAAAGATTGAATTCTGATAGGTGTCAGCATCAAATATCAATGATTGACTTATTATTGCATCTTAAATTTTATGTGTAGGTGATGTTTGAGAGTGGGGGGATGATCTGGATGAAAGCTGGGCATTACTAGCGCAGACATTACATGAAGGAAAGTGGCTGCAGTTAGGAACAAACTGCCAAAATTTATTTTGTACCTGTATTGATATTGATTCATGCAACCTTCATTATATTTTCTGTAACAGTTCTGAAAGTTAGTTAGCTACTTAGCTTTTCTTGTGTTATCATTAAATGTTCACAATGTAGTCCTCTTTCAAATGCTCTAAGAATTATATGGCATTTGTAAAAAAATATGGGGGTTTTGCTATGTCACCACCTAGCTTATTGCTAAAATGCTGGCCTAGCAAAGTGTGCACTATGCACCACTGCAAAGTGAGAGGCATGATGGCATGGTAGACACCAGGTAGGCTCCATCGGCTAGGGAGACAAACTCACACCAGCTTATACATACAACCAGATGGCAGCTGCACTGTCTGTACCAACCAACCAAGATCTAGAATTTGCATAACATATTTAGGAATCTGTCCTGGTGAAAAGCAAAATGTGGTAAATTGGTGATGATAGAAAATGGCTGGCTGGCCACTGCAGGTCTTTCATGCATCATATGGGTAGTGCTGTGCAAGCACCACTGTACAGTAATTCACCTGAGGATCCACACTGAGCTCAATCCTCACCAGCTGAGTTGCCTCCACACAAATAATGGTAGTCAAACTCACCAAGTTTTTCAGTATGGGATTTGAGGTACCTGCCACTGAACAGGAATAAGTGAATCTGTTGGTAAGCATGGCTTGTTATCTGTTTATGTTTCAGCGTCTGATAGTCAGCCTGTGACACATCAGCTGTGCTGTGGGTTAGCTCGGCTCAGCGCAGCTGACAGCAGAGTTTTGCTGCTGATTTCTGCCAGCCCAGATCACCACCAGACATGGATGTCACAGAGCTGCTCTCCTACAAGGTAAGCTCAGCTGGGGTGACCTGAAATCTGTGCTCAATCAATTACCTGAAGATGTGTAATGACTAGGGCTTATGCTCAGGTGTGTTTCAATCGTTTCTTGAGCAGGATAGGTTTGTTTGGTGGCATGACTTGTATTTTGTCTGGCTTCTGCATAAACGTTGATTTTGACCATCCTTCTAAGAATCCCCTTTATTCTGAGATGCAAAGCTCAACTTGCGCCTTCATGGTAAGATTCATTCAGTTGGTATGTCTACATGCCTGGATGAGAGGCGTATGACGAAATTCGACGGAACAGTGGATACGTGACCTTGAGCCACGCGGCGGAGATTGAGCCGTCACCCACTACGGTGTACGAAACACCGTCTTTTAAACCAGGTTTAGATTTATTACGATAAGAGATGAAGTCAGTGTGATTTTCATTACTCGGCTTATATCTGGCGGTGACTTCGGTCATTCGATTCTCTTTCTCTCACGAGCAACATAATACCAATATTCTTTCTCATTATTGCTTAAACATCAAACTGCATTAGTCAAACGGATGAAATAGATTATCAGTTATTGAAATATTACTAAATTCGCTAACATTACAGATACCTACCCACGCGCAAATCACCGTAGCGACATGAGATTTACTCAGTCCATTGCCTTGCTTCTATCCTAGTTATGAGGGCGGTGTGAGTGCCAGCCTCTTCATTCGGGCACCGTTCCTCGAGCGAAGCATAAACACGAGAAAAACAGCGATAAGTTCGCGCTGTTGCGTTTCAATGAATCAAGAAGAAGTAGTGTAAGCCATGTCACGAGCACCTTCCGAATGTTGCAGAAAATGAAATGTTTGAGAATCTGAAAAATCGTCGACATCGATTGATCTCGTGGATCTCAAGGTCTCGGTCTCATTAATAAAGCTTACAAAATATCCAAACGATGTAAAATTGTTTTGTAACTGGCTCAAAGGTAAAACAGGCATCAGACGGCGCCCTTGTATTTCATTGTTCCTCCCTGCATGGGACTTCTTATCTTACGCACCGTTTAGAGCTGCGCAGTAAACATTTCGTCCTGCGACTAACGCGCAGACCCTTCCAATGTTTGTGATGGCTGGGCTCGCACCGGTGCTCTGCGCTGTCCTGCTGGCCGCGCGGCCCGTACTCTCAGAATACCAACTGGAGCGTATGCCGGCATCGGATCGCCGTCTGGCCACCGCCACACTGTCCCGCTGTCGTGAGTTCAACGAGCATACGGCTGATGAGACGGCGCAGTGTGCGGCGCGCACCCGCCGCCTGTCGCTTTCCACTCGCTGCCGCGACCTGAACGCCCACCTGGAGTTGGCTGAGGCTCGGCTGGACCGGCTAGAGGAGTTCCTGCTGCTGCGTCAGCTGGAGAGCGTGCAACCTCTGCTGGCCGACTGCAGCGAGGAGGCCGCCGCAGAGGTACGCAGTCTGGAGTCTCAGAGACAGCAGCTACGCGAGACGGTGGCAGAAGCGGTACGTCACATTGAGGAACAGGAAGAGAAACAGCGGGCTGTTGAACGAGAGACGGACGCGCTACGGGAGGAGAAGAGTGTGGTGGACTGTGAGCTGGAGCGGCTCGAGACTGAGCAGCGTCTGCTGGAGAGGCAGCTGGAGCTACAGACGGTCGCGCTGGAGGAACTGACGGGACAGCGGGAGGCACAGACCGAGCTGGCGGCGGCGCTTGAGGCAGCTGACGCCGAGCGGACCCAGGCGGCTGAGCTGTGCCGACGGCAGACGGAGGAGCACCGGCGCCGGCTGGAGACGTGTCGTCAGGAGGCGACCCGGCTGGAGACGCGGCTGCAGGAGCTGCCGGAGCCGCGGCCGGAGGCACAAGTGGCGCTGGAGCGCGAGCTGTCCGCCTGTCACGGCGAGCTGGACGCGTGCGCAGTGACGGTGTCCGCGTGTGCCGCTGACCTGGAGACAGCCTCCACACACCTGATCCAGCGAGAGATGGCCGCACTGGCCGAGCGAGGCCGCCTGCAGGGCTGCCAGCGCGAACTGATCGCCGGCCGCGGACGGTTCAACCAGTGCCGCACCTCGGCACGCGCCCTGTTCGGCCAGATCCGCGTGCTGCAGCGCGAGGCGCGCGGCTCAGCCGCCGCGGCCGGCCGGCTGGACCAGTGCTACTCAGAGTCGTCCTTGTGTGGCAGCCGGGCGGCCCAGTGTGCCCAGCAGCTCACCGATCTCAGTGCTGGCGGGGACGAGTGCCGTACGCAGACTGCCGACTGGCGCTCGCGGTGGTTCGCCTGTAATACCAGTGTGGCCTCCCTGGAGGAGCAGCGACTGGCGCCTCTGCGCCTGGTGGCCCAGAGACTGGAAGAGGTTGTGAACGAAACAGTAGCCCGCGGCCGCCGCTGTGAGGAAGACGATCTGCGCACGCGCGCTGATCGCGGCTTTGCTGAGGAGGAGCTGCGGCGCGCGCAGGCGGCTCTGGCGGCCACCAAACAGACCCTGGACGAGTGTCAGCTGGAGTGCTGGGTGGGGCAGGCCGGAGAGGGAGACGGGGCGGCCGAGGGCGAGCCGGCGACGGTGGCGACTACAGACTCAGGGACAGACACGGGGACTGGGCATGATTATGGCGGTGATTATGATATAACGGACTGGTCGATCGGAACTTAAGCTGTCAAGTAATTGTGATTTACGATGATGTTTCATGTTAGTTATATGAAATGAGCATTACAGTTATAGACTGTAGTCTTCAATACATGTTGTGAAGTGAATGACTTTTATGAAGGCTTCTGGCGAAAGGTTTCGACGGTATTCGCTCTCTTATTCTTGGCATATTTTCGAAATCCACTTGAATTTGCCAACCACGCGAGTTGTATTTGCCAAGTATGAAAATGGCATGAACGCATCAAAACGCATAATTTACGATGACAAATAGCAAGGTGCTCCTGACGTTTCCTTTGACTCTGATGGCGGTGTCCAATATTTGCATTATTGCTCTAGTCTATTGCATTATTGCATTAGTCTATCCCCATTCCCTTGACTCTTAAGTGCGTTCTGACGATGTCGCCATCGTTTTCAGCCGGACAAGAACACAAAGCGCCACCTGGAGGGCGAGGATGAGGAGGAGGAGGCGGCTCCGCGGCGCGTGATGGCTCGCACCGCTCCGGCACCCTCCGACGAGCCCACGCCCGATGAGATCCTACGACTGGTGGACGAAGAGCCGCAGGTATGGCCATAAGTGGGATTCGGTTGATGATGTTTTGGTGTAAATGAAGCGTAGCTCGCTGAAGTTGTGACAAAGTTTTAGCGAAAGATACATGAATACATTGCGTGCACTCTTCGCCTTGGTACGTATATAACAAGGTGTATTCTGCGTAATCAAAGAGCCGTCGCTGATCCATCATATCTATGCTTCCTTTCCGACCTTCCCGCGCAGGTGGAGCCGCTCGACGAGAACCTGCTGAAGCGGCTGATCCTGCAGCTGGAGAAGCGCACGCTGCGCAATCAGGAGATGCGCACCAAGTACGCTGACGCGCCGGAGCGGTTCCTGGACTCTGAGCTGGAGCTGCACGAGTCGATTCAGGCGCTGCACGCGGTGGCCACCGGCCCGGAGCTGTACCCGCGCCTGGTTGGTCTGGGTGCCGTCAGCTCACTGCTGGCGCTGCTGGCGCACGAGAACACCGATATTGCTATCGCAGTTATTGACCTGCTTCAGGTGAGGTATGGAGGAGAGGGAAGGGGAGAGTGGAATCGTTTAGATTTGTGTTAATATTTATGAGGTGAGGGAAATGTTTTTCTCATGGGAACTAACGTGTGCTGGCTGGCTTGTGCTGACCGGCTTCAGGAGCTGACGGATTTTGATACGAATACGGAGGAGGCAGGGTGCATGGACGTGGTGGGAGGACAGATTTAACACACCTATCTGACTGCTACAGGAGCTGACGGACGTGGAGACGGACACGGACGAGGGGGAGCGCGGCGCCGACCGGCTAGCTGCCGCCCTCCTAGAGCGGGAGGCGGTGGCCGTGCTGGTCCACACAATGGAGCGCCTGGACGAGACGGTTACCGAGGAGGCGGCCGGCGTGCACAGCGCGCTCGCCATCGTCGAGAACGTCACAGAGGTGCGCCCGTCAGCCTGCCTGCCGGCCGCCCAGCAGGGCCTCATGGCCTGGCTGCTGCGCCGGCTCCAGCGCAAGGCGCCGTTCGACGCCAACAAACTGTACGCCAGTGAGATGCTGTCGGTGCTGGTGCAGAGCCACGAGGAGAACAGGTGAGCCGAAGGGAAAATTGGAGTCGTTAATGAGACGTTAGTAGAAACACAGCGACCATCAGATAGCCATCTTTATCGTAAAGACAACAAGCATTCTCACATTGCGGGGCTCCATTATGCCAAGGAAGAAATTATGTTCTCGTCTTTTTGTCCCAATATCCGTGCCCAATCTGTGCGGCTGAGCTTAGGTGCGCTCTCGTTCTGCCTTACAAAGGCAAAAACTACTAGGTTGGGTCAGGTCATGTTGGGTCAGAGGCTGGGTGACCAAACGTAGCAGTTTTTGCCTTTGCACGGCAGCACTGTACTGAGGTGTCTTCTCGCTAAGCCGATGTATGTGCTCGCTGAGCTGAAGTGTCCTCTCACTGAGCTGCGGCGTCCCCGTGCTCCACCTACCATCAGGACGCTGCTGGGAGAGCTGGATGGCATTGACGTCCTGCTGCAGCAGCTAGCCTACTACAAGCAGCACGACCCGTCCTCCTCAGAGGAACAGGAGTGCATGGAGAACATGTTCGACGCGCTCTGTTCGGTGCTGCTGCTGCCAGAGAACAAGGACCGCTTTCTGCGCGGAGAGGGACTCCAGCTGATGAACCTCATGCTCAGGTCGGTACAGGTCGGGGAGAATTGGAGTATCGTAGTGCCCTTATCATGTCTGTCCGAACGAGTCGCTGAGAACCCTAGCAAGCCGTTACTTAACGAGTTGAGCTCCAAACGAGACGATTACACTTGGTTACATGGATTACATCCAGGGTTTGCCGAAATAACTGCAGTGCCGTAAGAATTTGTTTACCTTTTGAACTTATGCATCCATAACTTCTACGGTTTCCTCACAAACCGTTATAGGCTGTCTTGTCGGTCTCACATTACCATGCTACAAGTCGAGCATAGCAGATCAGAGTCGCCACCCGCCACCGTCACCCTAGCCATTTTCCCAGTCCGCGGCTGCCAGTGATAACCTCCCCCCCCCCCCCCGCCGTCTCAGGGAGAAGAAGCTGTCGAGGAACGGTGCTCTCAAGGTGCTCAATTACGCTACCTCGGGGCCGTCAGGAGCCGACAACTGTAACAAGTTTGTCGAGATTCTCGGCCTGCGCACGCTGTTTCCATTGTTTATGCACACACCGCGCAAACACAAACGGAAGGGTCTCAGCGTCGAGGAGCACGAAGGTAGGGCGATACTACGACACGGGATGGACCCTCCCGATTGTGTCTGGGTCGACATGCATCGGATGTGTTTTTCGTTCATTGTGTAGGGTGCTTGTCAGCCTAAAAAGTGAAGCTCAGTGTTCTATGGAAACATTTCAATCGAGCTATGGACGGGAAATTCTCAGGAGCGCTGTCAATGCTTCTATTTTAGCGTTAAACGATGGTCATCGCTCAGGTCGGCCAGTTATGCATTCAAGCACCTTGCGACGTTCTATCAAAGGACACGAGCCTAGTACACCAGAGATTTCCATTGCCCCATTCCCCGTTCACAAATTGTTGTCCGCTATACTTAGTTATGTTCCCCTCCTGAGTCACTGCCCCAGCTTTCCAAACTGTCAGGTATGTACATTGTACAGTCCTCAGCAGACTGCGTGGTAGGTATTCTTTTTCCGATAAAACCGATAATAACTCAAAGGCTACGTTATCAGTCGGTCGGAGCTCACTGCAAATAGATGCGCCATGCTCCACTCCTTCGATTAGGTCTATCACTAATCGAAGTATACGCCTTGTGTGGCAACAAAATGCAAAAGTTTGTTTTGGGGACAAATGTATACTTTTGGGTTTTGTTGCCAAACTGGGTGGAAAAGGAATACGACGATAATGCCAATCTAGGGTGCGGAGTCTCGCGCATCTTGCTGTTGCGATTTCCGAGTGGCCGATAGCATAGTAAGCGCGTTATTCTCGGTTTTGTCGAAAAAAGAATACCTACCACGCAGTTTGCAGAGGGCTGTACATACTTTCTCCGTTCCTCAGAGCACGTGTCATCCATCGTGCGCCCTGCTGATCTACAGTCTTTCTTTCTTCCCCAGAGCACGTGGTATCCATCCTGTGCGCCCTGCTGAGGCACTGCCGCGGCCAGCTGCGTCAGCGAATAGTGGCCAAATTCACGGAGAACGACTGTGAAAAGGTGGACCGCCTCATGGAGCTGCACTTCAAGTACCTGGACAAGGTAGGTCCAGGAATGGGCGTAGAGTGAAACCCCATTATCAACGTGCCCAAGCGCCATCAAAGGAGGGCTTTGAGGCAATATTTTTCCCAGCTCCCTTACCTGTCCCTCTCTATTCCCAGAGCACATGGCTACTAGGCGGACGATACAGGGTGGCAGCTAAGTGCCTATCTGACCTTACTAATCGCATCCTTCACACTAACCTGACCAGCTGCAGCTTACTTAACTGTTGCAGCTGCTGACTCTGAGCTGCAACCGACCGCAGCTGTACGCGGTACATGTCGGTAGTCCATGCCCCTCAGCTGACGGCCGATCCTGTCCCTAGCTATACAGCACGGACGGGCGGTACCTTTCTGTTCTGGGCTAGTATCCATCTGTAGAGGCTCATTACCTCTCCGTCCGGGGTCTGTAGGCACCCCTCCGTGCAGAAGCAGTACCCGTCATACCTCTGCGCCCTCCAGTCCCAGTTGTGCACTGTGCACTGTGCAGCACAGACAGGCGGTTTTTCTGTACAGACCTGGTGGCTGGTGCCTTTCTCACCGTTACCCGTACCACCAGGTATACAGCACGGACGCGGCGCTGGAGTCCGAGCGCGGACTGGAGGATGACGAGCTGTACGTGCGCCGGCTCGAGGGCGGACTGTTCACACTGCAGCTGGTCGACTTTATCGTACTGGAGGCGTGTGCCGCCGGCGCCGCCCAGGTCAAACAGCGCGTCATGCAGATGCTGAACATCAGGAATGCATCGGTGAAGACCATCCGAAATATTATGAGAGGTGAGCCGACTCGCCGCAGCCGGTGATCGCTGGAGCTCCGCCCGGCGTAGGATGATAAGGTGTTGAACGTTGGTATAAGTGTACGACTTTGCGGTTAATGGAAGAGGGTCGTTGATCCCCATTCAACAACGGAACGTTTGGTGGCTGTTAGAAGTCTACAGCGCCTTTTAACGAATTGACGTTGATACGCAGATTGATGCCGACATAAGAAGCGATGTCACTCACATTTTTTGTGGTAATGACTTGAAACTTAGATATTCATTGATTTCGCTCCCTTCCTATCCTAACCAAAGCTGACTGTTGCTCCATTTGACGCTAATTCGCCTCGTGTGACCTGATGTGACCCTAGTGTTCTGTGCCCTGTGCAGTGTGCACCCATGGGACCTGACGTTCTGTCTGATTTTACCTGCCCCTCCTGTTCTGTGGCCTGAACTGACCTGACCTCGCCCTCTGTCCGGCAGAGTACGCCGGTAATCTGGGGGACACCGACGACTCTGAGGAGCGCCAGGCGGAGCAGCAGCGGATACTGCAACTGGTCGACAAGTTCTGAGTCATCTGCCCCGTCCCCCCCCCCCCCCACCCATTATACACCTACCCATTGTCTCATCACCCGCCGCCGCCAATACATTATCATGTCAATCAGAACGCGTGTAGACCGACCCAGGCCAAATCTAGGGGCTCCGAATGCGAATCCGAACGGGCCAAGTACTAATTAGGGCCTAATAGGGCTCCGTGCCCCAAGACTACTTTCCGTGCTTTTCCATAGGAATGCTCGACATATGGCACATTGTTTCGGAAATTCCAATTTCCAAGGGCGGATACACACAATCCAAAGAGGGTAATATCAATTGTGAGTATATTATAGTGAAAGTACAAGACATGACTGGACATTTTGTGTAGTGTCGGACAATTGCACTTCCCCTTCGCCTCTTTTCGTTCGCGTGTCGTGACCGGTCATCTGCACCCTCCGAGATGAGTTGATGACACATCCAGCGCACTGTCTAACAGGCGGCACTTCCAGGCACCCGTCGCTCGCCGAGGCATCGTCGAACTCGTTTCATCACTCGCCGAAGAAGTAGTTGAATTCCTCGAGTTCCTCCTCGGTCTCCTTGGCCGTCTTTCGCTGCAGCTGCTGCGGGGTGGGAGGCCGGGAGCGGAACACCAGCGGCCGGCCCGTGTGTCGCACCACCTCAGCCATAGCGCGCTGGCGCGTCCGGCGCAGCCGCTCCGCCTGCGCCTGCTGCTGCTGCACGATCTTGAGCTCGCGCAGCTTCAGACGACGCTCGCGGTCACGCAGCTGGGGAGGGAAGGGGGACGGGGTGAGGGCGAGGCTGAGCCTGAGGTGGGCTGGAAAAAGCTGATCAGTCATCCATAATTCGTTAACACTTCAGTTGCCAGATAAAACCATCGAATAATCGGCTGAAGTTTCTTATGAACACCAAGAACGCACCCACACCCGACCGATTTGCCACACAGAACACTATACATTATACAAGCCTCGCTCCCATTGTACTACGCCGACCAATATCAATTTCCTAATAACTACCACCCACCCCTGGGTTGACGACCCGCCCCAGACCGTCTTCTCTTACCTTTTCCGCAGCATGCAGCCGGTCGGCAGGCACCGTCTCCAGGTAGCCGAACATGTCCTCGATGTGGCTCTCGAGCGAGGCCAGCATCTGCAGCGTGCTGATGTTGGCCTGGTTCTCGCCCAGGATCACTGTGTACACCTCAGTGACGCGTTCGTTGAGCTCGGCCAGAGCGCTCTCCTGCTCCTCCGCCTTGAACTCGCCCTGGTTGAAGATCTTGCAGAACAGCTCCAGCTGTTCGCTCTTCTCCTCCTCCCACCTGGAGACGGGACGTCATCCGGCAATGGTTGACGGTCTGATACAGGATAGGTATTCGCCAATCGCTATATACCGCCTCGGGGAACCTTTGAGGTCGGTCATATATTGAAACTCCCACGAGTAACACTATCTGACGGCCTGAGCGGCCCTGCCCGATGCACGGGAGAGGCAGCTCCCGTCTGTGTGCGTTCCACAGTTGATGACGAATTGATCAGACCGGCCGATACCCTGACTGATACCATTTTTCTACCAATAATTGATGCGGTAGCAATGTCCCCTGAAGAGACTCCTCAACGGTGCGGTGTGGGCCACACTTACCTGACGGCTTCCTCCAGGAGTCCGACCTGCTGCTCCAGCACGGTCACCTCGCGGCTGATCCGCTCCTTGGTCACCTCGCCGGAGGTCTTCATCTCCTCTAGCGACTCCTCAGTTTCCTGATCGACCAAACAGGGGAGGGGAGTCAGACGGGGTCCGATGGACTGCGGGGAGAGGAGTCATTTGGCGGTCCTGTTGACTGCCCAAAATACAACTTGAGTACAGATTTAACTACGACTCGAGGCAGTGCCCTTGGACATGATTATATCCACCTCGAAAACATTGTACAGGGAAGTAAATTTGATTCGCAGTTGAAATGAGATGCCCGAATGTCCTCTAGCTCTTGGAAGCCCCGTGATCGGCAAAGACCGTATCCTATCAATCCGTACCCCTACGCCCTGCAACTCCGGTGTCTGACTGACCTGCGAGTTCTGTATCAGCTTCAGGTTCTGCTCCTCCAGCTCCTGGAAGACGGCGAACAGCTGCTGGGTGTCTGAGAAGTAGAGCTCGGCGTCGGCGGCCGTCTCGTCGTCCTGCAGGGCGCAGGACGAGGTGCGCTGCGGCAGCATGCTCGGCCGCCGCGCCGTCGGCACGCTGGTCACCGTGGCCAGCGTGGTGACGGAGGCGCGCGCCGAGTTGGCCGCCGTCGGCGTGCCGGCGCCGCTCGCCGCGATCGAGGCTTTGCGCCGCGAGAACTGGTTGCTGGCGCGGCTGGAGACGGGCGCCAGTGTGGCGCGCCGGTTGTTCACCGCCAGCTGGCTGACGCGGCTCGGCGTCGTGTTGAGGTTGCTACGCCGGCGCCTCTGGCGGTGCTCGGGAGCCAACAGACTGCCCGATTGCGACAGCAGCGAGGCCGTCTCGTCGAGCTGCAGCGCCTCGCGCTCCAGCCGCAGCCGCTGGGCGTTGGCCTCGCGCTCCGCACGCCACTCGGCGGGCGCCAGCAGGAACAGGAAGCGCCGGTACATGCGCAGCTCGCGGAACCGCTCCTCCAGCTTGATGATGAAGCTCTTGGTGGCCATGATCTGGATGTTGATCTGGCGGATCTGTGCCACCTTATCCAGTGTCGTTTTGGCCTCGTCCTCGGCTAGACGGATCGCCTCGACCGCCATGTGATCGTTCTCCTTGAGAAACTCGTCAAACACCTGGTAGTCCTTTTCGATCTTCTTCTTATCGTGGTCCAGCCGCTCCTGCTCCTCCTTCACTGTCGTGTCCAGCTTGGTCATCTGCTCGCGCTTCACGTTGATGGTGTACTGGAGGAAGAACATGTCCTTCTTGTTCTGCACGAACTCAGCCAGCGTCTGCCGCTCGACACCCTTGTTTTGCATGGCCACTCGCGTGTAGGCCAGGTTCTTGCGGAAAAAGGCGTCATCCTGCGCCACCTGCGGGTCCTCGGGCTCGGGCGTCGGCGGCAGCCTGGCGGTGATCCGCGGCTGGTGATACTGCCGCTTGTAGATGGGCATCGAGAGCTGCATGTCCTTCTTCTCCTTCTGGTTTTGCACATCCTGCTGCCGGAAGGTGAACACCTCCGAGTTTGCCGGCAGCACGAACGGGTTGTCGGCGTCCTCCGGGTCGACCCGCATCTGCGGCCGTTGGATGGTGCGCGACCGCGTCCCCTCGGCGGACGTCATGGCGGCGACCGCTCCTGAAAAGGCACCGGACATGTTCATTAGCTTCCATAGCGCTGTTGACGTGTAAGCAAAGGTCGACAAACGACAACGTTCGAACGCTCAGCTCAAACGCATGAGGAATCGGCGATTATCCTACCCCTAGCATGTCCATGGGGAGGGACAACCTGACTCATGGGCCATGGCGAAAGAATGACCATTAACCAGCTTTGACCCAGACAAGAAAGAGCATAGAAATACAAAGCATCTGCACTCACCTAGATGTGGCCTGAAGCGATGCTACGGTGAAGGAGATTTGCAAGAATGGTGCTCACTGGAGTGATGCATTCCTGGTTGAGGTGCCTTGGGTTTGACATTTTTCTTGTGAGAGGGTTATTGCCTGGATTATGACTAGGCAATGTGGCTGGTCAGGTCATCTAAGTGATAAACATTAATCAGATCGTGTAAATATCGCTGATATTGATAACCTGTGGAACGTAGAAGCCTGCAGCCGCCGGAAGTTTGCCGCCGTGCAGCCTTTTTTAAGATAAAAGACGCCTTTACGTCCTTTATCTTTCGGCACCTCACAGCTGATTGGCTCCGATGCACACCGAGCAGTTACCATGGCAACTGCCATTCTCATATGGCACAGCTTTACCTTCATATGGCACCGTTACAGAAATGGCGCTATAGAGACGGACGTCCAAACACGTGCGCTGAAGTTTTCCGCTTTGTTTACATGTTAAGATGGAGGGGGTGTGGGCGTAGATTCTGGGGAGGATTGGCAAAAATTCATGGATTAGTTGTGTTTCGGTGGTTGAAAGCGTAACTAGATGGGAACGCAATTTTTGGCGTTCCACATTTGACCTCATAAAGAGTTTGCCGCTTGAATCGCCGTCGAAGCGTCTGACTGCCAACTCAAACTGGACTGGAGTCAGCTTGGGAGTCAGGCCCGAGAAACGAGAATGCTGAGGTTCAAAAATATATTTCCTCACAAATTACCAGCTGTGATTGGTATGGTTCATGTTCAGGCTCTTCCTGGTGAGTAACCTAATTTGGATTCTGAGCCCATTTCTGTGCTAGTTATAAGCCTTCTAGCTGCCATATCAATTATGTATTATCAATTTCATGATATCTAATGAAGTTACTGATCTTCATATTTCTGGCTTCTCAGCCTTGGTGGTGTACCTACATGCTACATGAATTTCACCAACAATTATTACAGATAAAACTCTGACTCCAATTTCAGTTTCGAAAATCGACTCAAGTTTGCCTCACTGTCACGACAGAACTCTCAACTCAGACCAACTTCGATTCTGATATTGCATCCCTGATTTGCAGACTCTTGAGCAGTCTGTTTTTACTTGTCTGTGACAGGCATTACAATTAGGGCTGCGGAGTCACTGGATTTATTTGTGACTTGACTCTGGCCTAAGAATGACTCTGACTCTGACTCCAGATCTGACTCCATATGGTTCTCTTAAAATCTGTATCATCATGACCATAAAGTTCACATTGGGGATGCTTTTATTTTGCCTGAAATGATCATTTGTGCATTCCAAGCCTCCAAGGCCAATTGCATTGCAAACATGTTTTACAAATAACATATAGAAATAAAAGCATGGGATTGGGTTCTGGGCTCTGGCGATTGGTGAATCCATCCTCCTCTGCTTCTTTCACTGAAAATGCTTGATCAAAACAGGAATATGACCTTTTTCGACAAAATTTGATTTCAAAAGGTTTACGAGCATAGTATCATCAAGCAACCAGGGCGGTGTTTCACGGGACGCTGCTACCACGCTGCTATCAAATTGCGCGAGCTGACGTCACACTTGTAGTAGTGTTGGAGCAATGGGGCTGTTGATGTTTCCATGGAAACCCAATTTGACACGTGTAAAAGCAGCGTGCTGCTATCACCGCTGAAACAGGGCCCAGGTGCAGGGTATGACATTGAGAGATGCAGCACTAACTCCGATTCCGGAGTCAGAGTTGTTAAGATTTTAGTGACTCCAATTCTAACTCCGGGCAGAACTGTGGACTTCGACTGACTCTGACTCCAATGCCGCAGTCCTAATTTTACTTATGTATTTTCCAGGTACTCCGTTGAATAAGCATCCAGTGGAGAAACTTGTTGAAGCTGCCTGTGCTGAGGCAGAAACATACTCCAAATGTAATGTGGTAAGTTTTGCAGTGATTGATGGACTGATGGGCTGGGTGCTGGCTCTGACTGCTCTTTTCATTCACGCTCTCACCTGCTTCTGACCACAATTCCATGGGCAGGGGCACATATGCTATCCAGATTACCAAATGTAAATCATATAAGCTTTCTTGTACTTCTCAGTTCTCAAAGTGGACTAGCTTTACATAATCACATAGTCCCTTATTTTCATTTTCATATCCTGGAATAGCTACTTAACCCGTGCGCCACTGGGGTCTGCGTATAACGCGCCCTACTTGGGGGGGGGCTCTTCATAGCCCCCCCCGGGCCCCCCTCCTAGCTCTGAAACTACTGGGCCGATCGCCAAAATTCAAACGGCATCTGATAGCCCCGGAAAACTGTCGAACGAAACCTAATTTCATTGACCTCGAGGTTACCGATGACGTCACAGGTCAGGTCAAAGTAAAAATTATTAACATTTTGGCTTGTTTACATTTTGGGCTCTGGCCGCCGTCTTTCAAGTCGGATCAGGCTCATTTTTTGTTTACACACTCATGAACAGATGCTTTTGATACCCTGAGGGTACCAAACTTGTACTTTGATATTCAGGTCAGGGTCAGGCGTCAGCCTTTTCAGGTCAGGGTCAGGTCATCACAGGTCACGGAAATATTATATCATGTGTCGGTCACGTGACACATGTTTTATGGTCCATTTAGGCCATATAATTCGAATTTGATGTCGTTTGTGTCGTTTGAGGTCATTTTGAGTTGAATTTAGCTTAGGTCAGGTCACTTTCAGGTCGAAAAAGGTCAAATTTTAAAGTTAAAATTGTTCAACAAAAAGGTGTCTATTGGGTGCAGTTTGAGCTCAGGAACACGATGGTGCTATTTATATTGGTGTACGATGTCAAATACGTACTGAAAATTGATTTGAAAAATTTGTAATTGTGATTTTTTTGCAATAATGCGTATAACTTGACCATTTTTGAAGATATTTAGCTACAACTTGCTAGAGTAAGTCAAAAGCATGTGTTCTATCACTTATATTCCGTTTTTTTTTTTCGAAAAGTCAAAAAGTTTTTTGAAAAAAAAATATAAAATATGAATTTTTAATTTTATAATATATAATTTTCGAAATTCTCAAAATTTTGAAAATCCGAGATAGCAGTTTGATAGCGCAGTCTATTATGAGCCCTCTCATGCAAAGAAATTGGATCTAGCTTAAAAACTGAGCTCTTGGGAGCGATTGCCGTGGTTCAATGTTTTGCGTCGAAATCGGCCGAGCATGGTGTCACTCTGACGTGATTTCCGGCCGACCTATGTTAGCTACGAAGTTCATATTTTGACAAGAGGTGTCAAATTGATGCAGCCAAAGGTACTGGAAGTTTGGCGTCGATACGTCAAGCGTTTTGGAAGTTATTGCAGAAAAACGGGAGGGGGGCTATGAATAGCCTCCCCCCAGTGGGGTGCTGGTTAACCGGGATCTAGATTACCTACCAGTGCCCATGGGAAGCAGATCACTGTCAAGTAATTCAATAGCAATCTGCAGACATTTCAGGTATGGCATCTGCTAATGACTATATGGACTTGTATCATGTGTGATTGTACCATGCATTTGCTTCACCAGCCTCAGTTTGAAGTGAACTTTGACCCAAAAGCAAATCATTAATATCTTGGATAGATGACAGCTGAGCCATGGAATAAATGTTTCCCAGTGACCGCAGACGAGGGCGGCGCCCTGCGGAGACCGGAGTCAAATTTTCGGCGACTCCGGCTCCGACTCCGACTCCGGCTTCCAAATACCGATTCCAACTCCGACTCCTGGCAGAAACGTCGACTCCGACTGACTCTAACTTCAACTCTAACTCTGCAGACATGGCAGGGCTCTAGAGTCAATGGATTTTTTTTTTTTTTGAAACTACCTACAACTCTGACTCTGGCTTCCAAAATCTACTCCATTTCTGGTTAGAACTGCCGACTCCGACCGACTCCGACTCTGACTCTGACTGCAGCCCTGCCGCTGACCACCCCTGTCGTCTGACGGGTGACGACCTGCCCGCCCGGCGCCCACAGAGTGCTGTGCCCTCAGTATCCCAATCGCTTCAGAACTCTGTAACAGCTGACCACCCCTTTCGACCCACAGGACGCTGTGCTGGTTGAGAATATGCACGACCTGCCATACTGCACAGGTTCACAACTCGGCCCAGAGGTGACTGCCTGTATGACACGCGTGGCCTCCGAGGTGCGGCGTGTAATACCAGCCTCCAGGCCCGTTGGTGTACAGGTGAGGGAGTGTCTGTTATAAGGGGTGAGGGAGGGTCTGACTCTGACATGAGGGCGAGGTCTGACATAACTAGGTCGCAGGACAGGCAGAGGGCTAGAGCTCTGAATTGCATGACCTCGGCATTCAGCGGGCAAGGACTTCGAGAGTGAGCTAATAACCGACTGTTGATGGATAATGGATGTCTTTGCAAATCAGCAGGACTGTGTAGACTGCAATTAGGCGCTTGTTTTCTGCCCGATTTGGATTCACTCCCCATTTTAACATCCACATCTCCCGCACCTTGTGTAGGTTCTGGCGGCGGGGAACCACCAGGCACTGGCGGTAGCCGCCGCAGCAGGACTGCAGTTCATCCGCGCCGAGTGCTTCGTCTACTCGCACGTGGCTGACGAGGGGTGGCTGGACGCGAGCGCCGGGCCGCTGCTGCGCTACCGACGCCACATCGGCGCCGACGACGTCTCCGTCTGGTGTGACGTGAAGAAAAAGCACAGGTCAGTCTCTGGTTGCGGAGCGGAGCGGTAGACTGACTGATTAGACTAGCTACCTGACAGGCAGGCTATTTGCGGGCTTTGAGTGTGGTAGAATTCGCACAGACTGGTGGAATATAATTGATGCTTGTATTTCGTAATGAATGTATCGTCAGCGTCTGTGGCATATTTGGGGCCTCGGTTGTTATCGTTATTTTGACGCGGCACAAGAACTCCAGCGACAAAACATTTGCACTACTTTTGACGTACGTTATCTCTGTTATCGAATATTTATAAATGATACTAGGTCGACGTCTATATGTGCGTCGTAATGCGGTCTTGCCATCACCTTCATTCGTTGGCCTGGGGATGGATCCGGCCGGGTGTACCGAGTGTCCTCATAGGATGGCTGGGTCCGTCACGGTACTAAAGTTGGCGGTGACCCGGACCATCTGTGATGACCTGGCGCTGGTTGTCCGCGTGCCGAGTCTGAGGCGTGCTAGGTAATGCCAGTGACCCGAGCCCTTGGCCGTCAACCACGTCGTAAATGGCCAGATACTTGGATATATCGATGTTAATGACCCGGCTCAGATTCTCTCGTCAGTACTGGTCCATCAAAGCCTGGAATGTACCGTGTCCTACCGTTTCACTACACGCTGAAATGTCCCCAGTGCCTTGTGCTCCTCTGCTGACCAGCTCCCGCTGCTTGCAGCTCTCACGCGGTGACTGCCGACCTATCTGTGGGTGAGGTGGCCCGTGGCGCCCAGTTCTTCCTGTCGGACGGCGTCATCGTGACGGGAGGTAGCACTGGCGAGCCGGCCAACCCGGCTCACATCGCAGGTCAGTGGCATCGAGAAATGGGTACGGGTCGGGGGCAGAATGTTGGGCTAGGAACTAGGGGGATGGCCGGGGGTGTCGGGACTCAGTGTTGAGGACGGAACACTGGGGAACGGGCGTCCGGCGGGGTCAGGGTAGAAGTGGGGTGCACATCATGGTCAGCGGCACGAGGGACGGACTCCCGGCAGCATCAGAGGAAGGGGACGAGGATACTGCGGATGGGGCGCGGGTTGGTGACAGAGTAAGGGAACGCCCATCAGGGTCACAGTAAGTGGACAGTGGCACGTCCGGACGCGGGGCGAGAGAAAGGTGACCGGGCGCCCGTTACGGTCAGAGTAAGGATGTGAGGCGCACCTCAGGGTCAGGGTGCATATCATGAGTTATAACTTATAAGTACGACTTGTGAGGTAGCGATGTTTGGTGGATTTTTAGTGCTAGGCTGGGTATGTAATTACCGGGGATACTGAAATTGGCCCGAAAGCTGCTTGAAAATAATACGACAAAGGCGTAATTGTTGTGTTGATGTAAAACGAACGATGTTATTGCTAGCTTTCAGCATCACCCCTTCTTTCTTGTTTTTTTTTTTTGTCTGACAGTCAAGTGCCGGGCTGATGGTCGACTGTGAAGTTGCATCTGTCTGTCTCGGAGTTGTCGGACGCCCTATGTACAGCAGCTGTGTGGTGCCGCTTGGTGCGATGTACTGCGCAGTAGCATAAGTTGTACGCAGTAGCGGTTTTTCGACCCATTCTGCGAGCGAACACTTGTTTATACGGCGGGCGGGGTGTATGTGGGCGTACACTGTACAGTGTCCTGGTAATGCCAGGAATGTCTGTGGCACATCCGTTCGGTACGCTGTACGATTCTGCATCATCCACGCATTGCTCCACACCAGCTTACCCTATGCTGGGACTGGTATTATCGCCATTTATTTCATTGCAATTTGTGCACAACCTGTGGCTTATTTCGTGAAAGGGCTAAAATGCGACTGACTCAGTTTTCCTTTCATTTTGCTGCATTCTACGCCCAAACGGTTTCATAAAGCAGTTGCGGATGTAACCAAATGATGTTATTAACTTTGAGCTAAGAAGCGGATGTAGTAAAATGTGGTCCTAAAAAGCGGAAACATACAACTGGTGCATAAAACACCCACTGATCCTAATACAACCACCCACTTCTAGAGGATGTAGTTTCTTAGGGCGTGAAATACGCCTCGATGAAAAACACTACCAAGTTTTAGGAAATCGGCTGCTGATGGTGAATCAATACCACCACCATCGGCTCATAAAATCTGACCCTTTTACAGTAATCTACATTGTTTTGCGTTCACCTTCCCCTCCACCTTTTGTCCACCCCTTCCCCTTGGCCAGAGTTACAGGCCTTTCGCACCACCACCGCCGACCTATCTTCCCCGTCCCACTGCCCACAGAGGTGCAGTCGTCCTGCGATCTTCCGGTTCTGGTCGGTTCCGGTGTCACGGCCGATAACGTGGCTTCGTTCGCCGCGGCACACGGTCTCATCGTGGGCTCCGAGTTTAAAGAGGGCGGCAGGTGAGAAAGAAAGAGAGTGAGAGCTGCAGGGAGAGCGGGGAGAGAGAGGGAGGACACGGGATGGGGCAGGCACATTAAGACAGAGGTGCAGAGTGTATTGAAATGACCCGGGCAGGAGCCAATAGGAGACATGCAGAGAGCGGTGAATTTAACGAGCCACGTCGTGGTATCGCCCGCTGTCACATGCTGACCTTCATGAACACAGTTCCTCACTGACCTGACTACCTACGACCCCTCACTGTCCTGACGTCGGCTCCACATTGACCTAACCACCTCTTGGACGCGGTCCCTCACTGATCTGACCTTGCCCATCTACCAGGTGGGACGCCGAGCTCTCTGAAGAACGCATCAGACGCTTCATGGACGCAGTGAGCGCCGTCAGAGAGCGCTGAGCTGACCTGACCTTGGGGAAAACACTACCTTAACAGGTGAGTACCGGTTGATAGTAGTACAAAAAGGCGAGCGTCAGGTGAGTATGGAGTGATGAGTATTGGACAGTGATGCTCCATCTCAGCCCACTGACTCACGGATCGGACTGTTCGTTTGGTCTCGAACGGGTCTCTGTTGGGACGACCCCGGGAGTTTGGGAGGGGTCTTCCACTGGCCTTGTGTCGCCAACTGGCTTCAAAGTTTCATGTATATATTTGCGGCGCTAATCGTTGACTTTCACATTCATTTCCCTTTCGATTCGGAACATGGGCTGGATATCGGCGTGGGTAGATTTCAAAGCAAACTCTGAGGAAGGATTGAGGAAGGGCGTGGCGATAACGATATCTGGAGTTGACACATCAGAAACTGACGCGTTATGTAACACCTGCGGATTCAATTTTCGGGAACGACGATGTTGCGATCTCAAAGATGTCCCATTTATCCGATGGGGCTAAAGTGAAGTGTCAGAAGCAGCGGAGTTTGCAGCAGCATTCTCGGAAGCCATTTCACTGAGGGGAAATCCCACCGTTCGGTTGGTTCCCGGGCCGATTATATCACTCGCGGGAGCGTTCCGTCCTTCTGAAGGGACCTGTTATATAATCTGAGCGGCATCTGTCCTGTCTCACACGCGTCGCTGGTCTTTCACAGAAAGATGTATTTGATTATTAGCCTGCGGCAGCTCAGGTTGACACGACACTGTGTAACCGCCCGATGGTGAAGGCGGCGGGCCCCCGGACCGGGGCAGGATGGGCGCCGTTCGCACTCTCTCGGCACCTCTGGTGGCTTTGGCAGTGTTGGAGACAGTCGGGTGGCTGGCGACGCCTGCGCTCCCAAACAACAACCGTCCGTGCTCGTCATTGTCAGCGCCAGCGGCGACAGGCGACATACGTAACAACCGATGACAGATTCCACCTAGGGCACACTACATACGTCAATATAAGCACACTCACGCGCACCAAACGGCACACCTAGTAGCGCTCCCGATAATATGAGAAATCTAACGTCACACACCACACACATATTTGTGGGTTTTCACATGTAATCATTTTTACCGTTTTTGTTTTCCTGAGGACGAAGATCCTAAGATAAACACGGACCGCGCGCGGTGCATATCGTCATCTAGTCTACGAGCGGCACTCGGTGGTGCTGTGAGAGCATTGGCGAGTTATCGGCGGGCCCGCCGCACGCGCGCGGCTTGCCTCCCCTAGCGAACGGCTATCTACGCGTCACCAATGAAAGCCTAGGTGGTTCTATGCGGAAGATGCGTGGCGGGTGCCCGCGACGGCCCGCCAGTGTCTCATGCGAGGTAGGACTGCGGGCCGCCGCGGGCCGTCCGCGCAGGCGACAATAAATAAAGGCGCCCGACCGGCCTGCGTGGCTGCCGGGGCCGGCGGCCGGCGGGCTCCGGTCGGAGGGGTGCGGCTGGTCCGCTACGTCCGCCAGCCCTCCGCCACCCCTTCCCGTAGGTAGGGTCCGAGCACCGGCGGAGCACCGGGAGCACGCCGTGGACCGCAGAACACCGTCCGTAGAGCACCGGAGCCCGCCGGCCGGCCCCGGCCAGCACCAGGTCAGGTCAGGTGAGGTGATTCTACGGCGCCGCGCCGGCAGCCGATGACGTCCTACGTCATCAGACTTCACCGCGCGGTCACCAAACGTCAAAGACGTCATCGACGTCATCTCATCGTCATCGACGCGCACCGGACCTGACGCCAAGCGTCATCCGGTATTGGCGAATGTCCTGCATCGCCCAGCGGGACATCACGTCCTCTCGCTGGCTCCCTTGGCGTCGTCCAGTCGCGTCCCTCTCAGCGGCACCACGGACCGTCCTCGGTCGCCGTGCCTCCATCTAACCGCCTCCGTCATCAGCACTTTCGGTTGTTGTTGGCGCCAGAGTGGCGGGTGGTGTAGTGGTGCTGGCGACGCTGCCGCTGGTTACCGCCGGCGGCCACGTGACGGGCCAGGTTGGCGCGCTCCAGAGCCGCCGGACGCAGCTGCCGCTGGGCGCTGCGGTTGGCGTGCTGGAACAGAGGACGCACCGGTCAGTCTCGGGGAACACCGGGTGTCCGAGAGGACTTGGGGTGTGCTGCTGGCAGGGGATCAGAGAGGTTGGGAGGTTTGACAGGGGAGCGTTTACGGCCGGTGTTTCTACCTCGCTTCAAAGTATCTACATTATGCTACTACCAGTTGGATAGTATCGCAGCGTACTACACGAAAACTGAAGACAGGAAAACAGTATTCACTAACTAACAGTAATTCAGTTATCAGCTCAATCTCGGCCGTTGGCCAGCCGCCAGAGTGAAATCAGTCCCCTGCTGTGAAGGTCAGCGGTGATGTCAATGTTTTCTTCAGTTTGACGTCAAGGTCAGTGTGAAGTCAACACTCAGCCTGTGTCAGCAGTCAGTACGGGGTGAGTGATCCCTGCTGAACTGCGCCAAGGGTCAGGTCTGACCGAGAGGTTATGCTGAATTGCGTCAGTAGGGTTGCTGGCACTGACCTCTAGGGAGGGGGAGGGCAGGGGTGAACATTTGTGCAGTATCGGCAGAGTGCAGAAATTGCACGCACTTGTCGGTGTCGGCAGCGGGGCAGGGAGCTGTAACTCAGATTGCAGGTTGCTGACAGGACGGAGACGGGTACGAACTCGCTGAGACAAGCTATCTGACACGCCAACCCTACAGGTCAGCCGGCGCTATCGCCTGTCGCCATTGGGTACAGACTTTACGGTCGTGCCCAACGCTGAGCCCTGGCACAAAGACGCTATCTGAGCTCGGTCGGCTTATGGAGTGTCAGCGCGGATACACTGAACTCTGTTTTTAGTGGGCTGTGACGCGCGAACCCGGCGGAGTCACTGCGCTCAACAGCGGGTGCGAGCGATGCGTCATTGCGTTGGGAGACGGCGTCTATCGCTGGCGTCGGACAACAGCACCTGTGGGGTCAGTGCCCTCCGTGTGGCAAACAGTTGCATCAAACCTATCTGGGCGCTCTGCCGAGCTCAGTACACAGCCGACGAACTCGGCGAATCGGTCTGGACTAGTGGCAAATCCCAAAAGGTCATCTATTTTAGGCCCGTGCATTCGTACTCGCTGGACCACTTTGAGTTGATAAATGTTTGAGTCGGCTCCATGACCGTTTCACGCCGCGCCATGGTAGTTTGATGAGCGGCCTCACCTTCTGAGCCTGCTGAACTGCCAGCCGCTGCAGCTGAGCGGCCGGCACCGGCTGGCTGGCCGCGTGCGCCGCGCGCCGCGCCGCCGCCGACGGGCGCGGGACCGGCGCGGCCGCCGGCGGCGACGGCGTCCTGTCGGTAGCGGCGGCGGGCGCGGGCGGCGCCGGCCGTCCGCCGCGCACGTACACGGACATGGACGGGTGCTCGATGAGCAGGTTCTCGAGGCTGGAGGCGGGCGGCAGCGGCGCGCGGCCGCCGAAGCAGGCCGGCGGCGTCAGCGTCCAGTTGTCGTCCACCGTGAGCTGGGAGGTGGGGGTGCTCGGACTGGTGCTGCACGCCGGGGTCACGCCCGGAGTGGCCCCCGGCGTGGCGCCTGGGGACACGAGACGGACGTCAGACGGGTCCTAGGTCGCGACGGCAGGGAACAGTGAAGACAGAACATCAGAGTTGCGAGGGCAGGGTGTCAGTAAACATTGGAGCAGACAGGGTCAGGGCACACGGTGCATAAAGCGCCAGTCACGTGATCAGTGGCTGATGCGGTCTACGCTGTGTCACCGCTGCTAGCCGCCCGGCCGCTGTAGACCGCAGGCGCGGTGCCCCTCCCAACCACTGCACAGTGCGCAGCTCCTGTGCCAGCCGCGGTCGCGTCGCCAGCCAGCGACGCTTTTTGCTTGGTGGTGTGTTTGGGCCTCGCCGACCATAGCTCAGCTATGACGTTGGGCTGGCAGGCTTCATTGGCTGCTCGAGCTGGAAGTGTGATCCCCAGGCGATCTCACAGGTCTCTGGGCGAAGCTGGAGAGACGCGGCTGAGTTCTAGCGTCAATAATTCGTGACACAAGATGCTGTGGTCTGAGCTGTTCAGTTAATTGGTAGTGGAGAGGCAATGCAACGTTCTTTTTGTGATTGGAAACGGGGGTTACTCGCCACTAGAAATTTGACGAACAGCAAAAATATGTAATCGAGTTGTTCGTGATTCGTTCATCTGTGTTTTTCAGTTCGGGGTGCCCGACTGTGTCAGTTGGTTTCACAATATGTGTCTGGTTTTGCGCGTTAATCTCTGTGTCAGTGTTCGGAGCGTGCGTCGCCCTGCGCATCTCAAGGTCAGCAGTGCGGTGCGCCGCGCCAGCCGAGGGCGGCTGCACGAAGCACCCTGTTTGGAGCAGCGCCCGCATCGCAACAGAGAACTGCCCGGCTCGGTCCGAGTGCCCAACTTTGCCGTGAGTCACTGTCGCACGGCTTTTTGACGGAGGCACGGACGGCGGACGCCGAGCAAGCTCGAGCGCCAGCTGTGAATAATAGAGGCTAAATGTGGGGCCGACTCCAAATCAGACGCCGTGAAAAGGCAGTCGAGAGAGCGGGCCGGACTGTTGCCAAGACACCGCGCTGCGCTGCTGGTAAAATGGTTATCCAGTTCTAGCTCTGTTGATTGCCAACGATGGATCGAGTTATCACAATCGCTGCGCTGGCAGGCTGGTGAACTTGACCCGGTGACCTTGTGTCTATCTCTACTCCCATCGTATGTTACCGCCGGGACGATCTTAACCCTCTTTTTGCTGCCCCTTTATATCTCATAAGGACTTGCTCCCTACCCGGTCATGGCCGTTGACCTGCTCTGACCCCGGTCACTGCCCTGCTGTGACCCCGTCCTGACCGCTATCACTACCCAGTACCCACCTTCGGCCACCATGACCCATTCGTCGAGCTCGGGGTCGTCGATGTGCAGCTCGCGACACGGGGTGACGGTCTCGGGCGCAGCGGCCGCCGGCGCCTCCGTTCCCTCGGAGTTGCCGAACAGGTAGCCGCTCAGGTGTCCCAGCATCGCTGTGGGACCGGGAGAAATGTCACACAGAAGGTCACACAAACGGTGAGGGAATCTGAAGCAGAGCTCGAGTATGCGGTTACAAAGTTTGTAAACGGGATGATGGTGACACAAGATACATTAGATGCAACTGAACGAAGACCATGGTGGTAAGATCAAACGAATACACGATAAGTGAACGTTATCAATGGGTGCGTATTGATCATAGCCGTGGAGTAGGCATTATTTGATCTTTTTTTACGGAGAAACCGGATGGGGTGGTTTACCATGCCGCAGTCAGTTATTTATTTTTGTTGCCGTATTGGGCGGGTATATTCTCTTGTTTGTCCTTTTCTGTTCAGTGGAATACCATTTTCCTTTCGAATGCGTTAGAGAACGGAGCCGAGCAGGTTTTCCAGCCTTTCCAGCGGCCGGCTCTGTAATTTTTATGTGACGGGGACGGGGGAGACGGGCGTCTCTTCCAGCCTTTCCAAGGTGCTAGGCGGGTTTTCCGGTCTTTCCAGTCTCTGTCTATGACGAAGACGGTCGGCTTTCCAGCCTTTCCACCGCCCGTCTCTGTATATGACGGAAGATGGGTGGCCGAGCGGTCCGTTTATGTTTGTTGGCTGGTGCCCGTCGGCTGATCGTACCGGTATAGCCGCTGAAGCCGGCTGGTATCGTCGCCATAGCTCGCTGGTATCGCTGCTATAGCGGGTCCCGTATCGCGGCTGTGACTCGCTGGTATCGTTCCCTTGTTATAGCTCCGGCGCTGGACGTTGTGTCAACCCAGCGACAGCGCGCACTGCGCACGGTAGCTGGTAGGTACTGACATACGGTAGCGCGTGCTGACGTGCGGTAGCGCATACTTACATACTCTAACGCGTTCTGCTCAGTGCGCATGGCCGAATGTGGACTCACGCTGGGCATAGCAATAGAGATAGCAATGCCTCCCCCCCCCCCCGACACTATACCCGTTGGGCCTGGCCTGGCGCCACACCGGGGCTTCACTGGACGACGGCGTCGGTATGTTGTGACGTGTACGGACAGGTTGAGTCGTGTATAGGCGGATACCGAGCGCTGACTGATGGTGGGGATTTGTGCAAGTTGTGCAAGATGGCACTCAGGGGGGGGGGGGGGTGATGGGAGGGGGGACTGGCAGGTGGCGTTGGGCGTGCTGCATGAGTGCAAAACAGGTTTTAAAGGACGACAGCGTGGGTAGGGATTGGGGATTTAGCGTGCGGCTGAGTGGCCAGTCCAGCTCATGACTGAGTAAGTCGGAGCGGTTGTCCCGCCAGTCGAACCTGGCGACCCTGCGCCGCGGGCCGGCAGGTCCGGTCCCAGCGTCATGGCTGGGACAGTTTCGTTCTCCGCCCGGGGCAGTGTGCCATGAGCGCAGCGTGCGCACTCACCGCCGCCCCAGCCGTGCGTCCCGCAGAGCCATGCTCACGCGAAGCTGCAGCGGCCGGCTGTCGTGCGGCCCGAACTGGTCAGAACCACCGCTGACATCACCGCTAAATTGGGTCGGCCGTCGTACCGGGCCGGCCGGACATCGCGTGCATGGGTCATGCGCGCGTCGCCGAGCGGCGGCGCTCGCCCCGGCGCAGACTGAACGGCGGCCAATTCAGGCTGCCGTACGAGGCCGTGACGGTTTCATGTCGGTTTGCATTGTGCGGCTAGTCAGACAGGCTGGATCGTAATTGTCAAGGTCTTCCTCATCAGCCGCTGCAGTCAGACTAAGGCCCGCCCCTCCGCCGGCGCACCGCCCGGGCCCGAGACCCACTGCGCGCGGCCGCCGCTCCAAAGTCGATCGTCCGCCGCTCCTTGTCCCCCCCCCCCCCCCAGCAGGTAGAGGGGGTGTCAGGGCCGGGCCGATCCTGCGTGCTGAGGCTCTGTCCCGCTGGCCGCCCGGCTCGCCGACAGTGGGGAGGGGAGGGGCGGGCGGGTTCGGTCCGGTTTGGACCTCCATCACGCGCACAGCTCATGACTGGGCTCCGGATAGCGCTGGGGGAGGGGAGGAGGGGGGGGGGCTCCTCGGCGGTCCTGGCCGCGATCACCTGGCGGCTGACGGCGACATCCGCCGCCGGCAGCGTGTATTGACGTCGGGCGCCGCCGAGTGACGCCCGGCCGGCGTTACACCACCTCTAGCCAGCGGCAGTCGACGGAGCGCGGCAGAGCCTCCCTCCCTCCCTCCCCCGGTCGATAGACGCGCCGGGCGGGGGCGGGGCGCCCGGTGACCGCCCGGGCGCCGCGGCGCCGCCCGCCGACTCACGTGAGGGAGCCGCCGGCGACTCTGGGTCATCTAAAGACGGACGGTACGGGGAGATTGAACACACGGTGGGAGGGTGCCCGGCTCAGTGTGTGCCATTGAACGCCGCCCCCGGACGCGGCACGATGACGTCACAGCGGGCCGGGCGCCGCGGCCGCGCTCAACAGTTTACGGCGCTTTTGTGCAGCCGAGCGGCCGGTGCCAGCTGCGCGGATTGAGGCGGCCGCAGGGGTTGCCGGGCGGGGAACCGTAACCTCCGGCCGCGGGACGCCGTCCGGGCTGAGTCGCGGCGCCGTCCGGGCGGTATAGCGTCCTGCCGGCGTGGACAGAGTCACCCCAGGTCGGTTCTGGTTGGAACCGCGATAGGGTGTGAGTTGTGACCCTGACCGGGGCCAGGAGCGGCGTCCGTCGTCCGGCCGCGGCACCGCTGCTCGGCCGCCGCTCCGCCGCCAGGTGTCGCCGCGTCGGGCGCTGCGGTCTGCCTTTGTTTCCCTGCACAGGCGGCCGAGGAGGCACGCCCCCAGGTCCTCGGGGCGACCCACTGGCGGACCGGGGCGGGGCGCCGGGCCGCTGCAGGGAGGTGGGGTGGTGGACGGTGGACTGGGTGGGAAGACTGGGGTGCGTCACTGGATTTGGACCGCAAGCCGGGCTGGCTGTGAGTCATCGCTGACCGCTGGGTGTAGAACCGTTCGGTGTCCACCACCCGCTACAAACCGGGCGAACTTCAGAAAATAGAAAATAAAATAAAATGTGCTTTGATGCTAGACAAAACGAGTTCATTCCTTCCGACCTCCGACTTGTTGCAGACTTTGTATGGACAGTATATGTTTGTATAAACCGTAAACTTTGTGGGTCCAAGTTGGCAGCTAGTACGGACTTCGCTCTTCTGACGTTTCTTCAGGACCGAAAGGTCAGTGTCATCTTGGCCCGAGGCCGTGCGGTGACGTAATCTGTGGACTGCGGCACATCAGCGTTCTTTGTGGCTCCGGCTGCGACCTGTTGTTGGGTGGAGTGACCTCCGCGGGGGCAGCGCTGATTGTTCGGCCAAAGGTCGCCGGCTGAATTACTCCGTTATCCAGTGCGATGGGAAGGGCGTGGGTGCGGGAGGACTATAGAGGTGGGAGGAAAGAGAGTGAGGAGCGGCCAGCCTATGGTGGTTTATCTGGACCGAAATAGGCGGGGTGACCTTCGAGGGGTTAGAGGACAGACTGCCGGAGAGAGGGCAGTCGGGTGACTGAACGGGGCAGAGCGAGGGGAGCACGGGAGCGGACACTTGTGCTCGCCGTAGCGCGGCTGCGGGTGCCGCCCGCACCCGGTCCGTCCCGAGGGCGGAGATCGGCCGGCCTTGACTTTGAGCCTGCCTGCTGCAACCGGCAGCGTCTCTGGCGGCGGCCGCGGCCGGCAGGGCGGGCCGCGGTATAAATACAGGACGGCTGGCACGCACCTGTGCCGGTGACCCGACCGTCGCTGGCGCCGCCCACCAAGGTCACGGGGAGCGCACCCCGTGCCCGGCCCGTTCACCCGAAAACAGCCGCTCAGCAGCTCCGGGAGGGTCCTGCCAGCTGCGCCCCGCCGCTGTCCGCTGTCCGCCGCCGCAGCGGCCGGGAACCGCCCACCACCGCGCCGCGGCGCCGCGGGCAGGCAGGCGACGCTTTTTTCGGGCTCAAGGCTCCGCTTTTGCGCCGTGTTTTGTGCGTAGTTTTTGTGCGGCGGGATTCCCGTTTCTTTTGGAGAGTCATGGTTTGTTCAGCTGATCGCTGGTTGCGCCCAGTTTTGGTGCAGACGAACCGAGCTCAGTGTACGAATACAATGTAACTGACGCTGACTCGTTTAGACGACCGAGGAAACTTGGTCAGACTAACGGCTAGTCGGTCCGTAAATAGACCGCGCGTATGTGAGCGGGGTGGCACCCCAACCCTCCGCGACCGTTACGTAACTGATTTTAGAGGACGCCCACGAATGCTGGAAGGCGGAGTGGGCGGGGGGGGGGGGGGGGGTAATGTTGACACAATGGTAATGTTACAGTAGACTTCATCACTGGAGTGGTTGGGAAGGATGCTTTGGTTTGAATGGCGATGCATTGTCGGTTGAACCGAAATCGTGCAAGGGATGGAATTGTGGATAGATACCACTTATTACCTTATATTGCATCTTACTGATACCAGCAATACTACGTCCATTGATTGAATGAATATTGTCGCCTACATACCTAACATGAGTTGGTATGTAGGATGATTGATGTCGCCAGTGTGTCGTCTTTGTCAGAGCAATCAGTATTTACAGCTAGCTGTCGTCGGCTTTACGCACTATCGATCAAAGACGTCATTTGCGTAAGTGCAGTGCAACAATGGATCTTCCTAGAGGGGCGGTGGGATCACAAAAAACTATCGACCAATCGCATTGAATTGTAGTCTGCATTCATTCACATCAGCTTTCCCCTAAAATGAATGAGTCACTCAAAACATTGCTCTCTGCAGGACGTAAGAACAAAGGAACAGCACAGAAAAGAGCGAGTTTGAGCCACTGGAGCGCTGGGGATGCGTTCACCAACCTGAAATGTAGATGTGCTGACTAGATGCGCACTTGTTTCTCGTGCGGGATGAGAGTTTTGTTGCAGCCCGGGTATCACCTTGGATTTCTGTCGCCGAGTGAAAACTGGCCGCTCGCCTCTGTTTACCTCCCCCTCGTGACGTCACGGCCCGCACTACGAAGGCCACGCTGATTGGACTGAGGCCACCGTAAGCTCCGCCTCCCTGAGGGGCACTCCGCGACGCAGATCGATCTGCGACGCGTTTTTGGCAGCGAGCCAAAACGCAGACGCCTTTTCCCATCATCCTTTTTGGAATTTGATATTATAGATCGGGTAAGGGGCACTCCAAAGACTCTGTAGCTCACATGAGAATGACATGGTGTCATTGGACATCCCGTGAGGCCCGTCGTTCACAGGACTTTGGTATCGACGCGACTGGGAGGCTGCTAGCAATCAGCTGGTCGGACGGGCCCGTTGCGCCAGGGGCGGGCCGACGGCACGGCGGTGGGGGCGGCAACGGTGCCGTGCCGTCGAGCGCTTTGTGGCCGACGGTACGGGCTTACAATGGAGGTCGCACAGAGGCGCGACCAGTGGGATGGGCAGCCGCTGTCACTGCTCGAAGGATCTCGTAGGATTCCGTAATTATATCGCTATCGTTAGCTGTCCCTTGCACCCGATGCACAGTGGGGATTTTTCCGATCTAGCGCCTATTAATTCAAAAAATATTTTTTGGATTTTTGTTTATTTTTTGTGTCAGTAGGGCTAAGAAATGTCTGAATTTTTCATATATGGCATTGTTTTATCTGTATGTCCACAGCAAAACTAGGAAAAATGCGCCCAAAGTTCACACTCATGCGTGATTACTCAATGGGCTCAGCAAGGCTCGAAAGTATAGCTCAATTTCATTGTCCTGTCCTGTTGGTTTTGATCTTGCGAGGTCTTAAAGTTGCATATCGTCTGAAAGGCACCTTTATTAGGAATGGAATGGCAAACAGAAAGTATGCCACAACCTTACTAAGGTCACAAAAATGCCCTTTACAAAAAACCCTTACAGACACCATATTGAAGGAATGGTATTCTAAATAAATGTAGGAAATCAACAATGTTCTCCACACTTTTCCACTCCGAAATATATCCTATCGAATTCGCCACTTTCTTCTGCACAAGACAACGCCTAGTTTGGCTGCCGAAACTTGCCTGAACACGGAATATTCACATTAGAGTATCTTAACACCCCACTCGAGGAGCGCTAGGGCAAACAGCACGATATAGGTATGTTCCGGACATAGGCGAATAATTTTACTTCGTGATTTATATGATGCATATTTTCTGAGACACATTCATTAGGAATAGGATGACAAGCGTAAATTATACATATCGTAACCTTATTAACCATCGCACTTGTGGGGAGGGGGAGGGGGAAGGGGTCGGATAAAACCCCATGGTTTTCCGCAAATTACTCGCGCAAAAAGCGGCCGATCGCGCCGAAACTTTCGGTACCCCCGAGATCATCAATTTTACATCCAACCTAAAAATTTCATGACTCTGACCCAACTGACCTTTGACCTGTGGCATATTTCTCGAGACCATGTTTGGCCGGAATCACGATTCGGCGTATGCCAGCTCACATTATCCGCGGTTTCCAGTCTTTTTGTGGTTTTAAACGTTCAAATATGTGAAATGATGTTGGTGCCATGCATAATGGTGGGAGTCAAGGTCACGTGAAGGTCAAGTCAAGGTCATTGACCTTTTGATGACCTTGGTTCACTTTTTCGAGTTTTACTTGTTTCTAGAGTAGTTTTTGGTGCTGATTTCGATTTTAGCAGCCATTTGAATATTTACGAAGTAGTTCTAGTGCCTTCGTTCCATGTTACGAAGCTATCAGTAGTAGGTGACACTTCTATGGATGGCCGGCAGGACGCCTACTAATTGATCTAACCTGACCTGACCCGACCTGGCCTAAATGCATAAAGACATCGTCTGTGATCAAAACTAACATGAAATTCGTGATCAGCACCCCAAAATACCCCGTAACACCCTAACTTTGCGAAGTTTCAAGAGGTCTCGATTTCCCAACTTTAGTTGGGTCATTAAACTGACTTGGAAAGTCAGCTTATGACCTTGGACATATTATATATATATATATAACCTATATTAATTATTTATATAATTATATTATTATATTATTAATATATAATATATATATATAACCTTGGACATATATATAATTGGATATATTCTGCCTAATTTCGTCATAGGCAGCACGCTTGACTTTTCCGCGAAGCTCTAGCTTGATCAGGGGCCAAACGGCTGAGCGGGGGGTCCAATTGAACCCCCTATACTATGTTGATTATGCACATTTACAGGTAAAATTCTCACCAGGACACACCAGCCAACATCTGTGCACAATCTGGCTACAATTCTACCTATGGTTTGCCCTCTATGAATAAATACGTGCTAGATCGGAAAAATCCCCACTGTGCGATGGTGAGGTTCTTTTTTGGCATTCGATAGCGCTTACATCTTTTCGATTGGTATGAAGCGTTGGTTTTGGCTTTACTATAATTGCGTAGTTGCACCGTTAGCGTCGATCTCACCGACATACATATTCAACTTTAAAGGGACCCTCCCACCTTCAAAAAAGTTAATGAATTGGCATGAAAGTGATGTCGCTCGGTTCAGAAAGAGCAAAAACGAATATCTACCAAATTTCATCGAAAAATATTCACCGGTTTTCAAGATATTAGACTTTTACTTTTGTTTACTTTTTGGGATCTCCGCTGTTCCTAGCGATTTTATTTGAAAGTGCGGCATTTGTTGCGCGCAAAGCAGCATATACCACCGCGTGCTACAAAACGTTTTAGTCAAACATTTAACGGACGTTCGAAAGCCTGATGACGTCATCAGATTCCCGTAATGGTTAAAGGGACCCTCCCACCTTCAAAAAAGTTAATGAATTGGCATGAAAGTGATGTCGCTCGGTTCAGAAAGAGCAAAAACGAATATCTACCAAATTTCATCGAAAAATATTCACCGGTTTTCAAGATATTAGACTTTTACTTTTGTTTACTTTTTGGGATCTCCGCTGTTCCTAGCGACTTTATTTGAAAGTGCGGCATTTGTTGCGCGCAAAGCAGCATATACCACCGCGTGCTACAAAACGTTTTAGTCAAACATTTAACGGACGTTCGAAAGCCTGATGACGTCATCAGATTCCCGTAATGGTTAAGAGATAGGGACCACGCTGGTCCCACCCTGCAAGTAAAGGGAAGAAATTTCTTGAACACCATAAAGCTGCGGGGGTTGCGACCAGGATAAATGGTGGTTTCTGAGCCTGGCCGCAAACTTGGCTATCTCAACTCAAAACTAATGTTAAGGTGGGAGGGTCCCTTTAAGAGATAGGGACCACGCTGGTCCCACCCTGCAAGTAAAGGGAAGAAATTTCTTGAACACCATAAAGCTGCGGGGGTTGCGACCAGGATAAATGGTGGTTTCTGAGCCTGGCCGCAAACTTGGCTATCTCAACTCAAAACTAATGTTAAAGGGACTATCCCACCTTCTAAAATGTTGTTAAAACCAGTTAAATTGTGCCCGACTTTATAGATTGGATGACCAGGAACACGGTTGTGGCATTTATTTTTCATTAAACATCTTAGGCTTCCCATATTCCAAACACAAACTTTCAAATATGTGACGTCACAGCCCAAAATTACCTCCTTCCCCAGGCCACATTACTGTCATAAAGCTGATTCTTTTTACTCTGTAGGCACCACAACAAAGTTCAGACCAAGTTTTAAGCGATTTTTCAACGAACAAACCCATTTAAAGGGACACTCCCACCTTAACATTAGTTTTGAGTTGAGATAGCCAAATTGGTGGCCATGGCCTGCAAATACCGGTTTGGGCACTCACAACATCGACAAATGCTTTAATTCGGAGATATGGAATTTCAAACTTGCAGTTTTCGGATTCTAAGGGGCTAGTGCATTGGTATGCCCCCTTAGAATTTGTGACGTCAGCGGAGATCTAACGATTTTTAAATCTTTTACTAAAACGTTTGGTAGCACGCGGTGGTATATGCTGCTTTGCGCGCAACAAATGCCGCACTTTCGAATAAAGTCGCTAGGAACAGCGGAGATCCCAAAAAGTAAACAAAAGTAAAAGTCTAATATCTTGAAAACCGGTGAATATTTTTCGATGAAATGTGGTAGATATTCGTTTTCGCTCTTTCTGAACCGAGCGACATCACTTTCGTGCCAATTCATTAACTTTTTTGAAGGTGGGAGGGTCCCTTTAAATCAGAATGACTAAACGAGGTGACGTCACACTAACGGTCGCTCCATGTTGAAGATAGGGCCTTGCACAAGGCCCATTTTCAAATGAAGGGAACGAATTTCTTCAACACCAAGAGGCCGCGGGGGTTGCAACCTAGATAGATAGTGGTTTCTGAACCTTGCCGCAAACTTGGCTATCTCAACTCAAACCCCATGTTAAAGGTGGGATAGTCCCTTTAAGGTGGGAGGGTCCCTTTAAACGATGAATTCAGTGTGTTACAACAATGACATATTCGTTTCCTCTGTAACCATGCGAAGCTGCTTTATGTAGTCCGTCTGTTTCGTTTTGTGTGAATCCACCTCAGGTCATTTATCATTTTATTTTGCTACGGTTTCTAGGGCTGTTTTTCCGTTGAATCAGATTGCTGGAAGTTGGGACGGAAGACTGGAAGTGAGGCTGCAGTGGTGTGCCTATTGGTCTGCTTCTTTGGAGCTCGTTGAATGTTGATGCATCCTGTTTTGATCGCAGCTGGCCGGGGATATTTATAAATTGTGAAGCATTACGTCCTCCGGCCAAGTTTCTGCACACACGCTCGCTACGGCCTACGCTCCGGAGTCCGGTGCCGTCGTGCCGATTCTCCAACGCGCCAGGCTCTCGGGCTACTGCTCTGACACCTGGCGGATGATTCTGTGGTATCTCTCTTTCTACTCTCGTCCGCTAGGGCCGGGAATCTGCCCGGTTTTCGGCAATCAGCTGGTGTGCGATGCGTCAGCGTTCAGCCGTGCCTCTGGCGGGGGCCGGGCTGTGATCTCGTAGTGGTGCCGCGGGCGGGCGATTCTGCCGGGGTCCCCCGAGTCGGTGGTCGGGCCGGCGGAGTGGTGACGTGGACTTACCCAGCCAGTCTGAACGACGGGCAGTCTTGAGACCGCACTGCTCTATACACTGTGACTGGAGACGGCGTGATTACTGCTCAGACATAAACGGTGAGGTGAGTGAGCCTCGAACAGGCCGGGCACGTGGAGGGGAGGGGTGTCGCTCCCCCTGCTGTCTGGTCGCCTGGAACTCCATTCTCCAGTCTTCTGTATACCGTTAACTCTACTGAGGTTTGTCGGAGAGAGATCCCTTGTTTTGTGGATCCTGCGGCTCTGGATGCGGCTCTGGATCTGGATTTGACTGACCGTGATTTGCAGTGGTGAAGGTCGTTGCCAGACGTGTTGAAACCCGTTGCAGTCTGGGCTGAGGTGCCCGCCAAAACTACGATCGGGGTGCGAAATCAATGCAGGCGGCGTCTGGCGGAACCGCCCACCGGATGTAATGCCCCACCCCCTCTCCCCATCCCTGCTGTGTGTATTCGGAACACCAGTATGGTGTTGAAGGAGTGTGACTCACTGACTGGAGACCGAAGACTGGAGTGTGTGCAGCTGAGAGTCCGGCGATCGGCTGGAATCTGTGACAGAGTAGGCTGCTATTTCGACGCACGGCTCCGCTGCACTGATTACCATGTGCGTCCTCCGGCCCGGTGTCTTGTGCGGGCGATTTGTATCAAAGTCTAGCGGGTCCTTTGGGGAGGGGACTCGGGTACACACTAGGACATAATTGTAACTGAATCAATAATAGCACGAATAGTACATAGAAACAAAGAAAATAACGGATGGTTTAGGTGCTTAACTCCCATCTCCGCCCCACGCTCCCACTTTCCGAATTCCATCAGACCAGACCAGATCCGTCAATGTGAATAAGTTATAACCGTGATTATGCGCGTGCCATGCTCATTGCTCACGAGTCGCAGAGTTATGGATTTGTTCTGACGACACGTGTCCGTGCGGCCGGCCCGGGTCCCTGTTCGATGTTTATCAGAGCCCCGCTCGCCCGTTGGACCTGTCACCTCCGGTCGAGAACTACGGGCCGACGTGAACATTGGACCGAAAAAGTCGGACGACCCGGCCTCTCTGTTAATCCGAGACCTTTGTATCCTGTGAGATCAGCTAATCGGGGTGGATCATTCTCAAGCGACCTAGTCCAATAAAACGTCATCTCGATTGGTTTAGATATCGGCGGCTTAGGTCATCGATTAGCTTAAGGTACTCTGAGGACAGGTGGCCTCTGGGTGCTCCCCGACCAATTTCATATCGCCGATACGGCAGGTGACTAATTCACCGGGTGATAACACCGTTTGGGAACTTTGGGTGTCCCCCCCCCCCAGATGTCGTCATAACAGCGGGATGATGGGTCGGGGGGCGGACGTTTAGACGTGATAACGTAGGTATTAGCAGGTATACGTAGGTCTCTGAGGCTGCACACTTCACTTAGCGCTCTTTTGCTCCTCGTGCTATCGTCAACGGTTCTTCACCGGGCACCGCTGTCGTATCTTCTGGTCTGTTTGTGCTGTTGCTGAAATTGAGGAAGGAAATGATGCCGAATTCCGATGTTGAGTAGTTTTAAGCTCGGGTAAATACAGGTATCGTTTGCCGCCTATTGGCGGGCTTCTCTATCAGTCGCCGCTAGGTACTCATTGATTTTTGTTCTGTCATGACTAATGGCATCTGCAATCTGCGTACAGCTCACAGTACCCCTTTGTTGGTTACTTCATGAACCAGGTCAATGAGTGGACCTCTGTTCAGAACAGGCTTGGCTGAATACTGACCGAGCATGGTCTGATCCAATCCGAACAGGCCATTAGCTCAGGACAAGGACTTTCATCCAGGGAGGTCATGCTGTATATCATTCGATTCAACAGATGGCCACGTTTGCTTTCATGGTCATGGATGGTCAGAGGATCAAATCATGCTACAATTACACAGGAACCCGCCCTAAAAAAAAATCAAAACCACGTCAGACTGCAAATGTAGCTGCTACACTTTCTTGCCCTCCCCTCCCCGCCGCCGTACTGAAGCCACGTCAGTGACGCTCCGGGGGCTGTTGCGGGAACTGCCGGCCCGCCATCTGTGTTTGACCGACTCCGGGCTTCCGGCCGAGTCTGCACTCTGCAGTCTACAAACATAGAGCCTTGGTCTATTATGTAGACGCAGTCCCCGGTGTATCAGGGTATTGGCACGGCACGCCAGTTCATCGCGGAGTTGCAGTGATCCTTCTTTCTCGTGGTAGCTGCAACACTGCAACAGCCATCCGGCGGCAGTCGGAGTCGGATGATGTCAGCAGAAAGGTGTCTTGTAAAACCGTGGCGTAGCGCGGACCGTTTGGTTCGGATGGAAACAGGAGAAAGGAAGCAGACCAGATAAGGCAGTCTCGACATGTTGTGGTTCTCTTGTGCACAAGAATAACTGCAAATGTATTTCCGGGTCTTTATCACCAGTCCAAACACAGACTATAAAGAAACAGCTCGGGAGAATGCAGCAGCCAAAGATACGAAGAAAGACACCTGTGTGTCTGTCTATAAGCGGGGCGTTGCCTTTGCGGATTCAGTCTCGAAGCGAGCTGTTGATCACAGTGTTCCGGCTCAGCCTTGTCTCGCTGCCGGTAAACTCAGTGCGATGACTCGTGCGGCTCGATCCGTGTCCTCTCAACAGACCCCTCCTGCCCAGTAGGTACTGTCACGGGTTATCCCCCAGGCCGAGTTATCGGTAGTACATGTAGAGGGCGCTGGGCCGGGCCACAGACGCGGCCACCGCGCCTTGGCCCGTAGTCAGTGGTCATTCGCCAGCGGGTGTGAACGGGGGTCTGGCTGCGTCGCTGGTCACAGGTCATAGGTCACAGGTATGGTGTACTGGGGACGGTCCGGGACCACCATGACGTGCTGTCTGTGCTGTGTAAACACCGCTAAGACGCAGGTCCTTGTACTAGGAACCCCCGCTATGCTGCGAGGACTGCCGCCTGTCACACTGACTGCCATGGGTGCTGTTATTCCGGACTCTAGAGTTGTCAAAAATCTCGGAGTGGTCATGGACAATCATCTCAGCTTCAGGTCGCACATCGATTATGTGACAGCTAAGTGTACTGGTGTCCTAATCGGTCTGATGCACGCCAAGCACGTTATACCGAAGGCCTCTCTGCCTGTGGTAGTAGAAGCGCTCGTGAACTCCGTTATCAGATATTGCTTCTCGCTATACGGTACGTGCACCGCTACTCAGATTCATCGTGTGCAGAAACTGCTGAACTTCGGTGCTCGAGTTATTAGCGGCCGTCGTAAATACGACCACATCAGTGACGTTCTGTGCGACTTGGAGTGGTTGAATGCCCCTAACCTTGCTAAGTACCATCGCATCAGTTTGGTGCACAGGGTCACTACGACTGGAAAGCCGGAAGCGATCGCACAAACCATCGGTGACACCCTGCGTCACTCGTACGAGACGCGCAGAGCTGCCGACCACGCGCTGCCGAGAATCCGCACGGAAGCCGGTCGCCGGCGGCTCTGTTATAGCGCAGTGCGTGAGTACGACTCTCTGCCGTTTGACGTCACCGTGCGAAACTTTCGGCGCCAGCTCAAAAAGCATCTATTGAAAGAACAGTGTGAGGCGCATGGTTAGCTCAGGTCGAGTGGTTGAGTGCTGCTTTTTATGCCTGGTCTTTTACTTGTGTTGTAAATGTTTGACGTGTGCCAATGAAAAACCATGCACCATGGATTTGTCATGAATATATTATCTGTATCTGTATCTGTGTTTCAGTGCTGTCTGTACTGTGTTTCAGTGCTGTCTGTACTGTGTTTCAGTTCTGTCTGTGCTGTGTTTCAGTACTGTCTGTAGTGATACTGTGTTTCAGTACCCTCTGTGCGCTGTTTCAGTGCCGTCAGTATGCCGCTGGACCGCCATGACATGATGGCGTTGTTGTGTTTCAGTGCTGACTGTACTCTGTTTCAGTGTTGTCTGTACTGTGTTTCAGTGCTGACTGTACTTTGTTTCGGTGTTGTCTGTACTGTGTTTCAGTGCTGTCTGTACTCTGTTTCAGTGCTGTCTGTGTTGTGTTTCAGTACTCTCTGTTCCCTGTTTCAGTGCCGTCAGTATGCCGCTGGACCGCCATGACGTGATGGCGCTGCTCGCGCAGCTGGCAGAGGAAGAAGAGATGCGAGTCACCGTGAAGGGCTCGGCTCAGGGTGCGCTGCTCGCCGGTGCTGGAGCATTCTTCGGTGGCCTGCTGATGGGGCCGGTGGGTTTACTGATTGGTGAGTGAAAATCATTATTACGTTTTGCTCGTTGATTAGTTTCATTGTCGTTGCCACAATATTTTCAATGTCGTCATGGTTATACCTCTTTAAGCTTACCTTGTATGGCTCGGTACTAATTGTGAGGGACTGCAAGATAACGCTATGCTCGTTGATCAATGATCAGTTTATTTACCCCGCGTTCGATGTCTCTCGGACGGCGAAGATTCTACGTCGTCCGGCCAATCACGCTCCATAACCGCAGCCGAGCCCCCGCTGACCTTGAACGGGATTGGTCGGACGACGTAGAATCTTCGCCGTCCGAGAGACATCGAACTCAAAGTTAATCAAAGGCTGTAACAACTCCCAGTGTGCCTCTTGCGCCTCCTGGCCCCTACCGGGTCATCCCTGAACCCTGCCTCCGTCCGTCCTGCAGGCAGCACGGCCGGCGGCGGCGCCGGCTACGCGCTCTCCGCCGGCAAGTTTCGCTCAGCCGGCGAGGTGATCCGGCAGCTACCTCCCGACCGGCAGTGTCAGCTGGAGCGCCGCGTCAACCACCTGGTGTCGCGGCTGAATGCGCAGGACGTGGTCACTGCTGTCACCATGCTGGCCATTGGCGGCGGCACCGAGATTCGCTCCCTCATCATCGCCCAGGTGGTGAACTTCCTCACCAATGAGATGGCTATGGAGGTGTCTGGCGTGCCGGGCCAAACGTGGTGAGACTGCGGCGCCGAGCGGCAGGGGTAGGCTGACTGCCCCCTTTGCCGCCGTACGGCCGGGGATGCGCGGCAGGGACGAGGTTGGGCTGGAGGACACAGAGCGCCGGCTCTCGAGGGTGTGGGTGCGGTCCTCTTGGACAGTCAGATGTGTATGTGTGCGGTCTGTAGGGGAAGGGGGTGGGGACGATGTGGTGACCGTTGGACATTATATGCGTGATATCTATCTACGAATGCTCTATGAGCGGTATACTGCCAGGAAAGCGTGTGTGATGGTCCATCGGCGAGTGGCACTACCGGCCGCATCTGCTAGATGTGGGAAGAGGAGGAGGGTATAATCGTAGCAGACTGCTTGATTGTCTACATTCACCGTGATATATCATTGAAGTGAAATATTCTTCTATACTGTAAACATTGGCTCTGTACTTTGCACGCAAACACAGCTGTACGCCAGCACTTATGTCCTTGCCAAGAGGAATGTGCGCAGTCAAGTGAAGCACAGTAGTTGTGTGGTGGTTGAAGGGGCTGATGAGATGAAGTGACCTTACTGTTGCGTGAAGAATGAACCGAGATGCTTAGGGTGTAATATGTGCTCTTTTGTGTACGATTTTCTAAATATGCCTCAAGTACATCCGGCTAATGTGAAGTCTTGTTGCGCTGACTTTGAAATGCTGTTATGGCGTGATCTCTGCGGCAAACGAAATAAAAATGGAAGGTTTTGAAGTTTCCTATTTGTGATATCGTACAGACCAGACACCGGTAGACGCTGAATAGTTCTGATAGATAGCGCGTATGTCGGATCTCTAATGTTGTTGAGCGCTTGTGCGAGGAACATTAGTAAAAACAGTTTTAGTATCATATGACCTTTCCTCGTAAAATATAAATTACCGAAAAGGGTATATTGATATTTCGATCACATATCTTCGTCGGAATCGCTTACAAGACTGAGTGTTTCTGTCTTTTGTTAGCAATTCCGACGAAGATCTGTGATCGAAATATCAATATCAATATATCCTTTTTGACATTATGTCTTGTTAGCAATTCCGACGAAGATCTGTGATCGAAATATCAATATCAAAATATCCTTTTTGGTAATTTATATTTTACGAGGAAAGGTCGTATGATACTAACACTGCTCTTATATCGGATCTCATTGCTGTGAAGCGGTCTACCCTGATGTGGAGGTCGACTGGAGGAGCAGGTGGCGCCTTTGTTGGCCGTGATCGGCAGGCTTGGTCCCCAGAATAGCCCGAACGACTTCAACTGACTCACATCGACGACTTTGGACTTGGCAACCCTTACGAATTGTTTCCAAGACTGCCCGACATTTTGATTGTCCTGATATTGTATGTGTGTTCTGTGACGGGTCTCGGCTGCGATGTGACACGATTGGCGTCCTCTAGCAGCCTCTATCCGCTTAGGCGTGCCGAAAAAAAACTTTTGGGCGTCCTCTTGCAGGCCGCTGATGGCTAGAGGTGCGCGGTGCGAGCAGCTGGACCTGTGATTTGAACGGTACCCTGGTCACCACCATCTCTGGCAAGTGGCAGATGCCTCGTTGGGCTTCCACAGGCTCTGCTTCAGGTTGGTGAAAACCTGCAGGAGCGCGCCCTTTATAATAAAGGTGGTGGCGTTGACCTCTAATGTAATTTTATCCCCTAATTTTTAGTTCCGCCAGCCCGTGTTTATCCAGACCGGCAGCATCATGAGTCATGATAATTTATATTCTCATTTAAGCAATAAAATAAGCACATTTTTATTAGCCATATATTATTTAGCAGCAGTGTGTTACACGCTATATGTACTCCGCGCGTCAGATCTGTCTAAAACAAGTTTGCAAAAGGAGCTAGTAAAAAGTCCTGTGACGTAATCGCATTTTTTCTTTTCCTGACTTTCTCTCCCGTAATACTTCGACTTTCATCGGCTATGAAATATCAGCATCACACTTGAAAACAAAATTAATTGATTTTTCAACTCCACCTAAGCGTGGATACATAAAAAAATGACAAATATCAAGTTCTTTTGACGTCATATGAAAAATTATTTCTTGTTTCAACGGAGTTCGCATTTGAATGCATGGACTTGTTGAGAATCTCAATCTGTGAGAAAACTGGGAAAAGTGAGTTGCCGTGGAACGGATCTCTATTGTTAGTTTGAATTTGTGAACCGTTTGATCCATTTTGATCTGCTGTGGAGTGTACCTAGTCCTTTGCTGTGCCAGCGGACAATTGTAACTAAAATATAAATTACTCGATAGGTAGGTAAGGCCGCTGCCTGGAAAGTGCCGTGTTTTTTAGTGATTGTGGATTTATTGTTATGGATCATTATAGGAATGAGGATCAGGGAATGGTGGTGTGATAGGTGCCTTCATATCTCTTGGTTTTAGTTGAAATGAAATAGATGCTGATAGAATATGTTCGCTTCTGATAATTTTTTTAGAAAGTAAGGTTAAATGCCTGGGCAAATTGACGGAACCAAAGCCCACGTCACTAAGCAGTGCTTGGTGTGGAGACCTAGACTTTGCTTAGCCAACAATCCCACTCTGTAAGAGTAAGAGTTTTCATGACCTTAATAGGAGGTACTGTAAATTGTAAAAAGGTTACTGACTACTGTTATGTAAATCTCTTGCATTCTTTACATTATGCAGTTAGTCAGGGTAGGTACTCTCTTAGCAGGCAGACGTTGCCCTTGGCGGTGTTTCACGGCAGAGCGCTGCGCGTGTCGGTGCGTTGGGTTTCCATGGCAATATCAACAAACTCCACTCTGACGCTACGCTATGACGTCATCGTAAAACGCTAGTACCCCAGCGCCAGCACCATCAGCAGTCAGCACGCTAGCAGCATTCGCACTCAAACCTCTGTTCTCTCTACTATCCTTTGAACCTCTGTTCCAAACGCTAGTCATCATAAGCTAACGGATTGCACGCAACATCATTTGAGTGACGTCAGGGGCATGCCTCAGCTCCCAGCGCGCGCAGCGTCGGGTGGTAAAACAGGGCCCTTGCTGCCATATCTACATCTCACGTGCACCACAATGGTCTTTTCACAGTTAAATATATAACAAAACATAATTTAACCTGACCTAACTGGTAACCCTACGGTCCTACCTACAACCTACCAACCTACAACCTACCAACCTACAGCCTACCAACCTACAACCTACCAACCTACGACCTACCCTACTAGATATGGCAGCAGGGGTGACGTCTGCTAAGAGAATACCATTAGTCAGTGCAGGACATTTGACAACAGACAAGGTGTAATCCCTTTGAAGTTTGAGACATTAGGTGATTCTAATTTTCTATTTCATTTTCAGGTATTTTCATTCTGCATAGCCAACCTGCTGAACATATCAAGGATATAACTCAAGCCTGCAAGCTTGTTATTAATTTATTATCATGGCACTAGGCAAGACCAAGAGGGTAAGAACCGTTGAAATGAATTGATCAATTTATGTGGTGTTATTATAGTTAACCCGCGCACCGACGGGGGGGGCGGATATCCGCCCCCCCCCCTGAGGTTTTTCGCGGATAGCGGGAAAACCGCGGCGCGTAGCGCCGCGAAATTTGGTATGACTATTCTCTCATCAATTTTACACATGGTGTGCAAGTTTGAACCTCCTAACTTTTAAGGTCAGGTCACCAGGTCACTTTGAATGACCCAACCTCAAGTCACTTTTTTGCAACTTTGTCACCGTGCCAGAGCTACAGTAGATGTCGGAGGCCTTTGAAAGTCGCAGGATGTTATTAGGTCATTAGTAGCTACAATTTGTATATCTCGGAATTTTGATGTCGGTGACCTAAGGTCAGGTCAATTTCGCGACCTCCCCATTATAAGTCAATGGGGGAAAAATCAACTCCCTGTTTTTACCACTAAAACGGGTCGGAATGGCCCCATATACCATACATGACTTCACATACGATCAACCTTCACTACCTTGAGGTCTGTTTTGCTGTTGGGCAGCTGTAAGGTCATGTGATGTCATCAAAGGTCACCAAAGGTTTTTTGCCAATAACTCCTTACAGGAACAAGATACAGCCGCGCGGATGGTCTCATTGTGTTCAGCTCGTCAAGACGCATCGAATGATATACATGATGACCTCGAGGTCACGTGACCTGAGGTCAACCTTTGACCTTGACCTTTCGAGGTCAACATATATATCATTCGATGCGAATTGACGAGAGGATCACGATGATGCCCTTAGTTTGTTCCTATCTTGACTACTTCGAAAGTTATTCGAGAAAAACCCTCTCCATATCTAGCGCCGCCATTTTGACTTTTTCGACCCCTGTGACGTCATCTTTGACCTGACCTGAAAATGACCTTAGTAAAAATTGTAGACCTTGTCCGTGCGTATCCGATGCCGTTTACCGCTTGTCGCTATCTTGCTTCGTTCTCGAGATCTCAGGGGGGGGGGGCGGTCATCCGCCCCCCCCCCCCGTCGGTACTAAGTTGGCGCAGACCCCCGTCGGTGCGCGGGTTAATGTTACCTTTTTACCACATCATTTGCTAGTAAGTTGTAGTATGATCTAGAACCTTTAATTTTTAAATTTATATTCAGTGGTTGACTGGATCTGTCACTCACATCATTTTAGTAATAGCTGATGATGTTTCTTTTCCAGAAAAATGCGGCTGCTTCAAAAACTGCCTCTAAAGAGTCGGTGGGCAGTGGGGCACCGCCAGCCAAAAGGGCAAAAGGTATGTGATGCACTGTGTGGCTGCTTTTCTTTGTTCTTTTGAAATGAGCAAATGAATTAAAGAAGTTCAGAGGAAATGTTGAGTACCTATTCAATGAACAATAGCCATAGTAAGTTATGATGTTCCAGATCCATGTTATGGTTTCATGCTCCATATGATATCTCATATTAGTGGCCAACCTATAAAGGCCCACCACTGCTGGAGATGTGAGCCCTGTGGTATGATTTAGCTGACTGCTGACCTGTGGCCTTTGTCTGCCCTGCAGCCTCTGAGCCGGCGCTGCTGACCATCAGCCGGCGTAACTCGGTTCCGGGCGCCGTTCTTACCGTCGGGGAGGGCGACACCGGCCAGCTGGGGCTCGGACCCGACACCATGGACTGCAAGCGCGTCAAACTGGTGCCCCAGCTGGAGAAGGACGTCATTGACGTGTACGCCGGCGGCATGCACACGCTCTGTCTCACCAAGAATGGCAAGGTAGGTGGACGGGGCACGCTGGGATGGCCAGCGCCAGAACGCTGGGACCGACGACAGTTGACTCACAGACTCCTAGTGAAATGGAGCTGTTATATCTTAGATGATTGGGTGCTGTAGATGCTCTGGACTCTGAATGTCATAAAACTAGATACGGCAATGGAGAAGATCGTCCACGCTCATTTGATATGGCACCCGATTTTTGTACAATTAGTGTATCCTCGTCCTTTTTTCCGAAGTTAACACGTTCTGGAAGCTAGACCGGTCCCTTTCTAGGACTCCGATATGCACTGTGCCTGCCGTGACAGCCCCACCCGCGCCTCATTCTCCAGGTGTACACGTTCGGGTGTAACGACGAGAGCGCGCTGGGCCGCAGCACGGCCGAGGAGGACAGTGAGATGTCGCCGGGCCTGGTGGCCGGCCTGGGCGCGCCTGTGGTCCAGCTGGTGGCCGGAGATTCGTTCTCAGCGGCGCTCACCGAGGCTGGAGAGGTGTTCGTCTGGGGCACCTACCGCGTGAGTGCCGGGGGTGGATGCTCAGTCGCCCATACGGGGCACCTACTGCGTTGGTTCTGTTGGGCTGCTCCTCATATGGGGTTACGTGTTTCCGTGCACTGAGTTAGGAGGGAAGGAGTGTTCTTGTGGACGCGGCGGCGGATCACTCCTGAATGGAATGCGCGGGATAGACTGAAGCTCTTTAGGCGGGATTGGCTGTGGTGGTGGTGTGCGATCGCCGACAGTGAAATGAGGCTAGCCTGGAAAAAGTCGGATCTGTCCTCCCACGATTCCCACATTCCCATGTGACACTGAACCACCGGTGACCCGCAGGACTCTAGCGGCGCCATCGGTCTGGTGGAGGCGAATCAGCAGGAGGCGGCGCCGCGCCGGCTACCCCTGGAGGCCTCGGTCGCCCAGCTGGCGGCCGGATCCAACCACCTGGCTCTGCTGGACACTGCCGGACACCTGTACACGGCCGGCAACGGCGAGCAGGGACAGCTGGCGCGGGTGCCGGAGCTGTTCTCGCACCGCGGCGGGCGGCGGGGCCTCGGTGAGTGAGGTGGCGGAAAGCAGGGGGTTAAAGAACGGCCTGAGGGGGCAGGGGTGGGAGTCTTGACGTGGTGACGCTGCGGAAGCTGTGGGTGGACTCGTGGAGACAGATGAGGGGAGTTGGTGCAATGTATGCTGTCTGATTCCCCGCCATAAGACCATAAGTTTGGTGTAAGAGGTTCTTTTCCCATCTGTCCACTGTCTTCTTCGTTACTTCCGCTGCATGCTGTGCGTCCTCGCTGTGGCTACGTTTCCAAGGCACTATACTCTGTTCCGTTTCAAGCTTGCAGCTGAAGTGTCCTGCTGAAAGCAGTGCATGATTTCTGTATATACAGCTCTTACATTTTAAGACATAAATTGTTGAGCGGAGGAGCGATCTGCCGAAGAAACTCCGACTGCAAGCTTGATATGGAACAGACTATAGTTAAGCCGATTTGGAAAAATAAATGGATTTACTCCATCATAACATTTAGGCATCACTTAAAAATGTAAATATAGGATCAGGTGCTACAGCTGCTAAACGATACAAACGCTCATGCACAGATAACAGTAGTACAGTACTATAACAGATAACAGTACTACTGTTATCTGTGGCTCATGTTTTGCATAAGGTGAATAGTATCCGAGAAAAACGCTCGTGAAACTTCGCTAAATCGATTAAGGCTGAAACAGTCAACAGACTCTTTCCGCGTTCAGGAAATCGCACGCGAGAGCCTATTTTTCATAATTAGGATGGCGAAAAATCAATTTATTTATATTCAAGTCTAATACTCACCAAAGTCTAGCAGTGAATTATTTTTTGCGTATCTTTGGTTCGTTTCTCGCTGAATAATAAAACACTGCCAGTCAGGGGACTGATGTGCGCGGCAGTGATGCCAGTCGCTCGTCCGAGGCCTGGCTTAACTCCGTCAGAGGGCTGGGTGGATGGGGAGACGGGTGGGGTTGGGAACACAGCCACTGAGCAGTCTTCTACTAGAGAGGATGTGAACCAACAGGTGATGGCCGCTTATCAACGAACCGCACCTCATCCTGGAGCGCAAATTCTGCTGCAGATGAATTTGAATCACAGGGCACATTTCGATGACACACTAGACACTACCACTCATATTCCGTCAGTGCTTTGGTTTTGCACCAAATATATAAATACCAGTATAACGCCTTTTGGGGCGATTAACGGAGCGAGCGAGAGGGTGAGCCTTGCACGTGCGAAATTTCGAGGGGGTACCTCCAACTGACTTGTGCACGGCACCCTACTAACCGGTCTCTAGCGAGGTGCCAAATTTGAGCACAATCGGCCCAGCCGTTCTCGAGATCTGGAAGCGGCACCCTGCACGTGCGCACGTGCAAAATGGGTCCCAACTGACTTGTGCACGGCACCCTACTAAACGGTCCCTAACTGTGTACCAAATTTGAGCGCAATCGGTCGAGCCGTTCTCGAGATCTGGAAACGACCCCTGCACGTGCGCACGTGCAGCAGTACCCCAACTCTGGCACATGGATATGTAGTGCCTAGTGGGTGCCTACCTACATGCCAACTTTCAGCGCAATCGGCCAAGTAGTTACCGAGATATTGCAACAATTATAAAACTGACACCTCTTCGTTTTGCACGTGGCACGTGCATAAGGTGTCACCCACATGCATCGGGAATAGTCCAATACTTGGTAGAAGGAATGCAGCTACCCTACAAAAATTACCGCATGTAAATCGGTCAAGTGGTTGCTGAGATATAAGCGTCGCAAAAGCGTGACCACGGCCGGCCGGCCGGCCGGCCGGCCGCTCATACTCAGAAATTTCCGTTAATCTAAGGAAAGACTACGCTCGCTTCGCTCGCTCCGTAATTAATGCATTTGAATTGTAAAGCCTATTCAAATGCATTATAATTTTCCCGCATCAATCGCATCCGGGAGGTGCGTGCGATTGATGCGAGCATGCTTCCATGTATTTGAATAGGCTCTCGCATGCGATTTCCTGACTGCGGAAAGTCTGTTTCAGGCATTAGATTTGTCATGGAAGCGCAGTTTGTGTCCTATCTTTTACGACCCGTACCTCGGGTCTTGCCCCCCACCCCCCCACCCCCACCCTCTCACTCACGTCCCATCCGTCCCTCGGCTGTGCCTCCCTGCCATGCCGCTGACCACCTCCCCTCCCCCCACCCCCAGAGATGCTGCTGCAGCCTCAGCGGGTGCCGCTGGGCGGGCGGGGCGCACGGCGCGCCCGCTTCGATCGCGTCTGGGCCGGCGCGTTCTGTACCGTAGTCCGCGACTCGGCGTCGGGCGCGCTGCTCGGCGCCGGACTCAACAACTACAGCCAGCTGGGCCTCGAGTCGGCCATGGCCTGGAGCCTGGAGCCGATGCGCCGGTTCTCTGAGCTCTCTATCGACGAGTTTAACGGCGCGATGCACCACTCTGTGGCGCGTGCCGCCGACGGGCGCGTCTACACACTGGGGAGGAAAGAGGACGGACGGCTGGGCGTGCCGGGCCTGACGGCAGACCTGACGGCGCCCACACTGGTGCCCAAGGTGGCCAGCATGAAGTTCCGCAGCGTCAGCGCGGCCGGCTACGTGACGCTGGCCGTCACTGAGGACGGTGAGGATTATTTGGGGGCAGCGGGATGAGTGGGAGGTGTTAGGGGAGGGGGGGGGGGAGGATGACTTTTCAAGTGATGGAGCTAGGTTGCGGATATGAAACAGAACGGAACCGAAGTTTGCCTTGTGCTATTTGCAATCTGGGACATCTGGCATCAGTTTCTTTTCGATGTCATGCGTGAGGATGGTTTATTTCGATGCGTGTTGTTTACAGGTTGCGATTCAGTAGGTAATTGATTTTCGATGTTTTTCGGCACATGATTGACGCAATGTCCGGGGACGGGCTACCCGTAATTAACTGGGTGTGATGTGACACTCCGATAGGGAACCAGTACGGCTGGCCGGGTATAGAAGTGGAGTATTTGACCGACATTGCCGTCCCCTAGGTAACCTGTACGGCTATGGTATGGGCAGCACCAGTTAGGGACTGGGGAGTATTTGTCTGACAGTGTGACCGCCCCGCAGGTAACCTGTACGGCTGGGGTATGGGCAGCACCGGTCAGGGGCCGGGAAGTATTTGACTGACATTCCCGTCCCACAGGTAACCTGTACGGCTGGGGTATGGGCAGCACCGGTCAGCTGGGACTCGGCGACGATGAAGACCGGCAGGAACCGGAGCAGGCCAAGGGCAAACAGCTCGAGAACCGGGAGGTGAGTCATTGTCGTCCTGCCGGGCCCGTCTAGATCTGATGTTACCTAGGCGAGTTTGCCGTGCTTAATGTTGGTTACCCTTTTTTCAACCCGTGTCTAGCATGCTGTAGTGCCGGAGTTACTTTCACTCTTGGCAGTGCAATTATGTATCGGTTAGCGAAAATGGCAAGGCAATTGAAAAACACAATTCTAACGAAAAGTGTGTCAATTTTCAAGCAAGCTGCAGCCATCATGTGGCTTGTGGATGAATGTTTTGTCAGCGCTAGGTGTCCAGGTAAATCTGGCCATGTCGGCAGCTGTTCAAGTGGGCACCTCCCGTGCCGTTCAGCTATGTGACAGAGTCCTGTGTCTGTGTCTGACCTCCGTCCGATCCCCGCTGTGTTCCAGGTTCTGCTGGTCTCTGCCGGCGGCACCCACACAGTGCTACTGGCGCGGGACCGCCAGCAGAACGGTCACTGACACCGGCCGTCCTCCCCGGCGGTCCTATCACGCCGCCGGACCGACCCGCGCCGGCCGCGGCGCAGAGTTTTTACCTCCCGCCCGCGCCGCCGCCGTCGTCGTCAGTGCGTCATGTTTGTATCGTGTGTTTTTAACGCCGGACATCTTTGGGAGGTCGCCGGCGGTGCCATCAGCGCGGTGTGACGTCATGTCGCGCTTCACCACGTCATCAGCAGCAGTGAGCCAATACAAACGTCCGTCACCAGTGTCGGTGTCTGAGTCGTTGCTGTGCCGGGGCGAGTTACCGATGAGGGTTTTGATTGAACCAGAGCCGTGGCAGATGGCGGTGCCTACGAACTTGTTCGACAACCTAGTGGAGGTCGACGCTGGTCGGATGGTCGTATTGCCATTTAGCCGCAAGTTACTTGTTAGACACAGATCGCCCCATCGACAACACCGATAGCACCCACCGACAGGTTTACCCTGTCGCAGTCCTCAGAGGCGCACTTGTGCCAATAACCGGGCCAGCTTAAAGCAAAGAAAAGGACTGATAACACCATCAGTGTATTACGATACAGTCCCTGTTGTTCATGTTTGATAGAAGCGCAGAACACACGGCACATCTCACTCAGGATTCTACATTTGGCTGATTATACTGCTGTCCAGTCCTCAGTCTCTTCAGCCTTCAGGTGATAATAAGGATGAGTTCATCACTTACCACTGTCTACCATCTACCACCAAAATGGAAGCCATTCAATGAGAAAAGGTGTCACAAAATACACAGTCACAATTAACAATGACCCAAGCATGCATATCATAGAATCAGATCAGAACAGCTCTAATTAACAGTCTCTCCCAAAAACACATTGTGTCATTCCCTGCGCTGTGTTTAACGCAACGTAATAACTCAGTGTGAAGTAAATAAATAAATCAGCGCGCGTTCCTATCTGGCACAGTTGACACTAACTTCGTGAACTGCCGACCACGGACAGCCCTGGCAAGTAGCCCACTAGCAGGTGAATGAGCGCTCACCGGCCCCACCAATTAGACAGTCGCATCCCAACCTGTAGCCGCCCGTATTCTGACGGTAGCCGCCCGCAGACACAGTAGCCACACGGCCTGGTGGCCGTAACCCGGGCCCTGTTTCACGGCACGGCGCTACAGCGCGCTACGCATATCGGTGTATTGGGTTTCCATGGAAACATTAACAAACTCGGGCTCTCGCAACGCTGGAGCGTCGAGGCGAATTCGCCTCAAACGCCGCACTAATACAGTAGCGCACTGTAACGCCGTGCCGTGAAACAGGGCCCGATAATAGCTGTTAACATCCCAACGGTGAGCGTGGAGGCCGGAGCCTGACGGACGAGGGATGCCTGTGCACGGACAGTTGCCGCAGCTGGGTCTGACGGACGGCCGCGTTAGACATAGCAGTCGCTCCCGCTAAAGACGTGGCCCTGTGTCCAGATGCAGCGACTGGCCGTGTAAATGCCTCTGTACCAGCCCCCGCTCCTCCGCTGTGATGGCAGCGCCGGTAAGGGTCTGGGCCCTGTTTCACGGCAGCTGCCAGCACGTTACCAGTCCACGTGTCAAATTGGGTTTCCATGGAAACAACAAACTCGTATCTATAACACTACCACAAACTGTGACGTCAGCTCGCGAAATGCGCTGGCAGCGTGCTGCCAGCGGCCGTGAAACACTGCCCTGGTTTACAACGGGCCTTCCTCCAAAGTCCCGGCTTGTGACCATGCCGACAGGCAGAGGTGAGACTACGGCTACCATTTGAGACACTCGTGAACACGACAGCCATTACCGATCGCGAACGCACTGTGCCTTGAAGGCAGTCTTTGATCGTGCACATGAACAGACATGATTCCCTCGCACTACACTTCACCCCGCCCGAAAATGTCACGGAACGTAAAACAGCAGACACTCAGTCAAATAGTCACACCAGTATCAGCATTCCCATCCCTAATACATAAAACTTCGCTAAGCGTACTACGTTTGCTGCGCCTTTTTCACCTTCTCCAGAAGAAGATTATGGAAGAAGGCAGCCCCCAGCAGGCCGTCCTCAATCTTCTCTTTCTTGTCCTCCTCTCGCGCGGCGTAGTTGATGGTTTGGCCGCTCAGTGTCGTCATTTTGCCGCCCATGGCGCGCAGAATGGCGTTCGGCGCACACGTGTCCCATTTCTTGATGAGAGTTGTGTGCAGGTATACATCGCCTTCACCCCACAGCGTCGCCAGAGCTTTGTAGCCTGTCGGAGGGACGGAAGGGTGGTAGTTAGAAATGGTTAAAGGGACTATCCCACCTTCTAAAATGTTGTTAAAACCAGTTAAATTGTGCCCGACTTTATAGATTGGATGACCAGGAACACGGTTCTGGCATTTATTTTTCATTAAACATCTTAGGCTTCCCATATTCCAAACACAAACTTTCAAATATGTGACGTCACAGCCCAAAATTACCTCCTTCCCCAGGCCACATTACTGTCATACAGCTGATTCTTTTTACTCTGTAGGCACCACAACAAAGTTCAGACCAAGTTTTAAGCGATTTTTCAACGAACAAACCCATTTAAATCAGAATGACTAAACGAGGTGACGTCACACTAACGGTCGCTCCATGTTGAAGATAGGGCCTTGCACAGCAGCACAAGGCCCATTTTCAAATGAAGGGAACGAATTTCTTCAACACCAAGAGGCCGCGGGGGTTGCAACCTAGATAGATAGTGGTTTCTGAACCTCGCCGCAAACTTGGCTATCTCAACTCAAACCCCATGTTAAAGGTGGGATAGTCCCTTTAACGGTTATCGCGTGGTGTGTTCGCTCGCGGTAATCTGGTCATACCGTGTCTACTGGGACATTGCCCACCGATATATAATCTGAGCGGGGCCTTACAGCAAAAGCTAATCGATGGAGTGTGTCAGCCATAAAGGACCGACAGTGAAACAACTACCGCTCAGCCGATGGGGCAGTATAATTCAGCTAGGAGCCGATAGCCCGGTTACGCCGATAGGGACACCCCGAGCCCCAATCGACCGGCACCTGATTAGGTTAGTGCCCAGGCGATAAGGACACTATACCCCACGAACGGCAGTGCATACAATTACACACCCCGACCCCCGACAGGGACCGGCCGTCCAAAGCCATGTAAACCGGCAGCCTGGTTTTCGCTGATGGAGACACCCCGACCCTGGCTACGACCCCTGACTGACAGGAAGTCAGATCAGCACTGAAAACGGACATCCACACCTTTGACTGCATAATAAATAGTACAGGGCGGACACCGGCTTGACCCTGACTCTACTGACCGGCTCCGGCTGCCGGGACGATCTTGGTGCTCTCGCCAAACGCCTTCTTGGCAAACACCTCAGTCTTGCCTCCCGTGTGAGACATCGACACCAACACCTGGAAGAAACGACGTTTGTCAGTTGTGAGCTATGGTAAAATGAGTGCTGATAGATGGGGGAGATCAGCACCGACCGCGATATTTTGATCCGTGATCGAGCATCCTCTTCCACCGTGGGGGTGTAGCTCAGTGGTAGAGCGCTCGCTTCGCATGTGAGAGGCCCCGGGTTCAAACCCCGGCACCTCCAACCGCCTCTTTTCCTTCTACCCTGATAGGCGTAAATATGTGAAAGGCCCAGGCGGCGACCTAACTAGGACACAGCAAACCCAAGAGCTCATTGACTGTAGCAAGTAGTTACATAGTATAAAAAAAAACTACAATCACTCAATTGTGAAATATCTGATGATCAGCTATCATTGGAACTCATTACAACCATACACATTGACATACTCTAAAATCCTAAGTCCATACCATTCTAGCACAATCCGATACAGCCCCAGTTTTACCGATACCCATCCCTGAAACATTACATGCTGGCCCAAGTACTTAATATCCCCCCGCATCCCACCTTAAGGGGGTCGGGCAGCTGGCTCGATGTGAACTCCGGCTGCTTGCCGAGCTGGAGTGTCTGCGAGTGTCCGCGCTCTGCCCAGGCCCAGTAGGTAACTCCCGAGTCCTGTTTAAACGGCTGGTGGATGACGCCCATCACAGGCTCGCCGCGCACCGCCACACATACCATGGTCGTCACGTACTGGAGCTTGTTCTCTGTGGGCGCCGGGAAACATACAGCGGTTAGACAGAGCCGAGGGGCTATAGTGGTTGAACAGGATACGGTCGGACAGAGGTGAAGGCAGACAGGGGTCGGTCAGAGCCGAGAGAAGTCGAGGGGCACTAAATACGCACCGTGATAGGACAGAGCCAATGGAGGCGAGAGCGCACAGTGGGGTCGGAGAGCGTTTAGGGGAGTCGAGGGCACACTTCTGAAGATTGGGACCTCCCCATGACTGGCTGGTGAGTCACGGTACTCCTCGAGACCCTAATGAATGGCCGCTGTACTCTTTGGCGATACAGTTGGGAAGTTCAATCGGGACCCTCTTCTGACCGCTGTACTCTTTGGTGGCACAGATGGGACACTACTGACCTCTGTACTCTGACCGCTGGTAAGTTGTGTACTGTCACTGAAACCTAGTCTAACTCACCGCTGTACTCTTTGGTGGCGTCGAGCGGGTCGATCCAGACGGTGATGTCGTCCATCTGGACGGGGTCGTCCAGCTCCGTGATGGTGAGCCGCTCCACCTCGGCGTTACGGCCGCTGATGGGCAGGATGTCCGGGTGCGCCGCGTTCGGGTGCATGTGCTCCTCAGAGATCACCTGACAGGAGCGGGTGAGAGTCAGCGACTGGTGGGAGGGGTGGGTGAAACGGAGTGCAATCTAGTTTGGAAATGTAAGGGAGATGGGTTCCACATGATTAACAAATATCAGATGCTTCTACACAACAAACTCTAAGGTGGTAATGAAGCAATTCACAAAAAAGAGTCATAAGGCCAGTTTTACCAACAGAAAAATAGCTGCCTGCCGGAATTTTGTGCCTAAAGGCCATTTCACATACGGAGCATAAACGGTTAAGCCCTATCCGCTTACGTTCCCATCGCGTTTACGCTCCGTATGTGAAACGGTCTTTAGACAAAAAATGCCGGCAGGCAGTTTCTGTTGGTAATGCTGGCCTCTGATTAATCAGAACCGTGAGTCATGTGGATTAGCGACAAAAAAAAAACAAATAATAGAAAATGCAAAGTAAAACTGATAATGTATATAAAAAAACTGTGAATGTCGTGACACAAGCACGAATGCACGTTCTCGAACTCTTCCTAGCACATCTCCTCCCCCTTCAGCCTTGCGTCCACGCCAGGCCCACGCCACTGCCGTATGTCGCTCACCGTCAGCTGGGGGAACATCTTCTTCAGTCCGAAGTACATCTCGTAGTGGGAGCGCATGTCGCCGTCAGTCACTGGGTTGATGACGCCCTCGCGCGTCTTGCCCTTGCTCTTCAGGTTGAGGTCCGAGTCGCGGCGGACCTGTTTCACCACGCTGCCACCGCGCTCGGCGACCTCAATGGCCACAGCCAGCAGCCGACCCATGTCGACAAACTTGTCCTGCGGCTGCCGGGCGAGACACAAACGATGTCACGACTTTGCCGGGAATAACCGTCTTATAATAAGGATTTTTAAATGCACACATCGTTCACTATGACTTGCAATTGCAACCCAACCACAAATTTCGCTATCGCTGGGTAAAGTCCAGCAAAATAGACACCAGCCTATCTCTATGACATTGCAAACTGCCAAGTATGCCGACCTTCATGGTTCTTACCTTTTTATTGAATCGAAGCTGACTTTTGAGTGTGTTTGCCAGACTGCCCTTGACCTGGTGGTTGGTGGCCACATAATAGACAATAATGAGCACACAGAGACCAAACAGAGTGAGCATCCCACACCTGCTGATCCGCACTGTGCCTCCCAAATTCATATTGAGCTTAATTCAGTCCTGGCTCCTGTGGGTGGAAATGACAGTCAGATGGGCGGGCAGTAGGTGCTATGCTATAGACAAATAAAATGAGCTGATAGGTAGGTAGGTGCTGATAACTGAATTTGGTGATAAAATACTGTTCATTACCTGTGCCAATTCATACTCTAAAGTCTAAGGTAATGGAGTTCAAATAAAAAACATGTGATAGTTATTGGTCAAGATGTATTCCTGTAGTTTTGCACATCCATAATATAAACTTTGTGAGAAAATAATGTTAGAATTGTCCTGAATTAAAAAAAAAAAACAGCATTCATGCATCCACTTCCAGTGCCACTAAATGTTTATTAGATATAGGTATAATTGTGCAACAGTCCTGTCTATCACCTTCATAATTCCTGGCTGCTATTGCCTTCATCAATAGCAGCCTGATAACATCATATTGAAAACTGAGTAACTGGACCATCTAATAATGGCAATGCTGTTGTTGACCACACAATACCATAACTGTCCATATGGTCACTGCAATGAATAATCAATGTCTAATTGTCACTGGTCCACAGACCAATCAGCAGATACATCTGAAGAGGAGTGAGCTGTGAGGCCAAGCTTGATTAGTAATAGCAGCTTGGCTGTATAATTATGATGCAGAGACAGATGTCACTAGTAATCACTAAGTGATCAGATGGTAAATGCTATTCATGTGTCTATTACATAGATTACTAATTAGATAACTAATTATAGCACTGTTCAACCAGGGACCTTTACCAATGGACCATACCTAACAATGAGAGAGATCAAGATGTCCAGTTATAACAGTTAACTCATTCCTGATTCCATTCCTTTTAACAAACAAATCCTGATAAATGAAAAAGAAAATGTAAAAACCAAATGTGGAACAAAGTGGAAAATTAGCATGTTAACATAGTCTAGCAAACCTAAGAAAGAACAGAGTTAAAGTGCCTGAATCACTTTGCAGTTTGCACGTGTTTTGATCACTTGAAATGTACCTATGGTTCACCAGTTTAGAGAAATGTGCGTGAAAAGTTGTGACAGAAAATATGCTCTCAAAATATCATAAAAACGCACATGCATCAGCAGCCGCAGCACTTTAAAGCCATTCTTTCTTAGGTTTGTCAGACTATAGATGGACATATCACATAAACATGTAAAATAGCACTAAAAGAGAAATTAATAGAATATCAATATAGATATCTGATATATCAGTGCTGCCACATGAAGTGGATACATAGATAGAAAGATAGATAGACTTGCATTCCAGAACAACAGTCCATTGCTATGAACTAAATGCACTGTCAATGTAAAACAAACATAAAACAAAGCATGTGTCAATAGAACCTGGGGAGCCAAAAGGGTAAATATTTACTTTAGGTCCGCAATATTATTTTAACAAGAAAAAATGCACATTCTTACACTATTTGATGTCCTGAATTCAGATATGACGCTTAAATGCATCAAAAATGTAAAATAAGATACTAAAACCCCAGCACATTACACCGCACTGCTGCACAATACACACTGAAGAAAGCACCGCCAGCCCTACTGGCGCACGCTTCCGCGACAAAAACGAAACATACAACGCTGCCCTATAAAAGAAAAAAATGATGCGGATATTCATTAGTTTTCGACGTTATGAAAATGACGTCATAATACCAAAGCACAAGAAAAACGGTGAATAAAAAAGAGAAAATATTTAGCAAAGGTAATAGAGCATGAAAAAATGATCAGAACATAACCAAACCTTACCTAACCTGACCTACTGATGTTTGCCTACTGGGGGAAAAGGAAAAAGTGACTTGCATGAATAGATTGCAAGCAATGGTAAGTCAAATATTTTTAGGTTAAGTGGTTATGCATCAGGCTTCAGGCCTTCGGCCTGAAGCCAGATACACAACCACTTAACCTAAAAATATTTGACTTACCATTGCCTGTAATCTCTCCTAAGGCATTGCCTTCGGCACTGCACCGCTCCGCCTCGATTATTTTGACGTCACTTTCCTTACAATTTATTATCACCCGTAATTTTGCTCAACCTTGGTTGGACCATTTGTAGCGGGTGCGCCGCGCAGACACGTACAGTTCCGGTCGGAGGTGGGGCCGTTGGTGGTGATACTGGTGATACTAGTGTACTGGTGCTTTTAAATTGGTTTCTAGAAGGAATAAGTATCAGAAATGAAATCAGGAGGTCTTAGAGTATCGTGTGAATGACTTTTATTTACCCCTCTGTTTTGCGGACCTAAAGTAAATAAATACCGCCAATAGCACATATCAATATCAGTATCAGTATGCTTTTATTTAAAACGAAGATCACCAGCAACAAATTAACATTTTCCAACAAACACCATTCCAAACCGTTTTAATTCCATGCAAAATAAATCCAGTCATACACGACCCCGCATGCAATGGTGAACAATTTCGAAAATAACTTTCAAAACTCCATGAAGCACAGTATTCAAGGTTGAGGTATTTATATTCTCAAATTCATATGGCAGCAAAACTGAAAATAAGGCTACCATATTATGACGTCAAGCGTAAAACAAAAATTTATGCTTACCCCTTCGTGAATCGTTTACTCCCTGCTATATGCAGCTAGACAGAATTTACATGAATAATGATTCATGTTAGGATGCCATTTCAAAATAGCATCCTAGGATGAATACTAGCTAGTATTCAGCCTACAAACGTTTATTACTATTCATGTGCATAGGCGAAGTTCTGACCAGAGTTCTGACCAGGACCCGTTGCAGATATATGCGGGTTAGCACGCGTATCTCTAGGAATTTTGGTCTGGTCTCAATGAACTCTTACGTTCAGCATCTCCCGAGCTCCTTGCATCACTGAATTATAATTTTAGTTAGATATACGTGCAGCTCCCTGCATACAAACAACAAAATCATCAGATTCTTTATTGACACGTATAAAATTGTCAGATGGGCCATATAAAAGAAATATTAGAAAACCACACACATTGGGAATGGTGGTACAAACGAACGGGTGATACAAAAGCGGTCGTTTCATCCAAAGATAGTCGCCACACGCTCGCCAGTTTCTGACGCACTCCCACAGAGAGACAGCCAGCCTCGGACAGGTAGGCCAACCGCTGACGGGGACGCGACGCCAGCGAACTACGTACGACCGGCGGCGCCACGCCGCGCCGGTCGACGGCACACTGGTTTGATTTGGCTAGAACTGACATCGTTTACCTCCGTAGCGCCACCGGGGCGGCGCCACCGTCGGACGAAATCCGACGCACTACGTCTACGCCGGGTGCAGTCAGCCGTGCACGGCCACTCCTTAGTTACGGAGAGCCAGTGCAACCCACCCAGAGTTCTGACACACCCACACAGAAAGACTACTTCAATAAATAAACACGGTCCTACCTACTCCCGTGTCAAGGACAAACACTGAGGTAACGGGGAGAAGTCGGGGTGCGGCCCGACCAACATTCATCTACCAAAGTCCGACAGAACAACCACAGACGAGCGTTCACGCACACACGCCGGGCGCAATGGCTCCCAGGCTGAGCATTGGCGGCCGGGCCCGACCGCTGTCCTGACTGATGGCGGCGTCCGCTCGGCCGGGGCGGCAGGAGCGGCGCGGCCGGAGCGCCAGGAGCGGCCGGCAGAGACGGCTGGCTGCCAGCGGCCGCGACCCATCTCGTCGGACGGCAACACAACACATCGGCTCCGATGGCAACGTACACAGCCGACCATCGAACACAGTCGACCAGACAAGAGATAGAGAGCGAGCGTTGAGCCAGGAGCCGAGGCTCCAATCAAATACAAGATCTCAGCACTTAAAAAATTGGAAAATCATCATGACCGTTTGTACCGTATATCTAGTCTAGAACTTGCTCTCATCACAAGACTAAACCCAATTTTGCACTAGAGCTTGTCATGGCTGGCGGCCGGGTGGGTCAGATGGCCGGGGACGAGAGGGCTCGCCGGACGGGCAGAGTGGCGTCTGTCCGTCGGCCGAGCGGTGTCCCGCCAGCGCCCGCCATGTTGGCTACCGACGACTACGGAGACCTGGAACACAAAGCGGCGTGAGACGAGTCTGAGCGTAGCCCCGGTCCGGGGACCAGCTACATGTAAAGGGGACACGGCTTGGGCACGGGTCGATGATCAGCCAGCGTTAATTCAGCTGGTGTTATTTGATGAGTTTCTAAATCATGCGAATGAATTGAACTATGTTATTAAAGTATGAAAACCAGTCGATTGACGGTAATTGATAACCAATTTAGGAAAGCTTTTTCGCTGAGAAGCAGGTAACGATGCATGGACACAATAATCACATTCGTAAGTAAATACGATCACAGGATCAGGTTCGCTAATTATCGCGACGGTCAAGAGGCCCTCGTCGACGTCAAGGGGTCCTAAAAACAAACAACTGACCTTGAGACGTCAAACTGTCGTGCACTGCACTAACTCAACTTAGCAATTGCATATATGCGCATCGTGCAAGTTTCATGCATCTATCCATCCATCTCATTTACTGCCTCTCAGTCTCAAGCGCAATCCATACGTTATCACAGCCATTCAACTTTCCACCACCCACCCATCAAAATATATCCATATATCGTCACATGCATCGTTCTTATACGGAAACTAAACGGTTTCCCCCCATAGCCAGCACCGTTTCCGAGCAATAGCCCGCCAAAGCGGACGGACGTGTAACGCATTACGTACCAGACATCACTCCCATTCCATCATCAACGAAATAACGTACTTTCCCTCAAAACCACTCTGTGCATCGGGCACAATGACTGTTCTATGTTACTACCTGAAAAATATGTCATCCGTTCGTTCACCCCACTCCACCGACCCGTACCGTCCCGTGTCTCACCCATGAGTTCGGTGGGCAGCGAGCCGCGCCGCTGGCATGCGGGCAGCGGCGGCGGTGCCGGTGGCGGCGGCGCTCCGTCTGCCGAGGCCACCGCCCGCAGCCGCACCAGCAGCGCTACGCGCAGCTGGCTGAGCGGCACGGGACCGGCGGCAGCAGCGGCGGCGGTACAGCCGCCCTCGGCAGCCGAGAGCGCACCGGGCCGCGGCGGCAGCCAGTCGGCCACCAGTCGCTCAGTGCGCTCACACCACGGGGCCTCCACATGCATCCCTGGGGAAACGAGCACACAGAGTCTGGTCAGCTGATACAAAACACACTCCAATCGGAATGCCCCTTCCACATTTTACCTAAGAAGTCACAATAATCGATAATTTTTTCGGTGTCATATTGTTTTAGACATGTCAACGTCGGTGGTGATAAAAGTCCTCTTTAAATCAGACAGTTGTGAGAAAACGTCTGTAAATCTTAACATATACGACGCTACCACTGAGTTGAACCAATTCGCCTACTTTTATAATTGCACTAACTACGTTGTACACAGAGGACAGAGAAGCCCTTCATCAACAACGACCCACCAGACGAAGGTGGACAACGAACTATGCAGGGTCATCTCGCATAATCTATGTGAAATGTGAACAGATGTGGCATCTATATGGCACTCACCCTCAGTAAATGAGCTGTTTCTGGCCAGTGAGCCGGTCACGCGGGCCTCCTGAGCGCAGCCACCCAGCTGGACGGGTGCCGAGCCGCGGCGGCGCAGCAGCTCCCCGAGCGCGCCCGCCGGCCGCCGGCTCTCCGGGCCTGTATCGGACGGGTGACCGCGGCCCGCAGCAGACCGCGGCGGCCACTGCAGAGCGCCCAGCTGCGTCTCGATGCCGGCGGTCGGAGGGGTACCGCAGCCCTGTCCGTCGCGACAGACGCCGCCGGGGATGACCGGTGCCGCCACCGGCAGAGACAGGTATCTTACTCGAGACGCGTCGCCGGGCTGGGTGACTGGGAACGTCCTCTGTCGCTCCAGACGGCAGTTGTACCGCGCGGCCGCGCATGGCGGCGGAGGCGGTAAGGATGGCGAGGGCGGCGACTCGGGTGACGCCAGGCTAGCCAGACTGGCCGTCGAGCCGTCCCGATTGGGCGTCGGAGTCCAGTTGGAGATTGGCGTGGCTGTTCCCGCGGCCGTGATACTCGTGATGGAAGGGTCGGGCAGCAGCAGTTCGGTGCTGACGTCACTTTCACCCTCATACTCCTCGGGCACACGCAGACTGGCCAGTGAGCACACGGAGAGCAGGCTGGGGCCGCCGGCGCCGTGCATATGCACCAGTGTCTCTGTGTGCAGCCGGCGCGGCGGCTGGGCCGGCAGGCTCTCTCTTCGTATGATTGTGCGCGCTACTGTAGCGGGAAAGGCGACCGGCGCGCTATGCCGGCGGCTGCCATGCGTCGGCACCGTCAGCAGCTCACGCAGCTCGGTCTCGGAGACACTCTCGGAGACGGGGTCATCGGTGGGGTCCGTATCCGACATCTCCGTCTTGGTCTCCTCCTCTGTCTCCTGCTGCATCCAGGCCTCCCAGCGGGCGTGGTTCTCGTTCAGATTGCGCACCATCTCGGAGGAGAGCGGTGTGCCCAGCCAGCGGTGCCACTCGTGGAACAGCGGACGCACCACGTGACGGAAAAACCCTGCCGACGGACACAGCAGTCAGTGGCCGGTCAACGGGATAGCGAGGCCCTGCAGTCAGTGCTAAGAAGCACATCATTTCTCATAAATCGCTGACCTTTAAACGTTAATTATTTCAAGGAAAATTTCAGTCGGCGAAACACTAGTCAAGTTCAGTAGGTTTTAGGCTTCAGCCAATGCTAACAATAACTGAATATCGATAGTTTTAATGTCAACCAATAAGTGGAAGCATTTTATAGCTTCTATGGACGTACACAAGACTTGCAAGCGTTTTTCCTTTCTCAAAATGCATTCAATTCAATAAGAGCTTACCAACTTATTTCCCCGAGAACTTACCAACTTGTATCCTGGCCACCGAACTGCTCGTTCGGTCGCATAAGCTCGTTATTGGCAACTTTAGTCTCCTCTCATAGTCTCCTTGACGATAAAACTCGTCACAGACCTGAAAGAGAATATCATTAGATATGACCGTATGTGAGAGACCAGACACACAAGCAATGTACCACTGTACGGTTCGTAGTTCTTACATACCTATCTGCAACAAACTGGTCATTACTCATTAACGCTTCCAAATCGGGAACAGTTTCAAATCATAGGGGAAAGTTGGGTAATATCGGCCAGTAGGTAATATCGGACAGGCGGTTATCTTCTGAACTCTCCCCCAGGTGTATGCGCAAATATTTTATTTGGAAAAGAGGTAGCGCTGGATTTCCTTTGTCACCTCCTCCTCTCGTAGGCAGTTTGCCGCTAGGCTGTTATAATTTTTTTACGTTAATCACCATTTGTCCTTCCATCCATACAACTTATTAATTACCTGTTATCGCAGAGATAAAGAAGTTGTAACTGCCAAGTTGTACCTTTTCCACTTACTTGAACATTTTTGTTATCGATTTTGGTCCAACTATCTGTGTTCAATGTGTTTGTTGCTCCCATTTTGGCGCATTTTGAACGGCCTACGTGTTTGCTATTATCGGACACCCATCCGATATTACCCTATGGGGGGAGGTGTTTGAGACCCCCTCCCCCTCTTCTAACTCGGCTCCTGGGCCACGGAGCGACACGCGGAAGGTGGCGTTCGAAAGAGCAAGAAGCCAACGCATAACTCGGAGACCAATATCAATATCAAGACTCTTTGGGATCCATTTGGACGCCCGTCCGTAATTTGCTGCTGCTGTCCGAAAATACCCAAGTAGGTAACTTTTTTTCTTCTTTAAAAAATCGCTGCGCTCCAACGCAACACCGGAACCTCAGCAGACTTTCTAAAAACAAGGTTTTGGGCTTTCTACATATATTTAAATGACTCCCAGTTACATAAAAATGATAACCTTCATGTTACGATGGCTTGAAGTTACCCGTCCGATATTACCCAATTTTCCCCTACTTCTGTACGAAAAATGCGTTACTGGACTGCTCACGTTCACAAATAGCTTTTACCACGAACCTTTTTACTCCACTTGTGACTGATGTCCCAGGGTCGGCACGGGTTGGAGATATCGGCACATTTGAGCGCGATCTGCAGCACGAAATGCCGGTGCAGCGGCCGGCGCAGGTCCAATGTCGACGTGGCAAGGTAGCGCTGCCAACCAGGAACGATAATCAATGACACTGACCTTTAGCCGGCCGGCAACCCAGACCCATTTCAACACTCACACAATACAATTGAATCACAGGCTATCAATGTCGATTGATTTTGCCGCCCTTAGTGATTGCATTGTTTGAGCTTTCATTTATCACGTGCAATCATACTGACAAGATAAGAGATTGAGTTGATTGAACTTGGGACTCTGACCAAAGATCAGATTCGGTTGCTCTTCCGAAAGCGAGAGCGAGATAGCAGGAGAGCGAGAGAGAGAGAGAGAGATAGAGGGAGAGAGAGAGAGAGAGAGAGAGAGAGAGAGAGAGAGAGAGAGAGAGAGAGAGAGAGAGAGAGAGAGAGAGAGAGAGAGAGAGAGTCAGCGAGAGTAAGGACGAGAGAGAGGGAAGAGAGCCGCGGCAGTGGATTTGCAATTTGCAGTAAAGGCCGGCGGACCATCAGCGGAGGCCGGACGGCTGAGTACCTACCTGGAACTGACCGATGAATTCGGCCTGGCGCGCAATATCGGTGGCCAGGATGAGGGAGCGTATCTGGGACATGAGCTCGGAGAACCGGCCCGGCTCCAGGTGACTGAGCATGCCCGAGTCGGCCACGCAGCCGACGGCCATCCGCCAGTGGTGGTTCTCCAAAACAGAGGCGTTCTGTGAAGAAAGACAGGACAACGCTCTGGTTAACAGGCTCTCGGCCCACACAGTGCACGAGACAGTCGACAAAACACGCCTCCTCAGAATCCTCTGAACAAAGCACCTCTGAACGAACAAGTATTGTAATATCACTGACAAAGCAAACTTCAGGATGTGATAGCGAAAAATTATCGCGGACAGGTTTGGCTCGGCGGCCAGAGGTTGCGTAAGCCTGGACCACGGTGACGTTGCTCCGGGGGCGACGACGTAGTGAATAGGGCGACTGGCAGCGAGCGAGGTAGAAAGCCAGGCAGTGAGAGAGGCTTTACAGGGCGAGGCAGCGAGCGAGGTAGGTAGTCACTGCGTAGGGCGAGGCAGCAGGCGAATAGTGTAGGTATAGAGAAAGGCAGCGAACGAAGTAAAGCATTTGGAAAAGGGGAGGTAGCAGGGGAAAGCATTTGGGGATGAATGAGATGAGAGGCATGAAACATGTATGGAGAGGGGAGCGAAGGATCGTGAATACTGAATTGAGATTAGAGGGGAGGCATGAAACGCATATGGGAAGAGAGGGATGCATATTGGGACGCGTATGGGAAGGGAGAGGGAGGCATGAAACGCTTATGGGGAGGGGGTCGAGGCGAGGCTTGGTGCGCGTATGGGGAGGGTTCGCCTGTAATCTAGCGGCCGCCCGCACCAAACGCCAGAGAGTCAGGCCGGGCATCAAGCGGACGAGCTTCCGATGAGGTCTCCAATAAGCTGGGGAATGTAGGGAATGTATATGTCCCTGCGATGGCCGGACCGGCCGGGTCTCAGCTACGTGAGGTGACGATGAGGTGGGTGGGGACATCGCCGGTAGTGAGGGCCAGCCGGCCGGATGGAACCTCATCAACGGGGGCACCGTTATCACGCGTGGTGTCCACCGAATCAATCATCAACGTTACCTAGTACGACATAAAAAACACACACAGAGCAAAGACTCAAGGTTAACAACTACATAGTATATATGACCTTGTTATTTGACATAAACGTTTGGTGCTCGAGCCCCGAAGCCGTCTCCTCGAGACCGTCTTCTACTAAAAAACTAGAATTGCTATTTTATTACTCTGGATAGTGTGGTTTGCATTTACTCACTACCAACTGGGCACCGTGGACTCGACTTTCCACGAATTCCGATGTCATCAGGTTGGTACGGAAAACAACAAAGCGTGTTACCGGGTACCTATGCCATGACGACACTCCCGCTTACCATCGCTCCGCCATCACAGCCAGTCTGCCGGTCGTCAATGTCTGCCAATGGAAGCTTGACATGTAAACCATTGTTGAAATGTGCGTGCGTATGGCGTCGTACCTTATAGAGCGTGGCCAGGTGGTTGGCAGTGGCAATCAGGAACGGCTGGTTGACTCCCGGATGGTCGAGGTCGTGGCACACCGCCCCCAGGACGGCAGCCATCCGCTCCAGAGGCGTCAGGTGCTCCCGCATCTGCAGACACGAGCAGGGGAACACGTGGGTGTGATGGGTCGGGTTGAGGTCAGTCGAGTTCACAGGAGGGTGATGGGGAATGTAGAATGCCGAGTGCACGGATTCGTGGCTTGGTAGATCGATTAATGCGAACCTGATATCGACAATTCATGCAAAGTGAACGATCAGGAGACCGTGAAGTTTCGCGAATAACATGTAACTTTAATAAGATTATTTAAGCATATTCACCTGATTTCAAAGTAAACGTTTAATCAAACTCGGTTGAAATAACAAAAATAATTGAATTTTTATTCCTAAAAATTAAATTAAATAGCAATTAAAAGCGCAACACTACAAAAATACAACAGGTACCTTCAGCGTTCGATAAATTAAAATCCAAGCGTCAGTCAGTTTATTTCTGTATATTAACGTTTATTTTTAAGGCTTCATTTGGCCCACGCAAGAAAACAAACGTGTGAATACAAACGCATGAATCATGATTATCGTCTAAGCCCTGGCCTGGTCATCGATATGTTCCATGTTGAGCTCACGTGGGAACCTCAAGTAATCTTGGTGGGAACCACTCGCGTTTTTTGTTCACAGTCGTCTGTGACTCTCATTCATTTACAAATGTCTCCCTGACTTCCATATTCCCGCACGTGACTCTTGGTGACGATCGCTGCTATCTGTAACCCACTGGTACGCCCTAATTGAGATATCCTCAGAAAAGAGCCACTAATGACGCCTAAGCATACCCATTACATAAGCTTAAGGTAATTTGCACGGTTCACCGTAATACAAGCACGATTTAAGACAAAAGATAGGCTTAACCGTTTCATGTTACATGCTAATCGGCATGGTTGAACGAAAGGAATGTAATGCGATATATACGGTCATGTGTAATACTATCATTTTCAGCCATCTACTACAACAGTTCATTATATCGCACTATAAATGAAGCAAAGAAAATACAATTACCCGGAACGTAAGCTAGGACACCATGGTATGTAGGTAGACACGCACTTGCACGATGCGTGCGAACACAACACGTGACTTTGTGCAGTGGGGGTACACGACGTTCTGTACAAAACGGCCAAATGTCGATACGTTCACACTGGACCCGGACCTCGTCGAGTTTCACATTTGGCTCCATCAGAAAGCAGTACATGGCCTGCGTCTCACCTTTGGCTCCATCAGAAAGCAGTACATGGCCTGCGTGACATCGGCAGCGTGAATCGAGTTGTGGTACGGGTTGGTGTTGTGGTAGCCCTCCTCGATCATGGCTGAAACCGAGCGCGGGCACAGGTTAGTCGATGTAAGTGTCAAAAGGGGATGTAAAACGACGCTGAAATCACACCGTGTTCGTGGTGGGCCACGTATTTACACATCAACTATAGTCTGTTCCATATCAAGCTTGCAGTCGGAGTTTCTTCGGCAGATCGCTCCTCCGCTCAAGAATTTGCGTCTAAAATGTAAGAGCTGTATATACAGAAATCACGCACTGCTTTCAGCAGGGCACTTCGGCTGCAAACTTGAAACGGAACAGAGTATAGTTCACGCAAAAAAAAAACTTAAAATGCTACATAAATGGTCACATCAACCATCTGTATGACCAGCTTTAGCATAAACAGTTATGGAGGATAAGACAATAAGCGTTTTCAGGGTATGGTGCAATACGCATAGGTATCGCAAAGATCAGTAGCAGGGTTTAAAAGTGGCATGATATTACCGCAGACAACAAGCCCCATTGTTTCTTGTAAGCCATATTTTGATATACTCACAGAAGCACTTCCACACTTTAACAACGTCCAACTTGAAAGCCCTCGTGAGTCCAAACTCCTTGAATAGATGAACACACAGAACTGGCACGGAGCGACCTGAAAAACAAAAACAGATCATAAACGTACCTGCAACGATACCACGACTCTTGCTATGAACGAAAGGAATGGTGTGTGAGCTTGTGAGGGCTTCTAACTTCGCCTCTTCAGCATAGCAACACTCCTAACCCAAATCCCACATCTAACAGTACTTTAACCCCAACATCCTCCCGCTGTAGGGCATGTTTAAACACCTGCCCAGTAGGTCGTTGAAAAGCAGGACCACCTAGTTTTCAGCGGTGACGGTGGAGGTAAACATCTCGGGCGCTGGTTTACCTCCGCTGCCTCACATCTAGTCAGCTCCTGTCCTGAGGCTGGCTGGAATTTCCAGCGCACGGCCCCACGCTGATCTTGGCCAGCGGTTGCAGACCCCACACCCACCACCCTCCCCTGTGCCCGGTCCATGGGGCGGGGTGGTTGACCTCTCGGCGTCTGACCCACCTCCAGTTACGGTGTCCAGGGAAAAGGCGTTGAAGTTCCATCGCTCGATCCGCTCCAACACCAGCTGTGGAAGCAAAAACTTGGGTAAAAAATTAAGGCCCTAACTTTTATGAACGCAGTGTTAAAATTATCATTTCAACTTCCACTGCGCAGAAAACAGACATCTCTGTGACAAGTTGAGCATTTACGTTTGCACCTGCATTTGCAATATGAACTGTTCCATTCGTGCATTACGAGTAGGTATCATCCAGTCATGAGAAGCATTTCAGCAATGTAGTTTTAAATTTTAGACCTTTACCAAGAAATATCATGGACAATGGTGATTTCAGCGAAAACATATAGGTAAATAGAGATATGTGCCACAACGTCGCCATTAGGTGCTTGCACACTGCAAAGTGCGCTGTACTGGTGCTTTATTGTCAGAAAATAGTGCGCCGTACTTTTCAACACGGCACTGTAATAAAGAACATACGCCGTACCTATAAGTATAGAACGCCGCGCACGCCGGTCCTCCACCCCCCCCCCCCATCCCCCGCGCCTCCCACCCCACCCACAGAGTACCGTGTAGGTAGGTATATTTTACACGGCACGCCGTAGTCATAGGCGAAACGCTACCCCCTCCTCCCCCCCCCCCCCGAATTTCAACTCGACATGTGGTGAGTGGTTGGGTGCCGTACGTCTACCTACAATCTACCTACATGTCATGAACCAGTTTCATTGAAATAATAAAATGTATGAAGGTTGTGTAACCTGTGGGACACTAAGCAATCCTCAAGACCGGCGACCGGGCGAAGAATCAAATAACGACACTGCAGTGGTCATGCATATTCAAGCATTCAAATACGAAAATTAAGTATTACATAATACTGCGTGCGACTGTGGATAAAAAACAATACCCGCCCATATTACAAGTTTACCTAAGATTACTTATCTATGTATTGTGGTCTTTTAGTATCCACCTAATGCCTTTTATGGAACCGCTTGCATGTAGTTGGACAGAATAATCTAAGGACCCAACGTTGAATCGCAGTTGCATATTGTGATGACTGATTGGCATTCGCGGCTCGCTCATTCATTGATTCATATCAGGCCTCGGGGTCATTTACAATTTCAGCCCGCACTTGGCTCGCACCATGCAGGTGGCTCGTGCCAACCACCAGGTGACGACGAGGGGGGTCAGGGGGGGGGGGAGGCGGGGCATGTTTACGCTCTCTCTACACTACGGGGCACGTAGCGACAAACGATACCGGCGCTGGAGGGTGCGTCAAAACATCACAAGGCCGTTTTCGGTATTTTTGTAGGGCTGGTAAAAATCAGGCCACCGGAGGTCAACAAAATATGCTTCAAATTTATAGCGGCAAACCTCCGGAAATACCCAGCAAATAGAATACTACCTATCCACACCACAAAAAAACTATCCCAGAGCCTTACAGCCAGAACTGACTAGGTCAGCTGTATCGCATCCAAGGCAAGCAATGTAACGTCATTTTATAATTAATTATAGTTCATAATGATAAACGTCACTTTACCAGCAATTCGTACTTCTCGGAGTTGGGTTTTATAAAGCAACATGAACGGTGTCTGTGCCTATAATGCGATGGGTATCACTATCTACTAATTACTTCATTGCAATATATGTATTTACCAAAAGATTACTGCACCTTTGTCCGAAACTAGTATCCCTAAACCAGGTAGGTACCCAATGGTCATCAAGTTACATAAGTGACTCATAAAAACTTGTCTTTCAGAAATGCCTCGTAAACGGAAGGGAAAAACGACCGGAGGAAAAACATCAATGGAAACGGGTCGGTAGACGGATATAAAGGGTGAGTCAGGAAAGAAGATTAGAGAAGGGGCAATGGGTACATGGGCCATGCCTTTCGCACTCGGGAATCATTCGACATTTGCTGGAATTCATAGAACAATTAGAAGGGGCAACGGGTACAAAGACATGCCTTTAGCACTAAGGAATCATTCGACATTTGTTGGGATTCATAGAGCAGTGAGTCTCTAACAGCCTAACAAGGACTCGAAGGAGGAGCCAGAAAGGCCAAGAGTCATAGTAGCAAGCCCGGAGTCGCAGCTAGAAATGCTAACGGCTAACCGAGCCGGCCGATACCAGATACCCTGGTATCGGATCCTCTATCATCGGCTATTATCGCGACTTTCTTCGCAATGAGGATGTCCATCTAATCCCATTGCTATTTGTCACACATGTGCAAACAGCATGTGCGCATATCAATAAATATGATGCCGAAATTTGTCGGTGTAACAAGAGGACTATCGTAAGGCACACCTCAGACGCAGCTCGATCTCTCAGATGGAGCTGTGGACTCCAGAAACTGCACGGCGGTAGAGTGGTCAGTCGAGTCGAGCTCACCTGAACAGGCCCGTGGTAGACGTCGTCGAGCAGTGCCCGGTGTTGCGCCAGCTGGCGGGTGCACAGTCGCTTCCTGCGCCGTTTGTGCAGCGTCAGGAAGCGTCCCGTGTGCAGCGGCCGCGTGCGGCGCGTGTCGAGGGTAGAGAGCAGCAGTCGGTCGCCGTCCGAGACGGGCGAGGCGCCGCCGCTGCCGGCGCCGCTGCTGCTGCTGGACGCACCTGGCGTACACGGCGCAGCGGGCCCAGTCAGTAAAGCGAAACTGCACACACGCTCAGCACGGCGACAAGGACACGGCGCAAACAGCCAGTCAGCAGAGCACACGGCGCAAACGGCCCAGTCAGTAAAGCGACACGCACACGGGGCCGAGTCGACATAGTGACACGGACACGGCACAGCATAGCGACACGGGCACGGGGCAGCGGGCCCGGTCAGTAGAGCGACACGCACACGGGGCAAACGGCCCAGTCAGCATCCAGCGACACGGACAGGGTCCAGACGGCTGGGTCAGCATAGCGACACGGACAGCACGGACACGGACAGCGACACGGACACAGACACGGTCAGCACAGCGACACGGGCTGGTGCAGACAGCCCGGTCCGTAGGGCAACACGGGCAGAGGCAGGGACAGCACAGCACACGGTCACGGGCACAGGCGGGGTCAGCAGTAGCACAGCGAAACGGACACGGCACAGACGGCCCAGAAAGTAGAGCGACACGGACACAGCGCACACGGTCAGCACAGCGACACAGCGGCACGGCACAGACGGCCCAGCAAGCACAGCAACACGGACAAAGACAGGGACAGCACGGCGACATACACACGGTACAAACGGCCAAGGATGAATATCGGGCATTTTTCACCTCCTTATATCATGCATTTTATACATACTATTTTTCACTCGAAGTTTGGATTTATTTGTACTAAACCAACTGTTGTCACATACGATTGGCATCAGACAAATACAACAATCCCAAATATAGACGTGTAAGCGCCTATTTTAGCACACATACATTTGGTCAGGGATAAGCTCCGGATGCATCTTAAAGGAAGACTGCCACCTTCAAAAAGTTTTCTCAGATTGGCCCATGATTTTTTCCCTGGATAAAACGAAATTTTAGAATTCACCTGGCAAGCTATCATCACGTGAATCGCGTAAAAAAAATATCGATTATCATAAATTATCAATCGGCTAATGTCTAGCGACAATGTTGACACATCACTAGACTTCAAGGTCATAAGATATGGAAGCGGGTTTTGTCGCCATAAACGGCGCGCATGTTACAATTGAAATATACAATGATCCTTGCTTTGGTTATGTATGTCGTGTTTACGCTTTTGGAATAGTTATGTTATCTATATCTTAAAATATTCCAATTCTGATTCATCTGATAGGTATATATATATGCATGTATTTTGGCATGTGATATTAAAAGCTAGACTATTTCCAGGTTTATATGAATAGTGATAGACTAAGTTGAGACAAAGGCTATTTGAATAACAAATACCTATGGTATTGGAAAATTGTCATGAATCTGATAGTGTTTCCATTCCAGCACCAATTTCCCAGTCTTCAAAGTGTGGCAGGGAGCTCAATCCGTGACAAGATGTTTGGGACAGGCAAAACATTGCCCAAAGCGGAATACCGAGACCTGGGCAAACCAATTCCTTTCATAACGGCCCCTCATGAATATGATGAAAATGATATAATGATGAAGTGCATCATTTAATAAGTATGAGAAGCGAAACGAATCAATGCTGTGACAAGCTTTCAACTTCTGCCCCAGATTTCCTTGCTTCTGCCCCAAAATTCCTCAAACCTGCCACAACCTGTGGTGTGTGCCCCGACAACATATTGTCAAGACCTGCCACGTTTTGCAGACTGGCCCATTTCTGTATGCCTACCTTCCAGGTGAAGATACCTGGTGAGCGAGGGAGAGGACGAGGACGGGTGAGGAGAGGAGGTGGTCGAGGGGCAAGAAGAATTCTCAACTTTTCACCCACCGCCCAGCCCGAGCCCCAAAGGTAAATAACTGAATGTTTCTTACGATGTGATGTGAAAGCATGAAACAATTGTTAATATTTATTTAATTGCCATGTGTGGCCTAGCCTTTATCTAGGTTGCTAGCCAATATATACTTTAAAGTGATTATTGCAATTAAAATTATCATGTACCTACCTTGAAAAGTCAGGTACACTACAAGCAGAAATAATACAACCTAATCTAACCTTACCTAACCTTACCTAATGTAAGATAATCTCACCTGACTCATTGTGTGGTTTGGTGGAAGTTATAAATGTTTTGTGAAAAAAATATGGTTAGTACACAAAACATTTCTAAGGATGTGTTCTTTCTAATCATGTTTTAATTTTGTGAGTCTCTTCATTTTCTAAAGAGTGCAAAAGGAGGTATTCAACTCTGCTCATGATAATTCAAAAGGAATTCTTAAATACAATGCACCAATAAATCACTGATTTTCACTTTGTGGTTCATCAGAAAACACATTCAACATCATTGTCTTTCTATAATGAAAGATGGCACTAAAACATGAACCACTTTTCCTTCAGAAAAGTGGTGCTAGGTGAACTTGATACAGGTGAACTTATTACTTAGGACACATGGTACAAGTCTTGATCTTATAGGGGAGGCGGCTCGGGTTGGAGATACACGTACACTGGTTATTAGGGAGACCATTAGGTACCGTTAATGATTTTACATTGCTGTGCGATACGAGGTTGTAGTGAATAGTGATGTTGCGTCATTTGTGGACTTCCCTCCTGCGAGTTGTCTGGTCCTAGGATTTCATGCACATCTTCCTTCACTTCAAACTGGGATTTACCGGTGACGTGTTTTCTCTGTGTGCGTCAGGTGTACCAGTGGAAGCTCCTGCACCACGTCTTTAAGGACCACCTTGTGATGCTGAACCCGGTGCACCTTTCCCTACAAGTGCACCGTCTGTACGGCCACATTCGCATATGTATACAAACAGTTCGAGAATGACGTCTACAGCTCTCACTCTGTCGTCGCCAAGAAGATTATGGAGTCGTTTGGCCGTAGGAAGGCAGCTGCGGCGGCGGCCGCCACCGGACAGCCCATCAAAATCAACAACGAGATCACAATTCACAATCATCCCTCACACGGGCTCGGGCAGTGCGGCAAAGGGCTCGTCTCAGGCCAGCTCGACGCCGGTGAAGCGGCGGCGACCGGAGTCGGCGCCGGCTCCCGTGGAGCGTGAGTGCGAGCTGTGCGAGCATCGCGCGCTGCCGTGGTGCAGCCGCGGCCGCTGACGGAGCACTACCTAGTACCTGCGCCTGCACCAGGGCCGGCCAGAGCTCGAGTTCACGCCGCTGATGCGCGACCCCAAGTGCGCAACCTTCGTCACAGAGGAGATCTGCGAGCAGCTGCGCCGGCGCGCCGCCGCCGAGGACTCCGACAGTGGGGTCGAGGTGGAGGTGAGCGACGCGAAGGACGGCGCGGCCGGCGGCGCCCCGTCCGCCTCCGGTGGCAGCGCGCTCAGCAAGCTCAACGAGGAGACTCACGCCTATTGCCGCGGCGCGGCCCCGCCGGCTGGTGACCGTCCGGAAACCCAAGCCGTTCATGGGTGACTGAGTGAAACGAATGGACGTGCGTGTGCGTTTTTGTTCTGTGTATGCGTGCGTTTGGAAATGGCGTCTCTGTGTGCGTGCTTGTTTTGTAGAAGCGCTAGCGGTGCCGACGGACCCAGCGATGGCGCGGAGGGCTTTGATGTACCGTGTGTCTTTGATGTTGATGCATTCCCGTGTTTTGTTGGTCGCGCGCCCAGCAGCACCGTGTACATAGCCGGGGGCGTTCCTGCTCGACGCCACGTTCTGTTCGTTGTATCTCAGTGCCAGCTTTTTGCTCAAAGTCCCGCTCGTGGAACACGCGACTCGCTCGATTCAAATAATAAATATACACTGTATTCTCTAACAACCTGATATTCTCTGAACAACTCTCTCCTCTCTCTCTCCTCTCTCCATATAAAAAATACGGCCACGGTGAGTAGGTGCCGGCCGGCGGTAACTGCCTCCGGACGGTTCTCAGTTGATATGTGACAACAGTTAGGAATGTAACACCGCCATAGTACCCTCCATCACTGCCGGGCGCGGCGGTCCCCGCACACAGGACCGGCGGGGGGGGGGGGGGGGGTAGCGACCGCCGCCGGCTGCTGGCCGCCCATCAGCTGCAACACCAGCTGCTGCAGATGGACAAGCTGCTGGCGGTCCTCGTTTAGCGCGATCAGCTCCTGTTCGCGCGCCGCCGACACAGCGTTCACAGCGCCGCCGCCGATGAATTGCTGCAGCCGCGCGCGCAGCTCCTTTCGCTCTCTGATGAGACTGAGACTGAGCCAGCCAGAGCCAGAGTCGAGACTGAGCCAGCTGAGTCTTGACAGACCGGACAACACACAAAGCGCCAAAAACGAAGCAACATGATTGGTCGACACATCGAACCGTCTGTCACAGCGACTGTGCTTGGACCACGGCCATCCCGCAATAGTGACAAGGCATTATCCTGAACACGCGCAGAATCACGCCCAAAGTCAATCGACACACCAAGAAACGTAAAAACATGCGACGGAACGAGAACTAATTTATTGAAATTAATACACAACCCAACACTAGTCAGAAACGCAGCGATACCATTCAGCGTCCTTGGACATAAAAAGAAAATCATCTAAATACGCCAAACACCTGACGTTAAATCTCTACAAGTTCACTGAAAGGCTTGAAAGCATCTGTTAGGTACTGCATCTCCGAAGGAGATGCAGTACCTAACTGCATCTCCTTCAGTACCTAATAATGCAGTACCTAATAATGGTACTGCATCTCTACCTAATAATGCAGGAGATGCAGTACCTAATAGGGCCCATTGGTAACAGAGAAAAGGTATAAGCACGTTTTACCATCATACAAAACACCAAAAGGACGTGTGGAACGTGCGCGAGGAATGTGATGAAATCCATCTTTTAAATCAATCTTGATACCGGTATAAAACCCCAAAACGATAACTCTAACGCATCCTCAATAGACGGCAAAGAGCACGGCCGGCACGGCAAGAGGGGCGTAAGCACTGACAAATCGTATACCAGTCTGGCCACAGTCGCACTTTTTGGCACAGCAAAGTCTGTAGCAGGCCAACTAAACAGCGACTCGCTCGCGACCGGTGCCGACGGCGATGAAGATTCGTCGTCACCAGCGTCCTCCCGAGGCGCGCTGCCGACGGGGCACGCCGCCACCGGCCCGCCAGCATCACCGTCGACCGATGCCGTCTTCAAAGAAGAGCCGCTCCCCTCAGTGGCGGCAGCAGAAGAGACCGCAGGCGGCGGGGACCCGGAGCAGGGCACAGAGACGGTGCCCCCCGCCGCGCCTCAAACGCCGAACTAAGCCGGACGTTCCGGCGAGCCGGGCCCGCGGCGCGCGGCGGAGCGCGCAAGCTGGACGGCCAGGCGGGGCGCGGGCGCCGCCGGGTGAGCTCCGGGAATGATGATGGAGAATGATGGAAGGATGATGTTATGGAGCCGCGGATGCTGCTCCATGGCAGAAATCATCTCTGCAGCTGCGCCGTGCGGATGTTGGTGGCGAACGCCCTCTGGGCTCTGCGTCAGCTGGCTGGTGGCTTGCGCGCTCTGTGGGAGAGCAGGACAAGGTGTAAAATGCTGCTACGGGACACGTAAGCAGATGTAATACCTCTGCTCGAGCTACCATACGCAGATAAGACTAAAGTCTGTTCCATTTCAAGCTTGCAGCCGAAGTACCATGCTGTAAACAACACATGCTTTATGTGTGCATAGCTCCTACATTAACCCTCGCCCTGGCAGGGCATTTTTCATAACACGGCCTGGCAGGGGGGGGGGGGGTTGATGCGACCCCCCCTCGCGATTGGCTCCTATGGCACCTAGAAACACCAAATTTGGTAGGTAGGTGGGACCCCTGGAGTTCTCGCCCCCTATGCAAATTTGGTTGCTCTAGGTCAATATTTGGAGGTGTTTTGGGGGATATAAATGTAAAATTTTTGCTAAAAACAGGTCAAAAGTTTTTCGCTTATAACTTTTGATCCAATTAAGATAGAAAAAAAGAAAAGCACCAGTGAAATCAGCACGTCAAGGCGCGTCGAATGATATACCTTGTTGTTTGCTGAAGGGTACTTAAAGTTTTTCTTAATTTTTAAGTAAACTTTAATTAACTAATTAAGTTCAAGTTACCCAAATTGCATCATATCGCATATCATTCGATTCGGCTGATCACCAGGAACACAATGATACCATTTTTAAACTCTAGCGTCATTATGTGCCAAGTTATTGGCAAAAACGTCATTTGACCTCAGTTTACCTCATTTGACCTGACCAATGGATAAGTTCACCAAACAAAGAAGCACCAAGTGACCTGCTGTTAACTACTATGGTTTCAAAGCACAAAAGTGATGGAACGAAGCGGATATCTCCAGTATTTTCCGAATTTAGTATTTTCCCATAGGCTTAACATTACGACGTTATGACCTCTAACTGACCTCAGGTCAGTGACCTCAAAAAACCCGAACTATATGTTATACAACTCGGTGAACTTAGCACATCCTGAAAGTTTGAAGGAAATCAGTCCAAAACAGTGAGTTGGACAGGTGCAAAAAGAAAATTGAAACTTGACCATGACCTTGTACCGGTTTTTCTGACCTGGTGACCTGACCAAGGTCACCCGGACTTGAAATTTTCAGGTCATATGTAAAAGGGTTGCCCCATAGGCTGTGCCAACTTTGCGCCGCCGTTTTTACGCTATCTTCGAAAAACCTTGGGGGGGTGCATCAACCCCCCCCTGCCAGGGCGAGGGTTAAGAGACACATTATTGAACCAAGAAGCAACTTGGCAAAGCAACTTAGACCATAAGCTTGGTATGGAGCAGACTATATTTTTCTTTAGTCTGTTATATAATCAACACTTTGTTTTCTTTAGAAGGAAAATTACTCCTGGCTGGAACCAATCAGTTTCGTTACCCGCCTATCAGTACCTAGTCGTAAAGCAGACGTTGCTCTTCCCTGAACAGCTGAAGGCATTGTGACTGGTGGTAAGCTGGTAGCTTGTAGGTATTTAGGCTGTAGGCTGGTAGGTTGTCGGTAAGTAGGTAAGGTCAGGCCTGGTTAGATTATGTTCGTTATTTTCATCTGTCTTCATACAATGCCCGCCTTCAGCTCATTCAGCTGTTTGCAGGGAAGTGCAATGCCTGCTTTATGATTACTCTTTCTAGTATCTATAATTATCAGCATTCAAATATCATTTAATTTTCATGCAATAATCTTGCTGAGACATGTTTAAACTCTAACCCCCTCCCTGTATAAAAAAACAGCAGTATGCACAGGTAACTTACTGATCACTTTCTGCGAACAGCCTGCTCCCAGCATTGCTGTTCCTTCCACGGATGCCTTCGTTTTGTGCTCCCAGCATACTGCATAAGTGTTGACTGTGGAGAAATTTCAACAGCTTAGAAGGACCAACAAACATTTCTTTAGATATCTGCATGTTTGCTATGATGACAAGCTAGGATGCAATGTAGGTACCTACCAAATGATAACAATAGGTACCCATTAGTGATAAATTGTAACTAAAATTGACAAATATGTTGAAGGTTATGTTGACAACATCCTAATTTCTCAGTGCTGACATTACTATTTGGCTCCAGACTGGAAAAATTCACGTTATGCTGAATATGTCCTGCATAGTGGCATGATTGCGCCAAAACTTTCAGTGCATGTCAGGCGTAACTTCACATGTGCCGAATTCAGCGCATGTTGGCACCTGAAATTTACGGCGCAGGGCGGCTGCAGATTTTTTATTTTAGCGAAAGCCCTGTTGCCAAATTTAGTCGGTAGTCTGGTCAATTTAGCAGCAGATTTCCCCTGCGGACGGCTCTAGAGAGGATGTTATGCCAGATCGCCAGATGTGCAATGAATTTTCAGGTGCAATCCCACTACTACGCTGGTCATATTCAGCAGAGCATTTATTTTATCTAGTCCGGGCTTTCCAATGTAAGAATCATGTTGACCCAGCAAAGTTATGGCTGACTATTTGACAATGACAATAACATGACCCCATCCTCCACCCATATTTTGTCTGCTCCTACACCCATGTCAAAGAGCTAGCTAAGAAAAAATGATCATTTACAATGCCCATAGCAAACCATCCGCATGGGACATTTCGATTTGCTGAAAAACAAGACCAATACCACCCTGACCCGACATCCATATCAATATCTAATTCATAAGCAGTACCTATTTCTGCAAGACTTTCTGAAAGGAAAAATACATATTCCCATATTTTTCTTACCTATGCCTTCGTACGGAAAAACAGAACTCATATTTCGCCTCACTTCAAATTCTTGCCGGCCAAAATGTGTTTCAGTTTCTTCCGATCGAGGTCAAGTTCAAAAGCCACCATATGAAAGAAAAACTTCAAACGTCTCACAATGCTGAAGCCCATTTCCCACACTTTTTTTAAAAACCGACATACGGGATATAGGACTTCATAGTTTGTTTTTACCCTCTGAAATAATCTTCTGATACCATTTTGGACAATATCATTACACAAGAACATGAGAAAAAATAGCTAATCAATCGTATACCATTCCCGACCATAAATGCATGAAGGTTTTTTGAACATGGTAAAAAAATCCAGTCGCCTTAGACATGATTCCTTTGTCATATTATTGCATTTTATTTAAAAAAGTAAGGTTGTATGTTGATAATTAATATATAATTTTCAAAGAAACTGGCCATGTTTAATTTATTTTGCATTTAACTTCGTAAAACATTTAAAATTCATGGCTCATTTGGAATGGGTCTGGCCCATGTTAAACCCCATTTCCCACACTTTTTTGGAAAAAATGAAATACTGAATATATTAGTTTAAATTTTATTTTGACACTCCAAAATTCTTCTCTGATCTCGAAACAATCAAAGTTTCGACATATTTTTGCCAAAAGATAAGAAAACTAATGTTTCAAAGTTATCGATAAACGTAGAGATGCCGGTTTTCTTGAACTAAAAAAATGGCATCAAACTGAACTTTGGTCTCCGATTTCTCGCAAACGGGTTCGAATTTCGGAAAACCAACTTCAGTCAGGGACATAGGTGGCTCAGCTCTAGTGAAAACCGTTTTGTGAAAAAAAGGTGGCAGTCTACCTTTAAATCTCCCTCACACTAGGCCAATGATCGATAAACGCGCAATCATATCTCGTTCCCTTTGACCCGTTCGCCTGCGCCTCTCGACGTGACGGTATTCCCATTTGCTGACGGCGCGCTCCGACCACGGCACCCCTCTGGCCGGCCGGGAGGGCCCGACGGGCCGTCCTTGCTCGCCGCCGCAGGGGGCGGCCGGCCGTTGCCCCGGGCCAGCATTGGGGTCGGCCTGCCCCGCCCCGGCGCGGCGGCCAGCCAGACTCGCACTATCGACCCGCGTGGGACGCATGTGCGTTGGGCGAGGAGCTGGCACACGTGTCAAAAAAAGTGGGACAACTCGCCGCCGTCTGCCGGGCGGCCAGCCGTCAGCCAGCTGACGTCAGTTGTCGAAATATAATCAGATTTCTTCGTGGACAGCCGCGTCCGTCATAGCAAGCCGTCAACGTTTCAGATCGGCTTCGCGAAAGGCGATTAAAGGCACGTCTTGAGCATCGATTGCGTGTCGAAGCACTGTTGCCTCTTATGCCTACATAATACATGTGGATAATATTTATGTCCTTCAGTCAAGAGGGGCGAAAAACCTCCCTGTGAATGTAGTAACTGTTAGGACGGCAGATACATATTAATATTCGTAGTGAGCGTCGACGATGAAATCTCACTGGATTGATTATTGAATGATATTCCAGATTCCTTCCGCGCATTAAATTTACAAAAGCGGCACACGAAAGTCCGACGCTCTCCGCTCCAAAGCAACATAGTTTATTATAGCATGTCGAGGCCCAAGAGGATGCTTTTTAGCATACCGACTGAGCCTTCATTAATGTGAAAACTGTGTGTGGTTAGGTTTGCAAATGCAAGATTTTCCAAGAGGTCGCACAGTTCAGCACAATCACACCTCTCAGATTCCGGATTCATGCGTCGCACCACCCGGTTATATCGACGTAATGTTCAATTCCACTCGTTCGCGTCGGCCTTTTGCTTTGAAGGCTGAACAATGATCAATGCACTTCTAAAAAGCATCCTTCTCGCATGTCCGAGAAATGCTTAGGAAACTTTCATATATCACGATAACGTAAACCGAACCAGATAAGACAAAGCTGTCAAACACCGTTCAAGGTCCGATTCGACAAAGCATGCCGCGCGATGCATTGCACACTGCGAGCGAAGTACTTGTTGCACTGACCTGAGAGCGATATGTGGACTCCATCTGTTTTTCTTTCGATGACCACCTCTGTACTCCGCTGAAACAGAGAAACAGTGTTACTCACTGGTCTGCGACCGATGAATTCTCGCTGTCACTAAATAAAATAAATAGGTACACAAATACCTATACTGGTCATTTTATCTTTCTTATTGGTCGAGTTGAGTTGCGATTAGATAGTTGAAATTAGATGGGAGTTCAATCCAAAGGTGTGGTAATCCAATACAATCATATCGAGCCACATATCGATATCTGTTTACGGCTAAATAGAAAAGCAAGCGCACACAACGACCTCATCATGTAACAGTACATAAGGGGAGAGAAGGCTATCCGTTACCTACATGAGCAAAAACAGGGGCAATACGTTTTCATTTTTTTTTTTTTTGCCGGCAGGGAAAAACGGTATATGCGTCAACCGTTGGTAGTGGTAACCTTGGCATCGATCGACTGTTAGCGCCATTACGATTCGACAATTCACGGTAGTTAATGACTGGAGATACCAATCATGTGTAATAAGTCGTGACTCGTAAGCCTCCCGGGTTCACGTCGTGCCGGCTACCACATACACTTTTACCTGTTCTCACAGTTGCCTAGCGCCACGGCCGCGGCAGCGCGGTGGGTCAATTTGGGGGTCGTATGGTGCGCCGTATCGATCTGCACCGTACCCACTCATACTGTGTCCTTCACCTACATTGCAATCAGAATATCCAGTCGGTAGGTGTACGTAAACGTTTTTACGCATAAAAAGGAGATTCTCTGAGCAGTTATTTTCCTTTCATAAGTGGCAATTATTCTGGGTATCCGTTATCAGCCATCGGATATCAGCCGAGGTTTCAGTGCCAGCGTGGCGTGCGCACCTCTGTCTGTGGCTGCACGGTGCACAGTGCAATGCACAGTGCTCCGAGCCACCGCCACGCAGCGCAGTCGCTGACAGCCACCATTGGCTCGACCGCGAGTCCCATCGCGGTTAACCCATTTACGCCCTTCGTTGCGTTTTCGCAACGCAAGCAAGCGTCGACGTGATCGAAGCTTGAGAAGTGTGTAAAAGAGACTAACCGATGAGACAAGTTTCAGCGTGTGTAGCATGGTTGTGCGCATGATACTACGCAGTTACAATTCTGTGCGGCCGGTAAGTTACTGCCTAGAGCTCCCAGAGGGAAGTCGAAGGTTTTGTGAGTGATGACGTCACGAAAACCAAGATAAGTAGGCTAAGTGCTTAATAATATCGTAATGAAAATTGTGTAAACATATTCTGCAGAGTCCCTACAATAGCGTAGATATGCATTTTGTTAAGAAATAATGCTACAAAAAGGGTTTGTGACTATTTTCAAATATGACTACGGTCGCGTTGCGGGAACGCAACGAAGGGCACATCGGAAAGACAGCGGTGTTGCGAAAACGCAACGATGGGCACATTGGCAGGGTAGCGGAAGTATGAATATCAACAGTAGACTTCACTCGTGATACGCTGTGGGTTCTCTCTTTCTCTCCCCCATCTTCCTCCCTCTCCTCCTCGTTCCCCAACTCTCTCCCCCTCTCTCTCTCTCTCTCTCTCTCTCTCTCTTTCTCTCTCTCTCTTTCTTTCTCTCTCTCATTTTGTAGCCATGAGGCTGTAGCGGCGGAACATCTTCAATTAAGGGGGGGGGGGGGGAGCACTGCTGACTTTTGGTCTCATTCTTTCCATTTCCATTTCCATGCAACGCCTATCGGGATAATGTTAAAATGGCAAAATCAAGGGGGGCACGGTGCCCCGGTGCCCCCTCCCCCCCGCTCCGCCGCCTATGCCATGAGGGACGTATATAGGTATGTTTAGTGCAAGGTGCGTTCGCACGTAAAATGTTGCGACACATTTCATATTAGCTGGCTCAAACAGCCACAAACAATATCCTTTCCTTTTCTCTCGCAGATTTTCGGCCTCGGGCTGTTCGTTCACTAAGCAATGTGTTCCCATGCATCTGAAAATCGCATGGTAGGAAAAGGACCCATTCATCAAACGGTCGGCGATGCTAACGGAGCTGAGAGATAATTAGGTCCTTTGGAAATTGGATCTACTATGTACATTGTGCATAAATAATGAATAACGGGGATGTATTCTGGTATCAGGCGACAGATAGGCATCGCCATTCTCTGGATAGAATCTGCTGACTACCAGCATTTACGTTAGAAAAGATAACTGAGGGTCGGCAAATAGTGGGATAGGCCCCCTCTGAGGGTAGCTGAGCCCTTCGGAAGGGGTAATGAGGGCGGACCCATTGGAAAATAATAATTTTTAGGATTCATAACTCGCATAGATTCATAAGCTGCTTGATGTGGAGTACCTATACGCCTGTTTTCTTACTTTGATAGGCTTTTTATCTAATCAGACCATTTTTAGAGCTAGCAGGATTATTGGAATTAGGGGAGACATTTGTCTGACCGGACACGGTCAATCATAGACTGGAGACTGAGCCCAGCCAGTGGGCAGCCGCCACCCATAACCCACCCCCTTCCCCCCTCCCAAGCACTCACTGCACCCGGCTACAGGCGCGCTCCTATGTGAGCTGCCCGATTGCGATATACGTTGCCGGTCCAGCCCGGAACAGGGGGATGAGGCGTGGAGGAGGATTCAACTATCCTGAAGATGGAAAGGACGGATTGACGTCGAATCACCATTCTGTCCTGGCATTGTCTCGAGAAAGAGGTTACACGTGAAGGTCGCTGAGAGTGGGGCCATGAAAATTTTGGATTAGGTGTAAACATGATAAACTGGGAGTCGATTTGTTGTGATGCGCTACGCCTTACGCGGGTAATTTGTTAGAGCCGGATCGGTCCTTTTTTCTTTTTGCTGAGAGTGGGTACGACTAACCTGCAATGGAATTTAACTTTACTCCTAGGAGGGTGGTTAAAAATGATTGCGGATATACGCGCATACGAGAGGCACTGGTTTACTCCCAATCCTCCGTTTAATTGTATTCAGTGTGCACTGTGCAGGGTCTGATAGGTGGAGGTAATGGATCTGTCTAGCTTCCAAAAAGAAAGCATCACCCTGGATACGTGTCGACCACAACTTTAAATGAACAGCAATGGACAACGTAAATGGTTGATAATGACCGTGTTGCCATCTCCCCGTTCGCGAATCATGAAGTTATGCTTCCTCACTGAGGCTCTTAGGCGGGTTATAGAGCATGACGGATATGGGTTCCGCATTTTCAAGCAATAGTTGTCAACAGTTGATTGATGTTTTGTCAAAATATATTAGCATATACGGCAGTTCAGTGTACTTTATGTCCGTCTGATGTGCCCGTCGTTGCGTTTTCGCAACGCTGATGGCGCCCGGTGTGCCCTTCGTTGCGATTTCGCAACGCATGTTTTTTACGTTTTTCTCGAGAAACTTTTGCTGCAGGCAAAAATTATTTTCGATTCCAAACAAGGCCCTGGTAGGAGCATAACATATTTTGATTTCGTCGATTTTCATGATGGTCAATATTCCTGGGCATAAATGGGTTAAATTTATCGTCAAAAATTATCGTAAATATACAGTGCATCAAGGCCGCGCCTCATTCATCTCAAACGAAACAAAAACAAACCAAAGATCTGCGCTGCAGCGTGTTGCGATAACATACAGTGTGCGGATCAATGTCATCGTATTGAACTATCAACTAGGACATTCAACTGAGAGTATCTCATTCACCTCATCGACAAGTAGCGAAATGATGTCGATTGCAGTTCGAGTGTCCGCTTTTTAGGTCAAGTTTGTCCTGTTCCCGAGGTCGTGCTCCCGTCACGTGTGTGTGCAGCGGCAGCCTTGGGCGCCGTGGGCCGGTGCAGCTGGTCGCCGGTGGGTCGCTCTCACCTCTGAGCCGTGCCGCGGGTCAGCCATCTCCGTGTCGTGCGTCACCATGCCGACCGAGCGAGAGCCGCCGCCGCCGCCGCCGCTGCACCGCCTGCCACGCCCCTCGGTCCGCGACTGACCGTGCACCTCACGGCACGGCGGCACCGCGCTCACTCGCCGCCGCCGCCGCCGCCGCCGCCGCCGCCGCCGCCGCCGCGCCGCGCCGCAGTTTACCGGTTTAAACGGGCCACTTTGTGTGCAGCGTGGCAGCCGAGGCGCGCCGGCTCGCGGAGCGCCCCTGCCGACTCCGTGCAGCCCTCGTGCCCGGCCGGTCGGCGGCGGACGGCCGCCGCCGCCGCCGCACTGCGCACACGGCTATTGGAGCCGGCGCACGGCTCCGCACACGGGCCGTGCGAGTCGCAAGGACGTGCAGGCAGGCAGCCGGCCCGCCCCCGAACCTCGCGGCGTGACAGCAGACCCGTGCAGCACCGGATTGAGCTGCGATGAAGGCTACCGGTTCTACTCGCGGTCCCACCAGTCTTGCAGATCTCTCTCGATTGGCTCAATCAGTGAAAACAGTGTTTTGCCTTCTTTTGTCTTTTTTTCACTCAGGAGGTCGGCATTGCCAAGAAACATCCCTAGGAATCCTTGGCAGCCGGTTGCTCGGTGTCAGCCCATCCGACAGCATTGCACAATTGCCGTCAATTGTTGTGGGCTGTTGCCGAGTGTTGCCCGGGGAGCCGGCAACATCACGGCGATCGCCGACGGCCGCCGGGGCTGAGGCCATTATCAATTCGACCGAGCTCTTACTCACGGCTGGCCTGCTGAGCTGATCGACATAATGAACAATGCTGGTGTTATCAAGGCTCCATCAAAGTTAATGGTACTTACAGCCGCACAACGCGTGCTTTTCTTCGAAACGTGAAATCTCATCTCAGACGGTTTCGTTGGCGTCAATAAGAGCTTTGCATTTAGCCAGCAAAGAGCAAATGCCGTGAAAATGGACGTTTTGTGTTGTATCTTTTCTTTTGCCATACCTTACTAAAACCTTGTAGTTACTGCACTGATTTTACCTCTACCACTTGTCTCCACCTGAAGCGTCGAATGAAGTGTAAGTTCATCTTGAACGGTCAACTTGAAGATGACCCAAGGTTATGATATGACCTAGAAAGGTCACGCACAATATCAGTTGGTACGGTATCGTTGATCTGAAAATATTCAATGTGTTTTCGTCTCTCTGGCATATTTATCAAAATGATCACTGAAAAAGTGTTCGTGACTTTTCATGACCTAAGATGACCTCAGGGGTCAAATAGGCCACAAGTGCAGTTTGGCGATTCAGGTGAGTGGTGACCGGTTATTCGGTGATTGCAAGCGTTTATTTTGACTTAACTCAGCTATCACCAATGGGTTATATAAGACATTGCAAAATTGACCTGACCTGAGGTCATCGACCATAGGCAAGCTTTATACATTATGAAAACCTTATTAATCGCTGAAACTTTCAAAGCAATCATTCAATCGTTGCAGCTATTATTTGTTATAAGTTGCGTATAAATGCAACATAATCTTTTCCCGGTCAGCTTATGACCTTCACCCGAGGTAAAATTTTCGAGTTGACCTTTAAAGGTCAGATGGTTACTTCAAGACTTCATTTCAGGCAATTCGATGAGAGAGGCGCGATGCTGGTAAAACCCACGACATAGCAGCTCCGCGTGGTCACGATTAACCAAGTCATTGGTTATAGTGGTTAATAGCTTTGTGGTCAAGTTATTGCAGAAACCTGTCAAAAAAAACGTTAATTTTGACACTTTTGTCCTCTAGAGGCAAAAACGCTGGACTGAGATCAAATACGAGGATGCGTTGGAGAAAGAAATTAAAAAGTGATTACAAATATTTTCGGCAATGCTGTTTTTTATTTACCTATTGTTAAAATATTTTCATACTTGTTCACGAGTTAGGAACGATCCATTGTCCAAAAATGTCAAAACGGAAAATATGACCGCACAGGTGACTTGACCCTTGATCTGACCTAAACAAGTGACTGAACTTCAAATTGTTTTTGACGACATTCGGGACGTTGCTTCTCGCTTATCGCTAAACGTGTGCCGAGAGACGATTTAAAAAGGTGCGTCATAAAACGTCACTTTGCCAGTGCTTTGCCCACCTACAATCGAACCACCAGACCACGGTTATTTATTCTATTTTAGCGAAATAGGTCCTTTTCAGCACCAGCTATCCTGAATTTCACACACATTATCTGGCCATGGTGGCTTGGCTGGCCCGTTTCCCCAGTTCTGACACCCGGCTGTCAGGGCTGGGATCGGTGACAGAGGGACTCGGCGCTGCTCGAACGGGCCGACCGCGCGCCCGCCGCTGGTTGTAGGCCAGAACAAATATTTGGCAGCTACCGTATTTTGGGCGCCCGTGAGAGCGGGCCGGCAGCCGCGTGATTCAGCGGTGCTGCAGGCCTCTGCCGAACGCTGCAGGCGCGCAACATAGCTCGACGCATTCCAGGACCAGGCGACTAGAGTTTTTACAACACCGAGCCTTAGAAGTTAGAACATAACAGCATCACCATTATGAATGAAGGACCGTAACAAATCTGCAGTTCCGGGAATATGTTTACCCATTAGTGCATTTTTTTTTCGGGTTCAGAAACTTACTATCCACGTACCTTTTCGATGAAGCTCTTTAAATGAATAACAAAAATCAACACTTGGCCGCTCAGCGCTGGACTCCCACCGATACCTACGACACCGATGGAAGTTCATGTGACAGACGCATGCGCCCTGCGCTGCAGGCTTGTTGACCCAAAGTCGGTGCAAGGTCAGCCCGCCGGCCGGCCGGTGCGTTGGTTGGGTCGGCTGTCCTTGGCGTGACTGTTTGGCTGGCTCCTAAATTGTGTCCGCTTACACACAGACGTCTCTACTCAGGCCTCAGGGCTCACAGCATGCGGCGACGCGAACGAACTATTTCACCCCTGCATGCCAAATGATAGTCGTACTTACATCTGTTTCCGTGCAATTTTCTGTATGTGCAGCTGTGTCCGATTCCCTTCTCTTCACACCGTCAGGTGTGTCCACCAAGAGCGAAATCAGCCGAGAGAAGAGCGTCACCAGCGAGCAGCCGCCGCCGCCGCAGCCGCAGCCGCAGTCGGAGCAGCCCCGCTGGCGGCTGTGGGCCGTCTCTGAAGCGTGTCCCGGTCGCGACAGGCCGGCGCCGCCTCCGTTGGAGAGCAGCGGGCTCGGCGTCGGCGGTGTCACGGGCCGGCGATCGCCCTGCAGAGCCGCCTGACCCATCTGGCCGGCGCGGCGGGCGCTCGGAAAACGACGGCAGCCGACAGATCAGCACTCGGATCGTGTGCCCCGCTCACAGCATCGACCAATGGACGTCTGCACCAGCATTATATATCGGCCCAACTCACTCTCATCACGCACTTATCTTCCACTATCCACCGAAACGCCCACTCTCAGGAAACTTGATATTCCAGCGCGCGGTGCCCTTTCAGTGCACTGCAGCACGGTCGGATCCGACCCGAAACTTCCCGGCGGCGGCTCGTCTCGTCTGACCGGGGCGGCGCCCCATCCTCACACCGACCCGGCCGGCGCGGCGCGGCGCCGCGTCCCCACTGCCCCCCGGCGGCGCAGCGGCCGCGCCGCCGCCGTCTCCAGTCGGATCAACAGCTGACACCGACGCCGCCTGCGGCGCTCTCGGGCGCCCCGCCAACGCGGGCGGGATGGCCGGCGCCCGCCGGCGGCCTTGTCACGAGCGGAACGTCAAGTATACAAGGTGTCCAAAGTTTTTAACACTCGTTTTTCATGTTTCCTCTTAGTGCCTTAGGACTGGCCGGACAGATTTGAGTGTTGTTGCCGAGTGTTTCAAGATGCCTTCGTTGGTGAAGTCTGAAGAGTTCCGCTGTCGCTGAGTGAAGTAGGTATTTGTGAGGCGACGCAGGCAGGATGATCGGTGACAGGTCCCTTCCCACTTCTCAGTCGTTGATATGTGGCGATAACGGGGAAAGAGAACTGTCTTCAGGCTCTCGACATCAATGTCAGTTCAGGTAACGCGTTCAGCGTGTAGTTCTGCAGGACCGCAGCCAAGACTTTCACGGACAAATGAACTACGAGACATAGCACCCTGATTTAAAACGATTTTAATAACTGAAGAACGATCCGATAGGCGACGAACAGCCAGCCGCCTGCTCAAAGGCTAGCGTTTCAGCCGCCTGCTCAAAGGCTCGGCCTAAGCGATTGCATCACGGAAACTTGTAACGCTGTTGAGAAGGAACGGATAAGAATCGAAGACGCCACATGACTGTATGCAGTATCCATGTAAGGCGTATATGTTACATAAGATGGCATGGAAAGCCAGGACAGCTGGCTACAAGTAGGTGTCCATATGTTTGTGTGATATCTCCCTCCTCTATAAATGACGATGCTGTGCCCCCTAAACGGCGCTAAATGGCGCGCTCCTACTCGGTAATATCTTAATATCGTAATATATATCGGTAATATCTTACCTTCTGCAGTTAATTAAACTAATACTGTCGATTAAAGGACAGTAATTTATTACGCGTTTTACATGGCCTAGAAAAAGCAGTTGTCATCGGCCGCTCCGATCTTCAACGTTATAACTTATAAATACCTAAAATTACATGATAAAGAACTGTGGCTGCTTTATTCTGCCAACGGGGTTACGGGGGCCGACAAAAATGGCGAGGTCAATTTTCCCTGTCGATTTGATTTTTCTTAGATTGAAGCCTCTTGGTTTCAATTCACTCGCCGGACCAATCAGTTTTCGCCATACATAATCGGCCGGGGGTGACAACTGTCAACCCCGTAATTGTCAACTGGGTAGTTATGCTATAAGGTCAGGTAAAATCAATGTCAGTGTTTGTATCAGTGTAGGTGTCAGTTGTCACTGTCAGTTTTACCTCAGTGTCAGTGTCAGTGTCGATGTCAGTGTTAGTTCAGTGTCTGTTTGGGTATTAGTCGGTCGGTGTCTACTCTATCTGTGTCTACAGTCTGTGTCGGTGTCGGTGTCGATGTCGATGTCGTTTCAATGTCGGTGTCGGTTTTCTATAGTCAGTGTCGGCGTCAGTGTCAGTGTCGGTGCCAGTGTACGTGTCAGTGTCGGTCTCGGCACAGACCATACGGACTGACCTGATAATGACGGTATCAGTGTCTGTGACAGCGTCAGTGTCGGTGTCAGTGTCGGTGTCAGTGTCGGTCTGGGCACAGACTTACACTACACAGACTGACCTGATGGTGACGGTATCAGTGTCTGTGACAGCGTCAGTGTCGCTGTCAGTGACGGTGTCAGTGTCGGTGTCGACACAGACTGTACAGACTGACCTGATGGTGACCGGCCGCCTGCTGCGGCGCGGCTCTCCAGCGAGGTGTCGGCTGGTTGTGGGGCCGGAACAGCGCGCAGCCCGTGAACGGAATCATCAGGAGGGCCGCGGTCGGCACATGATAACACTCGGCGCCCGTCTGGAATCGATCCCACGCCGTCCGCGGGCTGGATCCTCTGGAACAGAACAATCAGCTGTCAGTGAAACAACTAGACAGATCAAACAACAGGCAGTCATGGTTGCAGATTTGTCTTATTTAGCTTGTCATGAACAGTCGCGACCTTAATTAAAAAAAAAAAGTTTTTTTTTTTTAAAGGTCGAAGTGTTTTAATTAAAATTTATTTTGGTCATGCGCATTGTGCATGGTTGGTTTGGCAAAGAACCTTACGGCTTACGTATTTAATTATTTTATTTTTTTTTACCACCGGTCAGTTAGCGACACACCGGTATCCCACCAGCCGAGCCGCGGGGTTCCGGCTGCTCCAAATTAACGCTGCCGCTCCGCTGCGGGGCGGCGCCGCGGGCTGACGGCGCGGACAGAGGCGCGTCGCCGTCCTGGTGACGGGCGTCAGCGCGTCGCCTCTGGCGTGTTGCCGGACGCTCGTCATTAGTGTCGGCGGGCCGTAACGAGCTGCCGGCGGCTCCACTGCCGGCTCCGATGTCGCTAGTTACCACCGCGCGCGGTCATTAGCAGTGGTCGTCCTCCACGGCACCCCGCAGCGGCCGGGCACCTGACCACGTCACAGGAAGTCCGCTCTACATGCCGACATGACGTCTTCTGCGGTATCACAGCGCACACTAGGTACCGTCTCTGTGTACTCACGCACACGAACGATTTGCATCCCAACTATTGAACGGTCCCCGGCTTCGCAACGGCAGCCGGAGTCGTCCTTTCTACTAGAGTTCTGCACGGCTGCAATTTTCCACAGCCTAGCCGCCCCACAGCCGTGGCTCCACAGCCACAGCTGACAGCCGTGGCAAACTGTGGGCAGCCAGCCGTCAGCCGGCCGTGGATACTTTTAATGAAATGCAACCAAATAGTATATGATAAGTTGTTTTTAGTTAAAACATATAGACAAAAGCACATTGCAATGAGCTATAGATTCTCAAGCTCATGAACAGGGGCGTCGCCGACGGGGGGGTCGGGGGGGTCGCGACCCCCCCACTCGTCAGAACCGGGGGGGTCGACCCCCCCCCCACTCGTCAGAACCGGGGGGGTCGACCCCCCCACTTTTGGCGATGCTGAGTATGCTTTTTTTAGCTATCATGTCAGGGAAGTTGGCGTCAGCGACATCAACAAATACGTCAGATTCAGAATCGCTTCAAGAGCTCCCTAGTCCCTATTGCTTATAGGTCAATAAGATGTGGGCTAGAACATCAGCATGACAATATGATTCTAGTCCCCTTTTATCCCTCAAATGAGCGAGCGCGTCAAAACTGACCCAAGCGTTCGTCTGATTGTCAAAATAATGGTTGCAGTCGATTCGTCGGATGACGTATCAGTAACTACGAGGTACCTGGCTAGCCTCAGCCCTGCTACCCTCGGACCTGCCTGCATTGGGGAACTGGGGTCAATGGTGGATCCCTCTGGGGCTTTCCTAATAAGACGCGCAAAAAGGAGTATATTGCAAGTTGCAACGAAACTTCTAGTGACCTCGAGTTAATGAATTTTACACCTATTTAAAAAAAAATTCCCTGATTCGAATATGGATGACCTTGGTTAACTTTTTTGAGTTTTATTTGCTTCCACTTACAAGTGTGGTTTTTGGGGCTGATTTCGAGTTTAGCGCCCGTTTGGACCGTTTGAAGAAGTTTTGATAAATGGTGGTTATGTAACATGTTACGAAGCTATCGTTGGTGGTTGTCAGTCACCCACTCTAGATGGCCGGCAGGAAGCCTGCTGGTCGACCTGACCTGACCCGACCCGATCTACCCAAAATGCATGGAGTCATCATTTTTGTTCAAGACTAACATCAAACTCGTACTCGGGACCCCGATAACAGCTACGGCTCACTAAGTTCTAGCAGGCGGCCAGATTTTTCCTACTTTTGGGCGTTGACCTAAGATGACCCGGCCAAGACCTTGAAATTGGGCATCATTGGCTTTCTCTCATCACGGGCAGCATTCTCGCTCTTCCACGAAGCTCTACCTCGATAAGGGGCCGAAAGCATGCCTTAGCGTTACGTTGGTAAGCGTTTTACCTTAGCGACCCGTAAAATACGAATAAGCCTACAGCAACACAGAAAGCGTATTCGATAGCTTTTTTAAAGCTCTTTCGCCAACTTCGCCTCAGATATGACTTCGGGTCTATGGCTTGTGTACCATAGAGTCCAAACAGCTAAACGGACGGATTTTGCCCAAACATTTGTTATGTAACAACCTATGATTCAGTGAATGTGTATGATATTCATGTTATCACCATCGTTTTTGTTTCGTCGAAACACGTCGCATGGCTTACAATGGGGTTGGGAACTCGATTTTTTAAGAATGCATGAAAATGATCAAACTATTTTCACAGAATTTATGGTGCATACCATTGCCTCATAAAATCAATAAGCTGAGAGAAATGGGGGAAGAAAGATAGGAAACTTGTTTTGAAAAGTTCTTGAAAAAAGATGCTCTTGATGCTGTTACGTCACATGTCACCTTCTGCGGTTGACAAATAATGGCGCATCTGGCGCACCACAGATTACATGTTATATCAATGGGTGAAAGATGTTGTTAGTTTCACTCTGCCATTCGCGCTGTTTTTAACTTTAAATTATGCTAAAACATTTACGGATGAAATGTTCAGTGTCAAAAATTGATGTGTCTGCCGTGTACTATATTCCCACTTAACATGAGCGCGTGATAAACATTTTATGTACCTCGAATTTTCAAATGATAAAGATGATGAATCGGAGGATGCTGAAAAGCAAAAGCTCATTCCAATATTTGGACTACTTTACGATTAAAATGTTTACATTCCTGTCATCTTATTGATCATTTATTTGTTCTTTTTTATGAAAATAACTTAAGGCGACAGGCGTTGAAAACCGAGGTAATTTCTATCTACCGTGCCTTAACTTACCAGCAACAGCAATCTATCTACGCCCTACGGTGGCAAGGGAGACTGTGAAAGAAGCGTAAGATGGATTCTAAACAATTCTTTTGTGATATACTGAAGGGCAAAGTGCAGAGAAGAGCGTACAAGTCCTGTTTTGTGCCAGGCTGTTGCAGTAGCACTTACGAAACTCCGAAAACGATCTTCGTTCATGTCCCGAACA